AAAAATTTATTAAAAAGATCTACCAAACCCACTAAAACATTAGAACTATTAGACCATCCTTTTAAAAACAGGTTTATTTAAGCTGCAAATATTAAATTTTAATAATTAAATAATATAAATACCTGGACTACCATACTAAAGAATAATATAATAAAGGGTTATTAAATTTTACCTTTAAAATAGGTCTTTATATATAAGTTTAATAATAACCAAGGATATCTAGCTAAATTTAAAGCTAGAATATGTGTTAGAGGTGATCTTTAGATTATAAATAATCTAGATACTAGGGCAATTACCCTAGCTTCTAGAACCCTAAGAACTTTATTTGCCTTAATAGCAGCTTTTAACCTTAAATCTATACAATTTAATATAGATAACGCCTTTTTAAATAGTACTCTAAATAAGACTGTTTATATCTAATTTTTACCTGGCCTTGGTTAAAAAAAAAATAAAGCTTTAAAATTAAATTAGGTACTATATAAATTAAAAAGATCGCTATTATTATAGCAAAAAAAATAGGTAAAATATTAAAAGAATTAAGTCTAAAACCAGTCCCCAAAACCTATACCTATTTTAAAATAAATACCTTATTCTAATAATCTTTGTTAATAATATAATTATATTATATCATGCAAAAAAATTAAATAACTGTTTAAAATTTTAAAACCAAGTTTTTGACAAAATAAAAGATCTTGGTAAAATAACTAAATTTCTTAATATAAGAATTATTAGGGATAGACCTAATAAAAAATTATAGATATATTAAGATACCTAGGTATATTAAAAAAATTATATTTAAATTTTATCTTACTAATTAAAAATTGCCTAAAACCCCTTTACTATCTAAAAGCCTATTTAAAAACACTAATAATAATAATTACAAAGCTTTAGATCGATATATTAATAAATATTAGTAAAAGGTTGGGTTTGCCTTTATATACTACTATAATTTCTAGGCCTAACTAATACTATAAAATTAATACAAATACTATCTAAATTTCTGCTAAATCCTGAATTAAAATATATATAATAAATCATGCGATATTTTTTTTTGTATATATAGCTTAAGATATCTAGCCATAGAATATTCAGGATATCCAAAAATTAATAATTTATATTAGCCAGTGATACTGTATATACAGATAACCTAGATAAAAAAAAAGCTTTAAAGGCTATATATATCTATTATTTAATAGACCTATTAATTAGGCAGCAAAAAAAAGTAGAAAATAGTTACTACTTCTACCACTAAAGCTAAATTATTAGCTATTTTAAATGCAACCAAGCAATTATATTAGTGGAAGCGACTATTATTTAAATTACTAGAATTTAAACTAAATCAAAAATTTTAAATTTTATATAATAACTATCAAATAGTTAATCTCTTGACAAAAAAAAAAAATTTAATATTTAAAACAAAATTAAAACATATTAACATCTAAAATTATTGGCTTTGGCAGGGGATTTAAAATAAGAACCTAGATATTTAATAATATCAAGTTAAAAATGCCTGCAGACAGTCTAATTAAATTATTATTAAGTTAGAACTATAAAAATTTACTAAAGCCCTTAACATGCAAGACATTTTATTAAAAATTATTAAAAAATAAAAAGATTATTTAATATACCTACTTTATCAGTTTTAATATACCCATATATATTAAAAGCTGAGGGGGGGTGTGTTAGAAATAAAAGCCCAATATATTAGGCACTAATTACTACTACAAAATATCAGCAAAACCATGGAAAAATTATAAGTTATAATTTAAATCACAGAAAACTATAAAATATTTTAATCTATTTCCATAAGATTCTATAAGAAATTAATTGGCTATACAACTCTGTTAATTTTAAAGCAAGTCTTACCTAAACTTTAATACAGATTTAATTACCCAAAAAGGAACCAAAATGCGAATATAAAAGCAGGTCCTTGCAAGCAATTTTTATAATAAGAAAACAAGCAATTTAATTTATTTATTCTTTAATATATTATTATTATAAGAATATAAGAATCTATTAAAGATATTACTAATATTCACTATACCTTACTTCCCCTACCGCCTTCCTTCGACAGTTAGATATTCTAATTATCTAATTAAGTAAGTAATTAATTAAGAAATTACCAAATAGAAATCTCGGCTGCCTGTTCTGAACTTCCGAAACTATATGGCACGAACTTTAATCCCGAGATTAATTTGGAAGGAAAATACCAGGATGCTAAAGGTATAAAAGCAGCTTAAACCCCTGCTTGGAATATGGATGAACAAGTATTTCTTAATATCCCTCGAGAATATAGCTTCCTAGATAGGAAAGTACAAGCTATTCTTTGTTATTATATGCCTACTATATCTTATACCTGCTTGGTATAACTTATACCGATATACTATTATTTATACCTGCTTGGTATAACTTATACCTATATTCATTCATTATACTATTATAGAATAGTATTCACAACACATTTCCTCTAAGCTAATTCTAAATAGGAGTAGCCCATGGCTATTCCTATCCTGGTTAGTCTAGTGGTCCACCATCCTCCGACAGGTATTTTATTGCCTAATTAGGAATCTAGAAAATAATTAAATAATCTAGAATAGTCTATATCTTATATAATAACATAGGATCCTATTGATCATATAATATAAAAATAGGGCAAGAGACCAAGAATATCTAAACGTATAAAAGCATGGCTTTATTTACCTGAAGTTATGAAAAGGGGGAGCAATTTTTTATTCTTTAAAATATTTTACCTGGTTTACCTTCCTAAATAGGAAAGTAGAATCTACCTTTCATTATTACTTATTAGGACCTTCCAGAGCTACCTTATATTCTTTATTATTATTATCTTTTCATACCCTTACATTCTTTATATTATTATTGTTGAATAGTATTCACACCCTTATGCCTCTCAGCTAGTCTTATATCGATATAGCCTTTAGCTATCCCTATTTTGGTTAGTCTAGTTAGTGGTCCACGATCCTCCGACAATATTTTAATCACATGTGATAATAAAGGCTTATTTATCTAGAAGTTCATTAAACTCCCTAGTAGATACAGGAGTAGATATAAATATAGACTTATGAAGCTTTTTCTAAGTAAAATATTTTTTACTGACTGTTTAAAAGCTACAGTATATTAAATTCAACTAATATCATTAAAAATAAAATTGTAAAAAATAGTATAATTTAAGAAACTATATAGTTTTATGCTAATAGTTGGTCTTTTGTAAAACACGCAAGCTCAGAGGAAGAACATGGTCAATTTCATTGATTCGTCTGTAGATGAAGATTGAAGGTGGACGAGGTCAAACGTTCGAAGTATGGACGACTGAAGTAGGGTGACCGCTAAGAACCACTTATGCAGTTCCGACCGGTATGAGCGTGCAACATCTTTGTAGTCCTAGTTGTGGGAGCGCAGAAATATAAAAATCGTTTTATGAAGGGAAACAACAGTAATATTTTTTTATTAAAATGCCAACCAAATTTTAGCTATTTTATTATGAAAAACGGGAGACTTGCTATACTTGAAGAAACCCATAAAATATTGTATAAATCAGTCCCAAGTACCCTCCAAACACAGGGGTTTGGTTGGAGGGTGCGTAGTTGGTTTCTGGGACAATGAGGATGAAAACTATATTAGGATTATAATAGTAGGTAAGTGCTATTACATTTTAAATATGTTAAAAGTTTAAATACATTAATGTATTAAAGAACTGTAAAAGTGATAAATAAAGGCCGCAAAAATGTTCAAAAAGGGACAGCAGAAACATACAAATATTCAACTGGAATGCCTTAGTTATTACAGATATACAACAAGCCTAGTGAGTGTATACTTTAACTGTTTAAATTAACCTAAAGTAACTATAATATTAAAGCTAAGCTACAATACCTACCTGTAGTCGGGAGGATGCAGCAGAACACAGTATGGTATACAACAGGACCTATAAAAACATGCACCTTTGCGGTATAGTACCTCTATATTTAGAGCTATGCAAGGGTATCTTTTAAAACCTAGGTAGTTTAGCTATATATTTTTATATAGTTTTGAAGCGTTTTAGTGGTTAAAATATACAGATAGCAAGTTGTTTGCCAGTGGCCGGGCCGGTACCGGTAGTGAACTAACTACATTAGAACTAATTTGAAGTAACTAATATTCTAAACTATTCTAGTATTGTGGCGTGCCCACTGTCTTCGTCCTCTATACAACTAAACTATACTTTGTAAATATAGGCAGGCCATGTAGCCTAGTCATTTAAAGCTCGCAAGCAATATGAGGGTATATACTTGTTTAATATTATTCATGCTATTACAAGTTTCCCCAAATCTCACAATACTTCTAGTTTAAATACTATAGTTATAGTTTCTGGAGCTCAATCACTGAGAATAGTTTTAAATTGAAATCTAAAAGAACTAGATATAGACTTCAAATCAAAATTCTAATAATAGAATGAAGAATCAAGATAATAGGAATGGTGTGCATTGACATCCCTGCTACTTGGAGCGATCTGTACAATTCTAACACAAAATACAGTCGATTTGGGTAGTAAAGACCGGCCGGGGCTTCCAAACTTATTGTTTGATCTGGCACTCCTGCAAAGTGGTCTGGAGAATCTGTAACTTGAAGGACTAATAGTGTGACATAATTTAGGGTACCAACTACCGAGGTGCCAGTGGTTGGCTGCTGTTCAATGACAGCGTGCCCATTGGGAACAAAGGTGGCCCAAAAACATAAAGTTGGAGCGGCCTCCCACACAATATGAAAGTGAAATAGAAGAATATGATCAAGGTAGCCCTTTAATTAAGGAGCAGACGAGGTATATTCTAATACAGTCGAACCTCATCACATTTGGAAACTTCGTGCAGGACGCAATCGATTGCCCAGAACAATCTTTTTTATGCGTCATATATGCATCCTAGTTTTGGAGCAGTTTATCATCGAGTTTAGGTTTGCTAAAAAAAAGGAAACCTTGGAAGTTGATCATGGAATGCATGCCTGTTAATTTATTGTGACACTGGAGGTTGGTAGTTCAGAGGGCGCCTAGAGAAATTAATTGTGAGTGGTAAAATATAGAGGTACATTGCTGAAGACTCACTTAAACAAAAGGATATGCGGCTCTGGCTCATGGACCTCATAATGCTCCCAGCCCAAACTCTACCATCTAGGGTTAGATATTTCCTTCCTCAATCCACTGGGATGTTATAGAGATTTACATACCTGTGTAATACCAAGGGCTCGCCACTCGTCCTCCCAAAGCAACTTCAATGTCCCTTTTGAGCTATCGAAGTAGTCGGCCGGGATTTTTTTGAGCATGTTCTTTGGTAATTGGACATGGCGATATTCGAATTGATCATCTGAATACCTGTATATATTAAGCAAGCATCCATGTACATATACGACAGATATATGTATACCTCGCAGAATAGTGGATAGAATCAATGAACTCTTCAAGTCGCTCTCGTTCGGACTCTAGTAGAGGGCGGGGCTTCTTATTCCTCCTATCCAGATTGATATCCATTAGGAAATAGCCCTAGTAAAATGACAATGACAAGCAGTGATCCCTAGATGCCTATATTTGCTCTATAAGTAAAATATTGCGCAAAGCGGGTGAGAAATAGCCTGCGGGTGGGTGGGTGGTCACTCGCTGAAAACTTGAGCTGGGTGCTTCTAGTGTACTGGGAAAATGTAGAGTGGAAGTTAATTATTGCAAATTAATAAGGAGATACAGTTTTCCAAAATGTATTAGAGTATAATCATTCCCTTCTTTTAATAGATATTGTAGCAGAAAAACTTTTTTTCAGAGTAGAAAGTTGCAGAAAGACTCTTATTACAATACTAGAAAGTTTAGCTCCCGGAGAGGGGTGATGGATTCGTGCCTCAGGCTTCTTTTTGTATAAGCCAATATTCTTGTATTTATCTACCAGAGTGAGAACAGTAAAATACTTATTCAATTCTGCTATACATACTCGGATAATATGTCACATGTTTTCTAACTGGTCTAGCTTTTCTTGCCAGCACAGGGAGTAGAAGGGTTAAGCTGGGAAAAGGGGGATGAATACCGATACCAATAACAAGAAATTACCTCGTGGGTGACGGGTAAGGTTTTTATATACAGAGTACTTTAGATTATGTCCATTTTATCACGTACAGTTTCTGATTTTTTGCAATTTTCATATACTCCCAATTTTCATACTCTCCACTTAATGAATTGGTGTTATTACATCTCTGTACTCCGTATATAGCTTCCCTTTGCCATTAGTTACCTACCTGGGCCAACATATCTATGAAAGAATGAACGAAAAATATTTCCTAAGGAATCCACTCCGTACAAACACAACACCTTTTTCAACCTCCTAAGCCTTGATGCCCATCATTTTCCCTGTAAACTTTGTCTTACATTAGGTAAATCCAGAATTCTCGAGGTCATCAAGACGTCTCAGATTACGTAGCTATTGCCATAAAATATTAGCTGGGGTTAAGAGAGCTGTGTAGCCGAAGCTGCAAATTCCCTATCTAAAACAACTCCAAATATTATTATTGGAGTGAGAAAAGAATAACTTAATGTTTCGTCAGCCCGCCCAAGGAAGTGTGCATTACTGGGAAGGACTTCAAAAGAAGAGCAGATTGCTAGAGACATTTCCATACAACGTATCTCGTAAGCAGACCAACCATTGAAGGTGCTTCAAAAGCATACCCACACTACTTCTAGCCAACCATCGATTTGCCCGAAGTACTGAAGTACTGTACTAAAATGGGAGTAAGTTGGGTGGTCAGTCAGGTTCCTTGGTGCTTCTTCCAGCCGAGGGGCAAAAAACAGAAAAGAAAAAAAAAAAAAAGTGGGCTCAAAATTTTTTTCCCCTGCCCTCACCCTCACATCCACTCTAGTCCCTAGAAGTGAATTTTTATAATCCTCACACCCTCCTAATATTTTATTTCCTCTTCCACCATAGGCTTCACTTGTTCCCCTTTGTGTTTCTTCTTTTTCTAACCCTGTGACCATGTCCGATGAGGTGTATGAAGGTGCCATTGGCATTGACCTTGGTAAATGCCCGCCCCCTTCTCCCTATTAAATGAACCTTGCTGACTCAATTCTTCAGGCACGACTTACTCATGTGTTGCCAATTATGAGGGCACCAATGTAGAGATAAGTATGTGTTTAGGATGCTCCTTTTGTTTCTACAATCATTGCTAATTCTTTTGTCCTCTAACCAGTTGCCAATGAGCAGGGTAGCTATACAACACCATCCTTTGTTTCGTTCACCGACAAGGAACGCTTGATTGGCGAGGCTGCAAAGAACCAGGCTGCCATGAACCCAAAGAATACTGTCTTTGATATTAAGTATGTCCATACTGTTGATACCCCTCTCTGTTCGATGCGATCGATTGTTGACCCTACAAACTTTTAGGCGCCTTATCGGCCGGAGGTTTGACGATCCTATTGTGAAGAAAGATGTTGAATCATGGCCTTTTAAGGTTGTTGATCAGGGTGGAAACCCTGCCGTGGAGGTTGACTACCTTGGGGAGTCGAAGACTTTCACCCCACAGGAAATTTCCTCCATGGTCTTGATGAAGGTACAGTCCGCTGCGGAATTTCTTACTTTTCGTATTGGATAGTATTTTGACCCTGCGGAACAGATGAAAGAAGTCGCAGAAACCAAACTCGGAAAGAAGGTTGAAAAGGCGGTTATCACTGTCCCTGCTTACTTCAATGACAACCAGCGTCAGGCGACAAAGGATGCTGGTGCCATTTCTGGACTGAATGTTCTGCGTATCATCAACGAGCCAACTGCTGCTGCTATTGCTTACGGCCTTGGATCGGGGAAGTCCGACAAGGAGCGTAATGTTCTGATCTACGATCTCGGTGGTGGTACCTTCGATGTGTCACTTTTGAATATCCAGGGCGGTGTTTTTACTGTCAAGGCTACTGCGGGTGATACTCACCTTGGTGGTCAAGATTTCGATACTAACTTGCTCGAGTTCTTCAAGAAGGAGTTCCAACGGAAGACTGGAAAAGATCTGTCGGGTGACGCCAGAGCTTTGCGCCGTCTGAGAACAGCCTGCGAACGTGCCAAGCGGACTCTCTCTAACGCTACCCAGACGACTGTTGAGATTGATTCTCTATTTGATGGAGAAGATTTCAACTCCTCTGTCACTCGTGCTCGTTTTGAGGACCTTAATGCTAAGTCTTTCTCCGGCACTCTCGAGCCGGTGCAGCAGGTTCTTAAGGATTCTGGTCTTGAAAAGAATAAGGTTGATGAAATTGTTCTTGTCGGAGGCTCCACCCGTATTCCTCGTATCCAAAAACTTCTGAGTGATTTCTTCGATGGGAAGAAGCTGGAGAAGGTGTGTCTCGGCATGATCTGCGATCTTGGACAGTTACTAATTTAAATTTCTAGAGCATTAATCCCGATGAAGCTGTTGCCTATGGGGCTGCTGTGCAAGCCGGCATTCTTTCTGGAAAGGCCTCTTCTGCTGAAACACAGGATCTTTTGTTGCTTGATGTCGTCCCCTTATCTTTGGGTGTTGCCATGGAAGGTAACATTTTCGCACCTGTAGTGGCGCGCGGTCAGACAGTGCCGACCATCAAAAAGCGCACTTTCACCACCGTCGTGGATAACCAGACCACCGTGCAATTTCCCGTTTACCAGGGCGAGCGCACTAATTGTGCTGACAACACCTCTCTTGGCGAATTCACTTTGGCTCCTATTCCGCCTATGAAGGCAGGAGAAGCTGCTCTTGAGGTTGTCTTCGAAGTGGATGTTAATGGAATCCTCAAGGTCACCGCTACTGAAAAATCCTCCGGTCGTAGCGCCAACATAACTATCTCGAACGCCGTAGGAAAGCTTTCTACTACAGAGATCGAGCAGATGATTGATGGTAAGCAACTTGCCGCACTTCCGATTCTAACAAAATTGGTTGATTTTCTGGTCACTAACTTTACTAGATGCTGCGAAATTCAAGTCTAGCGATGAAGCCTTTACTAAGAAGTTTGAATCCCGTCAGCAGCTCGAGTCTTACATATCTCGTGTCGAGGAAATCGTCTCGGATCCCACCTTGTCGATGAAGCTCAAACGTGGTAACAAAGAAAAGATAGAGTCCGCTCTCAGTGATGCCATGGCTCAGCTCGAGATCGAGGATTCTACTCCAGAAGATCTCAAGAAGAAGGAGCTTGCCCTTAAGAGACTCATTACCAAAGCTATGGCTACTCGGTAAATAAAAATGTGCGATTAGCACCAGCATCACTATGTGGGGAGGGAAGAGAAAAAAAGTTACTTTTCTGCAGTTGTGATCTTTCCAGCTTAACGAATAGAAGTCAACATTTTGCCACCTTGAAACCTGTGTACTATCTTAGGTAGCCTTCTGGCTGTGGCCCTTTGCATATATTCTGTGGTGCTGGGTTACCCGAGACGCCTTGTAGCTGGAGTAAAAAAATATGGCATCACAATCCAAGTTTTTCATCTTACAGTTGCTTCTAACATTTGCAGCTTTCTATGAAACTTTATTCTCATCCAAGGTACCATATCAAGAAATATTTGTTATGTCGTTGGTAGGTTGTATTGGCAATATATAAACCTTCCCTAGTGCAGAAAACTACAACACCTCTTTCTATATAAGTTAGATTTCTAAAATTACACCGCCGTCTCTAACGTATCATGAATTTCCAAGTGCTTCTTGGTTAGAGAGGCTTATATCCTTTAGCTGGATTGAAATAATACTCCAGCTCACTGCTACTAGATTATAGTCACCTCTTACCTACAATCTGCAAAAGACCCGAAGAGGGTGAGTATGTGATTTCGTGCCCAACAGTCATTCACTTGCGACTTGAAAGCCAAGCTTGCGACAAATAAATCGGGGCCGAGCCCAAATTTCGGTAATGGTAACTGCTCCAAGATGACATTAAACAAAGACTGAAAGCCTGAGTTTGGATTCCCCTGTGATCGTTCCTCTCGGCGAACTCAGGAAGGTAGGATTTCGAACCGAGATAGCGTTACATAGTCAAATTGATCTTGAAAACTGAGGTTGGAAGAAAATCCTCCCTGGAGAGGTTAGATCATAGTTACCAATGTTGGTTCTTGATCCAGATATGCCGTACTAAGCCAGCTGATCTGTTTCGTGAACAAGACTTGCAAGGCCTCTACAACAGCAAGGGTCACAAAAAGAAGTGGATACACCCCCGGACTGGTTGCCTTCCTGTGAGGGTACAAGGGTTGAGCCCCAAGTGATACCAGTGTCGGCAATTTTGAGTCTATTGTACGTAAGCATGCGACATCATATTCTACTTGGATGCAATATACCCCTAACGACTATATGTAGGTGGAACTCCAGATGGAAGATGGTGCACGAGCCAAAACCTGTCATAGAACTCTTAGAGGGTTGCCGAGAGTGCATGAGAGTAAATGTGGCCGAGAGGCGTCGGTCAAAACGATGGAAGCTAGTTCATCTACGAGAGTGAGTACTATGTGAAAAGCTGCCCGATTTGGTATATAAGTCAGTGGTACCTTGTGATGCAGAAGCCTCTGACAAATTCCAACCATTCTGGATCTGTTACCGCATAGAGCTCCCCTTCGCGTAGTCGCGACCCCCTTAGAGGGAGAAATGCATAATCTGTATCTCCAGATTCGTGTGGAGGTTAACCCTGATATGTAACCCCACTTCTCCTTTCCTCTTCTTTACGCGCTCCAATTATATACTTGTTATCCTCGACGTCATAGTTAAAATGCAAGACAACAACTGAACTTCACTGATGGAATGCCGCACCATAAAGAAAACTAGCTTGAAAGAACCTTCTGTGTCATATCAGCGACACTGCGTAGAATGAACAATACCACACACACTATTGACCTGGACCTCGATCGCCCTAGGTTTACATAGCGGGCATTAGCTCCAACTTATGCACGTGATGCCATGATTTACATAATTACGGGATGTTCCCAATGGAACACTCCTAAGAACTTTGGGGATCCGGAATAGCCAGCCTACCAGGGCTGCCCCCATCAGATCGAATTATAAGATCATATGGCTTATTGTTTTGACAGCCTTCAAAATGCGACTGATATTAAACATACTGGCTCTATTAGTGGGAATCGCTTCTGGCCACAAAGCATTCAATGCCACTATATTCACATTGGACCAGAGCTTCTATCCTCAGGATTGGTCCCTGGTTCTATCTGACGATGTAGTACAACGACTGTTAGAACTACGAATGGGTCTTTCGTCTACTTCAGCTCTGAAGGAGTCTGATGAAGACACTGTTGAGTTGTTGAACAAATTTGGAGGATTGCCAACCCCGTTATTTAGCTCCGATACCGACAAAAGTGGTTTCCGTCGAAATCTTCTCATTCTAGAAGGGTTAGAGGCTGGAGTTGGTATGCAAGAACCATATTCTAAAGCTATTTATCGACGAAGTACTGAATAATAAAACAAGTCTCCTTTATTCAACAGGAACTCCACCAGAATTTACACGGCCGCGTCCCTTCCGATTTCTTGTCTCCTCTCTTCATGCCCGCCATAAACGAGGCAGAATCGGACAATAGGTCCTCAATGCGACCAAGACACTGCGCTTTCCGTGCTGATAGGCAAACGCCCCCTGTTTCGGAACAGGTATCCATACCTTGATATCTGACAATATCTACTCCTATATCCAGTAGAGCTGACCTCTATTTGTTCATAGACCCTCCAACAATGTGTTCCCGAGGGCTCTGTATTTGAACAGCTTCCCCGTCTCTTTAACAGAGGATTTCTTGATCAAGCTAGCATGACAGAGTCATGGACAGACGCACATATATCATCCGCGGCTTTAAGAATTTCGTTCAAGGTGCCCCTTAGCCCTGTGCCCTTGCTTTGAGTAATTCCTGATAACAGTTGCAGAAGCGTAATGGATCTACGGGTCCTATCCCGGCCGCTGACATGTTGCATTCTGCTTTCCGTCATTTGCAAACTCTCTCCTCCGAATACAGGCAGATTACCATAGTTTTGCTATCGGGCCCAGGGAATTCCCGGGTGTCCGAACAGATACTGAAGTCCAGGGGGGTCAAGAAAGCACATGATACCTGGAGGGAAACTAACTCAACATCAGTGGCAATGACTGAATCCATTCCGTCATTGGCACCACTGTGCTACCCTTCAAACTCATCTTGCAGTGACGCAACAGGCAATTGTTCGGGGCACGGTTATTGTTACAGGAAGTTTGGGTACACAAACGGCGTAGCTGCCGATGATTGCTATGTATGCAAGTGCCAAGAGACTATCCTTCGGAAAGGCGATGGTACAGTGCAAAAAATAAAATGGGGGGGGTCTGCGTGCCATAAAAAAGATGTTAGCTCCTCATTTTTCTTGATTGCAGGGATTAGTATTACGGTGATATTGGCTACGAGCGCTGCTGTCTGGAGCTTATACCGTGTTGGCGAAGATCAACTACCAGGTGTTATAAGCGCTGGTGTTGGGGGGGCGAGAGGACATAAATGAAACAACCTCGCTTCTATATGTCAGTATAATTTACCATTATATTGCCTAGTTATATGATGTTGTTTGTTTGCTGTTTTTAACCTCGAACGTTGTAACTTGAGTATATGATCTTTTAGTGCTGGAATACTGCACTCTATTGCTACTGAAACCCAAGTGGAGATTTGGGTGGTATTTATAATTGTAAAATGCTAATGAGATTGGTGGGACTATGGCAACTCACCTGTGGGCTGTACATTAGTAACATATAGCAGCTGCGGGAGTAGTTGGGACGCTATCTTCCATATCGCATTCTAGCAACGCCAGCGTAGCTAGAAATATACCAAATAATAAAATGGGTTAGCTTAGTCTATGTCAAAAATACAAAAACAACTTCTCAGTTAATAAAATAGTTGGAACAGACATATAGATCTATTGATCCACTGATAACATTTCTGGTGCGGGATATAGATACTAGCTGTAATCCTCTTCAATATGCAGTATAGAGCCAACAGAGATATATTTTAGATAAATACTACACCACAACTAATAGTGATTTAATATAAAATAGCTGGAGCATCTTCTCAGATCCCTCCCGGGCTTTCGAGCTGTACGCCTGACCATTAGAATATTATACTTTCTAGCACTTAAAGAGTTAACAGACCTGTATATAGAAATTGATATCATTAGCAAATAGCCAGAATAGATAAGGACTAATACAGCCTCTACTACCCCGAAGTTACACCGAGCCACCAAAGGGCCAGACAAGATAGGGTCAAATCATTAATGAATACACCCTATTAAAAATGGCACGCAAGATACCATTATCAAAAGACCTTAAACTACAGAATCAACATCCATCATATCATCATCACGCCGCTCATCTGGAATATCAACACCTCCAGCTATAATATCAGGATATTGTGTGCCAACCGCATACCCAGTGGCATGGGAACTTTGAACCCCATATTGGCGAGCTCTTGCTCGCTCTTTTGTCTCAAGCAAGGCCCTTCTCACGTTATCGTTCCCTTCTGGTTCCATCAGAGATACGGTTTCCCTGTAAAGAACCAGCTCACTGCATTCGGCTTTAGATTCTGTGATCATTAACCTTGGCACAGTTGTTAACTTCTCAATCCCAGGAAGTATTGTAATAGAGTTATCCAGAACCTCTGTATCTGCAAGTTCCTGGTCAAGATCCTGAATATAAATTGTGTGTTTCTTATCATCCAATATCATTATATCGGTTGACTTTGGACACTGGCATGTGGTATTGTATGGTCTATAAACTGCTACAGGATCTAAAAGCACAGAAAGGGTTAAAATATACTTCACAATACCTAAAGGGGTCCCTAGGAGAGATACCTATGTGTAGGTGATTAAATCTTTTCACCAAAGGTTGATCACCATCAGGGTCGCTATCTGCGGGGCGTTTTTTTCCGCGAAGAATTCTTCCATTTTCTTGTTGTGCCATCCGCCACATCCAGTCTGCCCTGCTAATGATTGAAGACCGTTAACAGGGTAACAAATTAATAAATAAATATTTCTCCTTTGGCTCCTTTTTTTTTTTTTTTTTCTTTTATTTTTCAAACAAGGATCAAATGCAACTGATTACACGATCAGGTGCATTATTGAGTGGATGGCTTGATGAGAGCCCCAAGAGTTTTATGGAATGGGGAACTGGCTTTGACTCATCTATTATCACCATTTAAGTCGAAACCCAGAACCTTCTCCCATTTTCACACCCCCCACCTTCCATTTTTTTTGCCTGCAAGAACGATCTCACACCCTTCCAGAATGAGTTCAGAATTACAGGAGGGCCCAGAATGGACCGCAAAAAGTGTGCGGAATACTTTTATCCAATATTTTAAAGAAAATGGGCACACTTTTGGTATGCACAACGCTACAACTTCCGCACACATAATGTCACTATTAACATCTAACTGTACACTCACCTAGTTGCCTCATCTCCCGTCGTACCTCTTTCTGATCCCACCTTGCTCTTCACCAATGCAGGGATGAATCAGTTCAAGTCAATTTTCTTAGGCACTGTTGACCCTCATTCAGATTTTGCAAACCTGAAAAGTGCAGTAAATTCTCAGAAGGTTGTTACTTGTCCTAGCACTACGAGTTTCACTAATTATACATATAGTGCATACGCGCTGGTGGAAAACACAATGTAAGTGAGAAACAGCAGTCCCATGGTGAAGAAGAGATAGTAGTAGCTGATTTAGTGATCCTAGGATCTAGATGATGTTGGAAAGGATAGCTATCATCATGTAAGTTGATTAGCAACAAGGAAACAAACAAAGAGATATTTACTATGAATAGACATTTTTTGAAATGCTTGGCAATTGGAGTTTTGGTGATTACTTCAAGCAGGAAGCGATTCAGTATTCCTGGGAGCTTTTAACCAAAGTGTACAGGCTGGAACCCAGTCGTCTTTATGTCACCTACTTTGAAGGAGACAAAAATGGCGGACTCGAAGCAGACATTGAAGCAAAAGAGTTGTGGAAGGCTGTTGGCGTCCCCGAAGATCACATTCTTCCCGGAAATATGAAAGATAATTTCTGGGAAATGGGTGATCAAGGTCCCTGTGGCCCATGCAGTGAAATTCACTACGACAGAATCGGTGGCCGTAATGCTGCCCACCATGTTAATCAGGACGACCCCAATGTCATCGAAATATGGAATAATGTTTTTATCCAGTACAATCGTGAACAGGATCGCTCTTTGAAGCCCCTTCCGAATAGGCATGTCGATACTGGAATGGGGTATGAGAGGCTGGTGTCTATTCTTCAAAATAAGTCATCGAATTATGACACCGACGTGTTCACCCCTTTGTTCCAGACCATCAAGGACATCACTGGAGCTCGAGAATACCAAGGGCGATTTGGTTCCGATGATGCTGATGGTATTGATACTGCTTATCGGGTCGTGGCAGATCATGTCCGAACCCTTATGTTTGCGATCTCAGACGGCGTACTTCCAAATAATGAGGGCCGTGGGTATGTTATTCGCCGGGTCCTCCGCCGGGGCGCTCGCTATGCCCGAAAATACTTTGGCGTTGATATTGGAAACTTTTTTTCCCAAATTGTCCCAACTGTGGTAGAGCAGCTTGGCGATATGTTTCCAGAGCTAAAAGTAAAACAAAATGATGTCATGGAAGTCCTTGACGAGGAGGAGCTTGCTTTTGCGAAGACCTTGGATCGCGGAGAGCGACAGTTCGAAAACTATGCCCAGCAGGCTAAGGCGAAGGGGCATTCCAAACTTCATGGGCTGATGTATGGAGGTTATATGATACATTTGGATTCCCTGTTGATCTAACCCGCATTATGGCCGAGGAGCGGGGTCTACAGATCGATGATGCGGAATTTGAGGGGGCTCGTTTAAGGGCCAAAGAGGCAAGCAAAGGTCAGAAAAAGGCCGCAATAGAAACTCTCAAGTTGGATGTTCACGATCTTGGAACTCTGGAAAAGATGAACGATGTTCCAAAAACAAGTGATACTGCAAAATTTGAGAGAGGCAACATAACTGCTCAGGTAAAGGCAATTTACCACGGGAAAACCTTTCATACATCCACAGAAAGTGTATCTCAGGGGGAGCAGCTTGGGATTATCCTTGATCGTACAAATTTTTATGCTGAGCAAGGTGGTCAGGAAAATGATACCGGTAGAATTGTTATTGATGGGCAGGCGGAGCTCGAAGTTGATAATGTTCAACTTTACGGTGGATATGTCCTTCATACCGGCTTCATGAAATATGGCTCCTTTACTGTAGGTGATGCAGTGATTTCTGAGTATGATGAGCTTCGCCGGTGGCCAATCAGAAATAATCACACAGGAACACACATATTGAACTTCGCGCTAAAGGAAGTTCTTGGAGACGGAATAGACCAAAAAGGATCACTCGTTGCGGCTGAGAAACTTCGATTTGATTTTTCGCATAAGGCACCAGTCACAGACAAAGAACTGGAAAAGATTGAGGAAATCTCGACAGAGTATATTCGTCAGAATTGTGCTGTCTATTCGCAAGAAATTCCTCTTGCGACGGCACGCCAAATCTCGGGAGTAAGAGCTGTCTTCGGCGAGACCTATCCTGACCCCGTTCGTGTAGTGTCCGTTGGAGTTGAATTGGATGAGATCCTTAATAATGTGAAAGATCCCCGCTGGGAAAAGGTCAGCATTGAGTTCTGCGGAGGAACCCACGTGCAGAAGACCGGCGATATTAAGGATCTTATTGTGTTGGAGGAAAGTGGTATCGCTAAAGGGATCCGCAGGATTATTGCAGTTACGGGTGAAGATGCCCACAAGGTGCAGCGTGTGGCAGATGATTTCAAGAAGCGTTTGGATTGTCTGGAAGCAATGGTCCTGACCCCAGCAAAAGAGAAGGAAGCGAAGCAAATACAAGTTGATCTTAATCAACTTCTTGTATCTGCTGTCCAAAAGTCAAAGTTTCGGGAGCGTTTTGCACGTATCAATAAGCAGATTATTGATGCACAAAAGGCACAGCAGAAACTTGAGTCGAAAATGGCTGTTGAGACAATTACCTCCTATTTCCAAGCCCCAGAGAACCAGGACAAGTCATGGCTTGTTGTGAACCTTCCTGTTTCGGCAAACGCGAAAGCCGTCAGTGAGTCTTTAAACCATGTCAAATCCAAGCTACCGGACAAGACAGTATATGTGTTAGCTACAGATAAAGATCAGGAACGTGTTATGCATGGCTGTTATGTTTCAAAGGTGTGTATACATTTTTCTCATCAACCCCCCCTATATTATTGAAACGGGCGGCAATAACCATCCTATTTGTTAGGCAATAATCGATCAAGGTGCTTCAGCTAGTGAGTGGACGAATGTTGTTTCTGGCGTGCTTGGAGGGAAAGCTGGTGGGAAAGGACCCACTTCAATTGGCAATGGGGTTCACGCTGATAAAGTTGACGAGGCTATTAATTTAGCTTCTGACTATCTTGGAAAGTTCAAACTGTAAGCTTAACAACACAATGTCTTTTAACTGGGACCCTGGACAGGGGTTATTCTCTAGCTTATAATAAATATACAAGAAACAGCAGAGAATGAGCTTTACATCTCTCCGCATTGTGCAATAATCACGTCCTGGTTGGGCTTATCTCTTGTTGTCCGAGTATTCTCAATCATTCGTACAATATCCATTCCATCAACTACCCGACCAAAGACAACATGCTTATTATTAAGAAAAGGGGTGGCAGTTGAGGTTATGAAAAATTGGCAGCCGTTTGTATTAGGTCCTGAATTCTGAGAGTGTCAGCAATGTTCTTATCTTCTTAATCTAGTTTTATTAGTGACTCACTGCCATACTCAGCAAACCTGCACTATCATGTTTCAGTACGAAGTTCTCATCAGCAAATCTGGGGGTGTTGTAAATAGAACAGCAGCCTGTGCCATCACCATTAACAAAATCACCACCCTGTATCATGAAATCCTTGATCTTGAAGTAGATTAGTTTATGGAATAAGATAGTCTTTTGGATTCATCTACACTTACAACACGGTGGAATTTGCTGTTTTTGTAGCCTTGTGGGCGTCCCTGGGAGTTCTTGCTCTCTCCTGTGCAGAACTGGCGAAAGTTTTCAGCTGTCCGTGGTGTGATATCGGCAAACAGCTCCATTTTTATGCGACCCAAAGGAATTCCTATAAGAATGGACTATTCTCAGCCGGTCTTGGCACTTGATGTATTTATATTTATGTTCATATTTCCACATATCGGCCATGGCTGATGCTTTTATGATATTGCCTACAGTATGTGATGCTTAAAGAGAAGGAGAGAGGGAGGAAGAATTCTGCTGTACTTACCACCCAATGTAATGTCGAAAAAGACAACAGGATTGGAGCTTTGTGTCAAGCTTGAATCCGATTTATCCATAGTATTACACTTTAGCTAGAGAACGGAGAAGGTCGAAGTATTAATAGGTGCTTTCCATGCAGTTGGTCTTTTTAACTTCAATTTGGATGGAGCTTTTTTGAGCCGCAGGTCCTACCTTCGATGGTCCGGAAATGGTAGGTATCTGTCAGTTTTACGAGAAATTCGGTATCGCGTAATACCTATTATCGCCCAAGAAAACAATGGGAGATCATCAAAACTGGTAGACATTAATAATTCCAAGCCAAAAAAATACCCCAAAAAAGAAAAAAAGAAACTGTGACTTCTATTCTGTAGCCTCTGCATACTTGCAGTTTTCGCTCATGTATTCTATCCCCAGACTGCCCTTGTTGACCTCTCCGTACTCTGTATGGCTTACCGATCTCCATTACGGCAACTTAAATGTCATTGTGTAGAAGTTTTGCTAGTTTGCCTGTATAAGTGTATAATTTATCTGAAGTTCAATCTAGACTGTAAATCTTAACCTATAATCTATCTTTTATTCTATCTATCTGTTAACTATTTGTTTTTGTTGAAATTTGTATCTATTTTTCTATCCGGCTTTAATATCAGTATAACTACGGCAATTTGTATGACCAAGCGAATTTTCATACAAGATTAAGAAGTGCTAATTTGGGTCTAATACTCTCAAACCGCAACTGCTACTTACAACTTCAATGTTGGTAAAATTCGGAACCTGAGACATTTTCTCAAGCATACGCTGGAGTAGAAACCTCACTCCCACATTACCACTCCTTTGTGAATTCTAAAACTCCTACACGTTTCTTGTGACCATAGTTCCTCAGAAGAATGCAATACATATTGTCTTTTATTCGCCATATTCAACATATAATCCCACCCAGTCCGCTATTAGCATGTCAGCTACGTTGTCTAGTTCAACCCAGAGGAGATATGTCAAGTTTTGCTCGAAGCTTTTCGAATACTACACAGCTGTATAAAAAGAAGGACAAAGCCAAAAATATTGCGGCGGCAGGGTCGGAAGCGAAGAAATCAAAGATAGGAGTGGTCTCTGAGGACCCATCTGATCTCTCCCTGTTACAACAGGGAATTGCAACTGCTGTGTCCCAGTTTAAAGATGATCTTTCAAAGCTTCGCATGGGCGGAAGGATCAGCACAGATGTTATCGAGGGCCTCCGTGTTCAGTTGCCCAAAGGCAGCAAACAAAGAGTGAAATTAGCAGACTTGGCACAAGTCGTTCCGAAAGGTGGACGGATGGTAACTGTTCTAGTGCCAGAAGTTGATGTGAGTTTCTATATCTACCTTTTAAGGCTTTCTAGGAAGCCGAATAGTGGCGTGACTTTCCTTCTAATTGACTTGCCAAATATTAGTATCTAAAACCAATCACCTCAGCTATCCTTTCTTCCAATTTGTCCTTGACCCCCCAGCCAGACGCTCATAATGCTCTTCAGCTTAATGTCCCAATTCCACCCCCTACGAAAGAGTCGCGTGAGAAGACCGTTGTTTTTGCCAAAATGGCAATGGAGAAGGCCATTACTGCAGTCCGAGACTCAAGGAGCTCTGTCCACAGACGCCTGCAAGATATGCAGAAGAGGAAAACTGCTAGACCCGATGACATTCGAAAGGTGCAAGAGCAGATGGAGAAGTTAACAGAAAAGGGACAGAAAGAAGTAAAGGAGTTGTTTGAAGTCGCAAAGAAGAGCATGGAGCGTACATGAGTAAAACTGTTTGGAGACGAAACAAGGGGGTTTCAACCTAAATCAAGCCGGATGTGTAATGTGTATATATATAAACAGTAAGTTAAACAATTCCATCCTAAGAGTCCTCAATATAGAGAACCAAAAGTATTATGTTCCGCCTTCCTTCTCTCCTCTTATTAGATACAATGACGCCAATTGGTCCATAAAGGATACACAAGCAACAGGAGAGTGGGATTTAATAAGCCATACAATGCTGCTACTATTGCTGCTTCTTTAGGAGCTTGAGTGCATAATCCATCCACATAACCTCATTCCTATGTTCCTTCTCTTCCAGGCAAATATTCAAACACTTTTCACGGGACGATTTGAAGCCAAGAGGGACTCTAGTTTGGAAATAAACTGCAAGCTTTTCCCGGCTGTCACATACGTCTCATTATTTTTGAGATTCTTCATCGCATCCACAACAAGGGCTGGTTTTCCAACATGGTCATTTTTGGGATAACTTCCCTGAACAAAAGACTGTAATAGAGCATTCCGGCTCTCCGTATTTATTGGTTCGAAGTGAACTTCTTTAGGTTCAACAAGTCCGCCTTTGCGCTGCGAATTCTTGTCTGCACTTTGTTGAGAAAGTTTCATGGCCTCCATTGATGCCTGATTGTTCTCCTCTTGGTCAAGGAAGTAAACATATCGGCCATTGAAGAGCCGGCTACCCAGCTCATAGGGTGGAACATAGCCATTTGGAGTCCGGTCACTTAGCCACAGCAAGGTCTTCAGAATCCCGGCACTGTAGCCAGTAACATTTGTGGGAAAAGATGGCCAAGTTTCCACCAAGCTGGATAATGCGGGAGCTTGAGGGCTATAATGGCTTGGGACAGTCTTTGTTCGTTCCGCGAGTTTTCGGTACCCGTCTTCGATTTCAGTTCTTTGTACAACATCGCCATCATCCATGTCCGAATGTTTTGCGGTCAGAGAACGGCCTTCCTTTCTGCCCTTTGAGGCCGAAGGCTTTGTGGGATTACGGTTCCCATGTCTGTAAGCTGGTGGTCCGTTACGATTACGGAGTCTTGGAATTCTGAGAACATTTGCAGGAGGGCCACCGGCCTGAGGAGTCCCCAAGGATCTTGCGTCGACAACTCTTCGGGGACGAGGGCGATCGAAATGGGTGGCTTTTGACTGAGAACTCGGCGGAACGTTAGTCTTACTAGGGACGCGAGAGGGCGAGACAGTAGACGAATTTGACCGATTTACTACATTTTTGCCTGTAGATATTTAGAAATAAAACAAAAGGATATCAGTATCGAAGAGGAAAAACAACTAAGCAAATTTGTGCACACAAAATACACTCGGTTGTGGGGTGCTATACGTACTGCCCTGATTTGAGATATCTTTCGCTGGTCTGTGGGCGACAGAAAATTGGCGAGTAAATAACAGAGACACATCTATTGGAGTAGTTCGCTTGCGCTGTAGAAGCATTGAGCGATGGTGGAGCATCTTGCCTGAAAATGACGAAGAAAATCTGGGGGCGATGGTGTAGTGAAAAATGTACTCCTGTCTTCGTAAGGTTGCCTAATCACGTGATATAATGTGTCGTCGCAATGCCTAATCTCGCTGGAGGTCCCTCTCCATACATTATTATCTTATTTTTGTCCCGGAGCCGGTTACAAGCTTGTTCTAGAATATGCTTCGTCGCAAGCCTACGGCAATCGCCATAACATCCGAAGATCTACTTGTCTTCGAAGAAGTTCGAATGCGGAAGCAAACCGAACAAAACCGAAATCAAGAACATGTCAAAACCAGTCCTCGTGTCAATTTTGACCCAAGCGACGAGTTGAAACCTCTACCAGGTGACAAGGCCAGGATTGTCCGCTCACGTGAAGAGCGAATAGGCCTGAGTCGGCACAACTGAGCTGGCATATTAATTCGGATTCCAGCCCATCTATTTGCAAGTGTAGCAGGTTACTTGATGCTCTTTGCACTTGTCTCACCTTTTTTTCGGATCGCATTCGAACTATCTTTCAGGATATTGTGTCCTGACTCGTGCACTCAAAGACGTCCATTTTTTTTCTTTCCTTTTTCAAAAACCATTTTCACCGGAAAGCTCTATACGAAAATGTGCTCGCCATGATTTTATGCATACTATACATTTCTCTTATCAGAGTTTTAGTCTGATGATTGTGTCCCTTAGTGGTGATACGTGCAATGTTTAATCTTGGACAGAACTACTAGTACTACTAATTTTGCCCGTGTCAGAGCGAAAATTACATTACTGTTTCTGAGACCGTAACATAATCTACATGTTGTGAGCATGAAAATTATTTGTAGATGAAGCAGAGAAACATCTCTCGTATGTACAATTAAAATGAAAGGATGTTTCAAGAGTAATAGATAGAATATGTTTTTCCTTACTGCACGAAAATATGGCTTGGATGATTGACTTTCGTTCACGATTGTTGACTTGTATAGTTGATTTAAGTGGTTATTTCTGCAAGAAAGCCTGGTAGATCGTTGCAAACCAATTGACGGGTTTTTTAATTCATTTCCTAATGTTAACGTTGACGCTTCGGGTTATGTTCTGTTTCCAGGTCTATTGCATAGTTCCACTGTCGCTTTAAACCAGTTGGATCGAAAACGCTCGCAACACTTTGCTGCCAATCGCGCGCCGTGAATACGATTTGCTGCCCGCTAAACTGGGGATGTGATATAGACTGCGTGGGTGCAACTGAAGGGATCTTCGCCGGTTGCCCGTATTGGACTGGATATTGACCACCCAAAGAATTTTGTATTCCCTGAGTACTATTATTATGCATGCCCATCAGCGGCGAGCTTGTATTTATAGAGGACGGCCCAATGGAAAATGCCATATTCCACTGGCTATATAGTATATGGGAGTTAGTGGGATGGGAATCTGTATTATGAATGAGTTCCTTACTTGATAATGCGTGTAGGATCCCAGCTATTTTCGTCAACTAATGGAACGTCGATCGAAAGGCATGAACTCGAATGAGAAGGAATTATCCCCAGCTGATGAATGGCAGAATTATTGGACTTTGAATCTTCAACACTACCTGATATCGGCGTCATTGGGTTGGCTGTGTAACCGACTCTGTTCTGAAGACCGCCAGCACAATAATTCAACCGGGGGTTATAATGCGAATCAAGTGGAGGGCTTGGGTGATAAGTTTCTGATGGACTTCCATAGGGAAATGTGGGCTTAAGGTCGAAGGGGTGGTTGATATCTGCAGAAAATGCAAGTCGCAGAGAATCAATCTGTGCCTGTATTTCTGGCATTGGCCAAGCGGACGAGCATCGTTCAAGTATACGCATGTGTCTTATAAAGTAATCTCGTGCATCTGTGTGAAAGCTGGGATCAGGAGACGTTATGGCAACCTGGAAAGAAATAAGTCTTCTACAGATAAAATCAATAAAGCAGCGAGCATGAGAACTTACCAAGTGCAACATTGTACAGGTTAATATGCAGTATATTGCAAAATTAATGCCTCTTTGCATGAAAAGAAGGCCTGATAGGCCAAAACGATCCAAAATTGCTTCCTGGAGTCTACAAATATATTTCGCTGAGGCGTAGCATACAGCCATATGTATTTTACCACCACCGTTGGTGGAAAAGGATTTAGACGCTAGCAGTTGGGGTCGGTGCAACATAATAATTCCCAAATGACAATGTGAGTGCATATTCCCGACAAAGTGAGAAGGTATCCAAGGTGGCAACCCGTTCGGGGGGTAGTTAACTTGTAAATCTGGAGGCAAACTTTGAAGCCAGTCAGTGAAGAGAGGATTTTTTTCAGCCAATTTAGGGCTTGCCCCCCAATCCTTTTGTCTCTTTATTTTGTGATAAACGTCAGTGATAACACGGATATGACGAGCATTCTGAACAAAATAGGCATATTGCCTTGATCTATCAATTTCAAACTGATCAAGATCTTTAGCATTCAGTTTGGGGTTTATATCTACGGTATCAGGATCCACACCGTAATCCGAACGGCCTGCAAAAGGTTATAATCTATAACAAGAAACATATAACCGGATCACGTACCCTGTGGTGCACCAATCATTACTTCAACAACTAAAAGAGCCTGCCACACTCTCGTCTGAACTAAGCATTCTGTTGGACTCAAATCACATGATTGATTCTCGGCGTGCGTATTGTAATGTTCATGGATATCCAGATCTTTGGCCATGGAAATGATGGTTTTCACAGTTTGCCAAGAACGATAATAATAGCCCTTTTTTGGTAATGATTCCCTGGCCTTTAAGAGGAGTAGAAGTGCTTGGATAGTGCTTAATCGTGGTACATCCATAAAGCTTGATTCATGCCCTAAATATAGAGTACTCAAAGATCAGTATGAGAGGAAATGCGACAGCAACAGAAAGAAAGGATTTTTGGGGCAAGATGTCTCACTGTTCGCTAATGCAAGCCACTGTGCCCCTTGAGCCGGGTCATCTGAGAGTCTCCCCGCACATGCAAATAACGCTTCCAGAAGAAGAGGAGAGATGGAGCTACGCTCATTTTGCCATTGGTAGTAAAGATGAGACCGATGGACCACCGGTATGTAAGGGTGTATATCATCGAAATAGATTTTAAAATAGCTCATAGTATCATCATCAGATGGCATAAGCTCCGGGGGAATTCGAATTCTGGAGCCTGCCCCAGTGGTAAGAGGGGGCAACGTTCCCTCGGCTTCGTCTTGTAATAAAGCTTCTGGTTCGGCTCTTTCTTTCCTCTGTTGCCTGATATAAGGAGCTAGTGGTGGTAAATAATAAGTTTCTCTTCTTCGTCTGTTAAAAACGACTATAAGGCTTACCGATACCAGTCTCATCTATTTTGAGCTCACCCAAAACCTCGGAGAGGTCTTCTGCGGTTGACTCGGGCCTGCCAATGCTGCTTTCTGCCGTTACCAGCGCCTGTGCATTTGACGTAGAAAAAATCCGTGATTGCTGGTAGGAGTGTTGTGGTATGACTATTTGAGGTGATTGCATTTCATATACAGAAGTTTGGTGGGCAGAAGGATGCGCAAACTGTGAAAACATCCCTAATGTGTCGTACGACGGAACGCTTCCCGCGGTGGGTAGCGCACTGTGCCTCAAATCCTGCTGAGAAGAAGAGAAAGACGATAAGGGGAGTTCTGACGCATCAGATGCACTTAGAGAGCCTGTCGGTCCGGCCTCAATATTTTGCTCTCCAGATATGTCACTGTCTTGTACAACTGCGGGGGGCACGCATACTAGTTTTAGGCGAGTGCATGCGGAGCAAGGCCATGTGTTTGTCGTTGCAGAATCACATTTAATTTTCCGCTTTCTGCAGCCATTGCACGCTCGCATTACTAGTTGAACACAATTTAGTAATCAACAGATTATTGAAAACATAGTGGTGCGGCATACCCTTAAGACGTTTGTGCCTATTGTGTTCATCAACAAATACATAGTCTAGATCGAAGACGTTAGTGATCAGCCGGAAGTAAATGCATCAATTCCCTTCTGTGCCACCTAGATATTGATGAAGGGTAATGCTTCCATAGAAAAAGCTTACTTTTATGGCCCTCCCTTAGAGGGCCCGATGGTGAAGCAAATGAATATCCCTGCATTTCGATGTCCGAACGTAGGTGCTAGCAGAACCGATAGACACGGAGAAGCAACAGGTAACAATAAAGTATATAGTAGAAGATTGCGTTTTATTTGCAAGGCCAGCCCTGTCTAGATAAAACCGCATCCGAAGGAGGGAAGGAAATAGTGCCAACGGAAATAGCACCAATGGCAACGAGGATGATAGAAGATGAACAGGGTGGGAGCAAGAGAAAACAGTTACGTTTAGTAATCTTTTCAACTTTAAAGTCTAATGAGAATGATAGTCAGTAACTCAAATACGATGCCTCCATGGTCACACTGGAGGATGTTTACTACTCCCCGTGCTATTGGAAAAGACAACTGGACAAAGGCAGCCAAGTATCTGTCCAGAGAAGCGCTGGAGAATCTTTTACCGTTGAGTCTGATAATAATAAGTGCACCACAGGATAGTAAGAAATCTCGCTTGTGGTAGCAATCGATATCGTGGTCTTTGAGCTCCTCTGAATGGATTGCTTCGGCACCAAAAAAAAAAAAGGAAAAAAAAAGAAAAAAAAAGAAAAAAAAAGAAAAGAAAAGAAAAGAAAAGAAAAGCTGTCACAGCTAGTTGAGAGGTATTCTGAAGCTTTTGATAAGGCCGGAACGGTATCCAAAAGCCTTTATACCACACTGGGCGAATATATTAGAGGATATGATATAAAACTCCACATGTACTTTTTAGACAAGACAAAAAAGGGAACAGGCGAAGATGTCTAGACTCAGTTGTTAGTCAGGTGAAGATTAGAAATGCAGAGAAAGAGTGGATGGAGAAATTGAAGAGAGGATAGAGGTGGGGGAGAATATAGATGTTGTGAGATTATAAATTGATCCTGTTGTAACTTGTATGAAAACAGTAGGCTTTAACAATGTGTAGTGTGATTGGCAAGAAACAAAAACACATTTAACACCTTACAAATAAAAGATGGTAGAAGAAGCCTATTCGGCTTGCATTGTGGTTCGGTACTATTGGTATCTTGGAATTCCACGTGAATTTCTAGGGTATAGTATACTGGTACTATCCCATTTGACAGTCAGAATTTGAACGAGATAAACGACAGGCATTGGGGTGCAACAACTGCAGTCTTGGGGGGAGCTGGTGATTAGGTAGCTAGCTATGAGAGCTGCCAAAGCTGGGGAAAATAAAAGGAGGTAAGGTAATTGGCATCAGGGGAATCAAAGGCCCACCAATGTAACAGTTTCACGTGTGGAAACAAATCTATGTGTATGCCTGGGTGGGCATGTGACAACCACTTTGGCTAGTTAAGAGGCTGTCTGCCATATCATTGTTTCAGGAATTTTGGATGGTAGTATGTAGATAGTGATTAAGATCGGGGAGATTTGATGATTGTTATAAAGTGGAAGGCGGAAAGCCAATAAAGAGCAGGAAGATTAAGAAGCATGTCAGGAAGTGGTGCGGGTGTGAGAATCACTTAAGGACCGCCTCGGATGTTGAGGAGCCGCAGGACTACCGTAGATACCCCGTGTCCTGATACATACCAAGCGTCCGAGTACTCTCTATCCACACTTCTAAGCTTCACTGCCGGCTTCATCGTGAACTGGAATCTCATTGGAGGAAGATCCTAAGATATGATAACCACAAAATTTGTGGACTCAATCTATTTTGCTCTACTAGTACGGAGTGCCTTTCAGTAACCAGAGAACTTAAGCCTTAATACAAATTAGGTAATAAGTGTAAGTATTATTTTAGAGGCACCTCTATATACATAATAACTACTACATACTTTGTACTATCTAGTTCGAAGGACAATGCGCTTACCCAAGGTGCCAGCCTACCTTAGTTAACTAATTAACTGTACCATGCACATTACCACATTGGCTGTACTGTCCCGCTCATAGGCAGGAACATGCTCTCTCTCGCTGTAGACGGTTAAAACAAGCAGAACTTCAGAAATAGAAGGATTCCTCTGATTATCCTCAAGTGCTCCAGTTTCTTTGCACTTTTCAGTTACAAGCATAAGGACTTTCTCAGTTCGAATTCAATCATAAATTCAGTGTTAAATGGTTAGCTATCAATTGTAAGCACCTCAAATGAGCTTGAGTTTCAAATTTCTATTCGAACGGAATGTATTATATACCTGGATGCGGAAAATAGTTGTTCCCGGGATTATAGTTGCCTCTCCTCCAGCTTTAATATTACAGTACTGGCAAATGCTTCGGCCGCTATCAATTCAAAATTTGATGGACTAGTGGCCGCGATGCAGAACTCAAACCCCACCATCATAAATTCCGCAGATCTTCCAACACGATTGCACCCTGCAGTGCTCCGCAAGCCCAGTGCCTTAGGAAGCACTCTTTCCCCCACTGCATTATTTCCTTGCACAGATCCAAATGATCTTTTTTCTACTGGCTCTGTCTCATCTGTTGCACCAGAAAATGACTGTGATTTGATTAAGGAGCCAATTGATGAGCAGGAAATTTATGGTAAGAACATTTGTATTTTGCTTTTTTCAGTGGCAACTTTGCTCGTGGGTATCCTTATGCAGCGTCTGATACTCCCTAGATCTTGTATCGACTATATCTGACCCAGAGCATCCAATATCATTGGGAGCGCTAGCGGTTGTTTCACTTCCAGATATCTCAATCATACCAACTCTTCCAGATGTGTCCAATTCTCACCTTCGAACGGTCACTGTTCTCATAACGCCGACAATCACGCACTGTAGCCTGGCTACCGTCATAGGCCTTGGTGTGCGAGTTAGACTTGAGCAGTCCCTTCCACCGCGATTCCGCGTGGATGTACGGATTAAGGAAGGGACACATAGCACTGCTGATGAGGTAAACAAGCAGTTGGCCGATAAAGAGCGAGTTGCTGCTGCTTTGGAGAATGGCACGTTAATGGGCGTTATCGCCAAAATGCTGGAGACGTGCCAGTGATGTCCACTGACACTATATACGGGATATTCTTAGTATGACCGTTATTGCTATTGTAAATCTTAGCGCCACATGAAATTATGACAAATGATTGAATTTTTTTTTACAATACAACGACTGCATCCATCCCTATTTAAAAAAATATATGCGAGCATCTAAATAACCTCCTTTAAGAGGCCGTCATGAATCCAGAACGCCACTTTCCTTTAGACCCTTCCACAGATCTGGCTCTAGAAATTTGCTTACTGTGACATCCTCTGCGAGCCCTTTGCGTCTCCTTGTTTTCAGTACGAAATCTCGAGCAGTAGCCATCGCGGGTGCCATTTCAAGGGGCTTTGTTTTGACATCCCGGTCCAATGGATCTCCTGGGACGACACTCCACTTATCGAAAACAAGACTTATTGAAGCTTGGCCTTGTGTGTGGATTCGAAGGTCTGTCTCGAAACCAAACGAGTCTATAACAGGAATCAAGCCACGCACTGAATATAGTGGTGTACCGGCAATTGGGCCATCGGCAAGGACATGGCCTCTCCTGCGCGAAAGAACAGTATACATCGATGCGACAGCATCAGCGGGCCCTGTCATTGCGCAGGCATAAATGGGTTCCATCAAGCGTGGTGATGCCATGAGGAATGAAGAATAGACGGCGCGGCGGGCAGTAGGAATGATTTGGCCGCCTCCCCTGTAAATAGCTTGGTCGGCAAGTGAAACGTCCGTGAGTCGAAATTTTGTGTTTCGAATTGCTGGTTTTCCATATTAGAATATATCCACGAGCCATCTCTTTTTGAACATGCTCAAGTGTTAGAGAGAGACTTACGCTCTTCACATAAAGGACCCTCTCTTGTCCCCCAATTAAAACCTTGTGTAATAGTATCTCTGACACTTCCAATAAGCTTCTTGTCGACTTGGGATGGCAATGTGTCGTCGAGTAATATATTGGGGCCCATGTCATCTGGACCAAATGCCCATATGCTTCTCGCTGCGAGTTTATCCCAATCATATTTCTCTTCAAAGAATCGTGCCATTTTCCGGATTGGATCCTTGATGCGGACTTTAGCGCCCTCAATATCTTCAGCGATTCCATCGTCCAGGGGCTCGGCAACCATTGTGATCTTGTTCTTTTTGTTTGGTGTAATGGAATAGCACATGATGGCTGAAGTCTCAGCAACGGTTTCACAGAAGCGAGTGACGGGATCCGAAACTTTGATTTCCATCCCTGAGTATAACCTTCGAAGGTCATGAAGAACGCAGTCCATATAAAGTTCACCAGTACCCAAAATGATGTGTTCGCCGGACTCCTCTACCTTCGTTGAAATAAGTGGGTAGCTTTTATTGACTTTACGAAGGCCGTCGAGCATCTTCGGAAGTTCGGATGGATTAACCGGTTCAACGGCAACTTTAAATACGGATTGGGTCAAATGCCGGATTGGCTTGAAGATGTACGCGTCCTCATCATCGGGAAGTGCTAGAGGCACAAGTGTTGCCGTTTTCACAATGGAATTGTCCACACCACCCAGAAGGACGAAATTCCCAGCTGGGACGCCGCTGGTAGGGATGTTATAACAAGTCTCGGTAATCCATGTGTCAGTGATAGTCGCGGTTACCATGTCTTCTTCGTCTTCCGGAGTGTAACCCTCGCCTAAAATCCGAACCTGTTGGCCGGGTCGAGCAGTCCCGCTTAGTATTCTCCCCAAAGCGCGGAAGCTTGAAGCATCAGGTGTAGGGAAAAGTTTTGTGATATGGATAACGAGTGGACCTTCTGCATCGCACGTAGTCATAGCAGAAGCCAGTTTAGTGTCAAGAGGGCCTGTATAGTACCTTTCTAGCTTCTTTCGGGCACCATCAACGGGGGAAGGTACATGCTGGATGATCATATCCACAAAACCAGTTGCGGGGCCAAAAAATTGCCCACAGACCAGGTTGAGTAGCACCTTTGCATCTGACTTTAATTGGGAAGGTTTCAATATGATACCCACATTTGCAAGCGTCCTCTTCAGATCTTCTGCACTTTCGCTTATGGAATGGGAATAGAGTTTGTAAATAGGTTCCAGAACAAAATGTACAAATGTACGCTTGGAGTTTTCTTCCATCCCTTTTCGAGTAAATTTGCGGCTCCTGGGATTAAAGAATATATCACCCCAAAGGCGGAGGGCAAAGTCAGCTGTCTCAATTTGGGGAAAACTCTCCGTATACATTTTTGCGAATGATTGTAGTGTGAAACACCAGCCCATTGAAGCACATGCGAAGGCGACATTTCCTTTCTCTGGACTCAGGCGTCTGCTTTCACCTTGCCCAGGCAAGACATTTTCAATGACTGAATTGACCTCTTCAATCACGTGCTTTAATTTAAAATATGCGTCATTGGGAGGTATCTTCAGCTCTAGAATCAATCTGTCCATCTTATTCACAACCATTGTTATGGGAAGGTCTTCTAACACGGCGTGTTTAATCATTTGTTCAGTATTGGCTTGCACACCTTCCACGATGTCAACGATCAGCACCACACCATCTGCCAATCGGGAGGAAGCAGCTACTTCGTCCACAAAATTCACGTGCCCCGGTGTATCAAGAATGTTGAACAAGTGAGATTTCCCCTTGGTGCTTTGTAGAACCAGGCTCATAGGAGATGACTTTATCGAAAGCCCCCGTGTTCTTTCTAGAAAGTGCACATCGGTATACCGAAGTTGCTCTTCCAGTAGCGTGCCTGCTCGGTTTTGTAGGCGTTCTGTTAGGTCATGTGTTTGAATGACAAGCATATCCATAAGTGCTGTTTTCCCATGATGTAGATGTCCAACAAAGGCAATATTCCTTATTTGATTAGGAAAACTAAGCAAGTCTGACATGAACTTCCGAGAAAAACGAACAGGCGGCAGTTCAGCTTCTTCAAATGCAAACTTCTTTTGCAGAACAGGGGCAATTATAGGTTCAGACAGAGGTTGCATGTCCTCCTCTTGAACTAGTGTTTCGACATCTGCCCCATAAACTTGCTGTGCACTGGGATAATATTGTTTGTCTTCATGAAGGATCACAGCGTTTGAAACATGTTCTATGAAACTTGTTAAAACTGTTGGCTACAGATGTCCCAGAGTCTCTCACCATCTGCCTCCATTAATTGTGGCCCATTGTGTTCTTCGTATTCCTCCTCTCCAAATGCCTCACTGAAGGAGAATGTGTGTGGCCTAGCTTCATTGTGCTGACCCTCTTCATCCGAGTCAGCGGGCTCGCCAATGTAGTTACCGAATCTGTACGGGGAAATTGTCAGCTAAGATATCTCAAGACATAATAATTTAACTCTCCAGTAGCATACTCATCATAAAGGTCATCCATTTCGCTGTGAGAAGGATGGGTTCTGCCAGAAATTGTCACCCGTCTTAAGAAATAATGCATTTCTTTTTTCCTCGCAGGTCGTGAGTGGCCCGAGCTTGGCATGCATTGTTTGTAGCCCCGCCGCCTCCCATGCCATTGAAAAGGCTCATTTTCTTCTTATCTTTCTTTCACTCAAGCAACTATTATTCCTTGAAACTAGTGAGCTTTGGACTCCAACCTATCTAGGTTATTTCCTGTGGTGTTGACGAAGGAAAAGTTAGTACAATATTTCCTCTATTCGAGGTTTTGGATCAATACCGCTCTTCAAGTCTTGCTTTCCAATATGTCTTCGCGTCCCGCAGTTTACATCGTCTCCTCTGCTAGGACTCCTGTGGGCTCTTTCCTGGGGTGAGTTCACCCTTATTTTATTTGAAAAACTCCCTTGTACTTGAATACCTGTGAAGAGAGAGCTGATTTTTATTTTCTCTCTTCCTTCACAGTGCCCTTTCTAGCCTCACTGCCCCGCAACTTGGTGCCCATGCAATTAAAGGTATGGTATGTCAGATTAAGGCTGTTGTCAATAGTCTAACTAGATTCGATCCTAGCTGCTCTCAGCAAAACTGAGGGAGTAAAGCCATCCGATGTTCAAGAAGTGTTTTTCGGCAATGTACTTTCTGCGAAGTGAGTTGATATTTGTACATCGCTAGCCACCTAACTTCAGCCTATTTTACTTATTTCTTCAAATTAGTGTTGGACAGAATCCTGCTAGACAATGCGCTCTTGGTGCCGGCCTTGAAGAATCGACGGTGTGCACTACAGTAAATAAGGTTTGCGCGTCTGGTTTAAAGGCAGTCATTCTTGGGGCACAGACCATTATGACTGGAAATGCTGATGTCGTGGTGGCTGGTGGCACCGAATCCATGTCAAATGCTCCTCACTACCTTCCAAATCTTCGCACCGGTGCGAAGTATGGTCACCAAACCATGGTGGATGGTGTCATGAAGGATGGCTTAACGGATGCAGGTAAGCAAGAGCTTATGGGTTTTCAGGCGGAGGAGTGTGCCCAAGATCACGCTTTTAGCCGAGAACAGCAGGACGCTTATGCTATTCGGACCTACGAGAAGGCTCAAGCTGCCCAAAAGGCTGGTCTCTTTGATAACGAGATCGCACCAATTGACCTTCCTGGTTTCAGGGGTAGACCCGGCGTGACAGTGGCACAAGACGAGGAGCCAAAAAATGTAAGAGAGCTATAATTTCCGTTCTTTGGCTTATATAGTCCACACTTTGAAACTGACATTCTTGCTTCAGCTCAATCCCGATAAGCTTCGGAGCATTAAACCTGCATTCATTCCTGGATCTGGAACTGTGACAGCACCTAATTCTTCACCCCTAAATGATGGCGCTGCAGCCATTGTGCTAGTTTCAGAGGCTAAGTTAAAAGAGCTTAACTTAAAACCAATTGCGAAAATCCTTGGGTGGGCAGATGCTGCCCAACAGCCTAGCAAATTCACGACGGCCCCAGCACTTGCTATTCCCAAAGCCCTCAGCCATGCTGGTGTGAAGCAGGACGCTGTTGATGCATTTGAGATCAACGAAGCTTTTAGTGTCGTTGCTCTCGCCAACATGAAGCTACTCGAGATCCCGGAAGAGAAAGTCAACATCCATGGTGGTGCCGTTGCTATTGGACACCCTCTTGGTGCCAGTGGTGCTCGCATATTGACCACGCTGCTTGGCGTTTTGAAGGCAAGGAATGGTAAGGTCGGTTGTGTCGGAATTTGTAATGGCGGAGGGGGTGCCAGCGCTATGGTGGTTGAGTCACTCGTCTGATTAATCAGTAACCCGTGTCTGGCTGAATTCAAGGCTGCCTCTACGAATCGAAGTTGGCCTCGGCATAGATTACCTCAGATGGAGATGCCCTTGGGTGGCAATTGAATCGCGGATTTTTAGGACATTAATAGTCTAGATATGCTGACCCACATTTACATACTGTTTTTTGATCCGCAGAGTCTCTTGGTATCTGAAGAAATTGCTCTGAACATAACAACCATCTCACTCGCAGTATCTAAACCTAAGGGGCGATGCGTTCCAAATGTGTTCAAGCTTGTCTGACCAATCTGCAATAGCGCGGCACAGAGCAAGCTTAGAGTCACTACAGTCTAGCATATGGCAGTTGCCGTATGTTACCATCTAAAAGAAATTTATTTGCGGTCGTCGACTTGTGTAAGCTTCGAATGCCAGCCCTGCAGGACTTGAACTAGTTACTACCTACAATGCAGCTATTCCTGGTGTGGTAGGGATACTAGATCCAGTCCAGTATCTTTTTCAACGAACATCTAAGTCTCCATGCCTCATGCATTAAGATAACAGGGTATTGGTAGGCTCAGGGAAAATAAATGCACTATATTCTGATACATAACGGTTCACTGGCTAGTAGCTATGTCAAACATATACTCGGCCCATCGCCCCCACACCGCTTCCGGTTTGGGGCCTCCCCGGCTCAACGGGATTTTGGGCTCAACGGGAAAAGTCACAAAAAGTTCAATTATTTGACCAATTTGGCCACCATAACAGGGTCATCTAATATAACTACATCTTCCAACATTGGAGTAGACACCATAGAATGCCTTTCCCTAGGTAAATTGACTGTAGGGCTAGGTGGGGTGGTTTGGCACTGTGCAGGAACCTCTGCACCTAAAGGCACCCTTGTTCTTTGCCTCCATTCTTTCTCAATTTCTTTCGCTATTCGGGCTCCAATTTGGCGATTGGCATCCTTAGCAAATAGAGGTCCTCCTATATTAACTCTTCGACGTGTCTTCTTAACCTTCTGAGGCTCCTTGGTGTGTAAAATGCGGCTATATCCTCCCCATGTTAAGCTGCAACCTCCGCCTGTATCAGACTACCTTGGAAAATTAACTCCAGATGGGTATATAGTTTGCTATGCACCTCCTGTAGAATATCTAGTTTTCTCTGTGCCTTTTTAATACTATGCCGCAGTTTGGTAACTGTTTTGGGTGGTGGTGGTGGAGGAGTGGCGTCGTTAAAGATTTGAAGCTCTGGGGAAGGAGACTGGGCCTTTTGCAAAGGCCCTAATATAATATCTGGCTTGAATGGATAAATGCCTGTGTCCAAGAAGGAAGAACGTATAGTACGCTGTTTAAATATAGCCATTCTAATAGCATGAATCTCCGGGAGAAAGTCTTTTTTCTCCTTAACAGTTCCGCCCCACTGTACAATTATATTGTTGTTCCGCCGTTAGTAATGCTTAGACCTGGAAAGGTTTACCATCCAGTGGTTGTAGAAGATGTGTGCAATGAGGTGGAAAACTGTAGGCAAGAATCCTATGGTCCTGGCAGTACTGTAGGAATTCAACTGTAAGATGAGAGCCATGGTTATCCATAAAAGCAGCCGCCACTCTCCTGAAGCTCGGTGTTTTGTTGATTTATTAAAAAAGCAAAGCCAATTATATGCAATTGAATCATTAGTCCATCCATTAGATGTGGGTGCAATTCGATAGTCGTCTGGAAGTGTAGGTTGTTAATGATACCATGCCTCCATGTGCCATTAACCTTTAAAAAGGAAGTATAGGCTTATTACCCAACCATCTGCAGCAATACACTCAATTGTAGTTACTATTTCTCCTGATCCGCCAGTTGCTATGTGTGCTGATTTATAACGATTAGTAGTAACCACATTCTGTGCCTTTCCTTGACCCAATTGGAAACCACTTTCATCGAAGTTATAGATATTGGCTGGACGGATTTTATACTGGCGAATTGCAATCTCTAAACGGTTATACCAAGCCTGAAGAGTCCTAATATCCTCTGCTTTGACTCGCTTATTATCCATGGGTTTTTGTTTTAAAAGACTGAATTGTGGAGGGAGGCGTTTAATAAAGCGATAGACCCAAGTATGGCCAACAGTAACCTCCTTTTACTCCGAGAAAGAATCTCATTGGCACACTGTTTAATTATTTGTGGAATAGGTGAAGTATTGGCATTATCAAGCAGACTAATCCATTGAATCGAGGCCTCCTCCTGGGCATCATCAAGCGCCTTGTTGGTGCTTAGGCGAGTTGATCGAGAATTTCTTCCCTGAATTCTAGCAAGTAGGCGTTTATATGGCACATTAAATTCACGCGCCAATGGTGCAATTTTCGCTTTGTTTCTGCTGGTATAGGCTGTGCAGGCCTTATTAATGCGATTTTCTATTTCAATATATTTTGAAGCCATAATGTGGTTGAAAAATTGATGAAATAAATGATGAACTGGATGACTTTTTCCCGTTGAGCCCAAAATCCCGTTGAGCCGGGGAGGCTCCAAACCGGAAGCGGTGTGGGGGCGATGGGCCGAGTACTACAAATTAAATACTAGAAAAAATGAGAGGTGTAAATTAGAATTCCGTCTAGAATATATACCAGTTAACTTCTAGAATTCGAAGTCTGCGTGGACAGAGATGAGAGTTCTAATGGCCCTTCATTCTCATGAGGCCCATGGGGCCAATCTTGGGAGAGGCTCACCTGATGATATAGTATAGTTCTATTAGCCGGCACATGCAAAAAAACAATACCACCAAGATTTAGCAACATTAAATGCGTATCGAGTCGTAAGTGTGCATTGGTAGCCAGCCTCAATTGTCAGGCAAATGCACCAACAAGAGCCATCAGCAGAGCTCCGCTAGCAACTGCAACACAAGCTTCGACGCGTCTCCGGCCCTTGAGTGTTGTATAACTTGAATCACTTAGAAAGTCTTCAGCCAGGAGTTCCACAAGTCCTGCAAAAAGCAGGAGTCCACTGCTAATGGCATTTGTGATCCCAACCATGAGCAGGCCCGCAGTGCTCGCGGGGTCATATAGATTATGTAGCATTAAACCAATAGCCTGCCCTATGGGAGTGGTCGTCCCGTATGCAAGCGACATGAGCCATGGTTTAATAGAAGTCGGGGCAAAGAGGTCTGGGATAAGTGATGCGATACGCGACCCAAGAGCAAAACCTTCGAATGTTTGATGGAAGCAGATGGCCACAAGTAGAACGAGAAAAGATGCCCCAGTTGCAACGCTAAGCGCCATGCCGATAAATATGCTGTGGAAAAGGATCCCCGCTTCAAGGAGAAGACATTGAAGTAACTTGCGCTGGGGGTTCTGTGGGTACAAGTTCGTATCGTCCTGTCTATTTGACCGGTCTGTAAGGCGATGCTCGCCAGGAGGGTAGCAGCTTTGCTGTCCATTGTTGGAATGAAAAGCTCCAAGGCGATTGAGGCCATTAAAGTCCGCGTCATCATTTTCCTTGTGCCCGGTTGTATCCTTCGAAGATGTTTGCCTATGGCAACCTGGAGATTCCATCGGCACAGAACCTGGATCTCGGTCCATGCTCCTCATTGCATCAGTTTCCTGTATTCGGTCGAGTAACAACGTATCTTCTACTGACTCCTGTGTCACAAGTGCCAAGTAATGCGAAGGCGAATCCGTATTTTGATCGCGCTGTGAAAACTCTTCCCCGGCGCCACCAATAAGTTGTTCATATTCATTTCCATGAACATGCCCTGCCCCTTTCATCGCGAAGAACATTTCAACGACAACAACAAGAAAAACAGAGACCATGGCGATGAATCCAGCCATGGCACGATAGCCTTTACTCCAAAACTGAGGGAGGCATGGGTCTGTTAAAGATATAAATGCTGTGGGGAGTAGATGAACAAATGCCGTGGCAATCAAGACCCCTGTTCCGAAATGTCTGGACAGAAAAAGAAAACGTCGTGGAATAGGTAGACGAGGGAAACGACGGGCGAGTACGGGAAATGAACATGCTTCAATAAAGTAATTGGTCAAATCATAAACATTGATAGAAACGGATAGAGGACATACATACCTAAAGTGCTCAGTGCCAAAATTAGAAAAAGCGCTATAACATGTAATGAGGTATCGTAAGCACCTCGCTCTGTTGAGCCACATTCTGCTTTTTCACCGGCTGTGTCTCGAATGCTGGCGCGGTGGGAAAGTTCTGCTTGTAGAATGGCATCAGGGATATCTGAAATTGATGCGACCGCGTGTTTAAAGTCTATAGTATATCCGAATCAGCGTAAACCAGAGCCTAGAGACAATGCCGCTTGCGCCAAGCTGAAGGCGAAGCTGAATTATACATGAAAAAAAAATAAAAATAAAAATAAAAAATCAATGTCCACAAAAGTGGAATTTCTCACTGCTTACCAAGTATTTCCACGCCCGGCTGATGCCAGTCAGTAGAATGGGCCATTTTTGTGCTCAGTTAATGTAGTCTTGCTTGCTGGTTTTTTCCATGGCCTAAAGGCGAGCGTTGTCTTTCAGCAATCATTAGAGATTTTCTGCGTTCCAATTATTCCAGCTGAAATGCTCGGTGCTCAGTTGAGGGCGAACAGCTCAATGTATCTACTCAAAAAGCTCCTTGCCTTATTGGAGCAGCCATATTATAGGAGGAGAAAACATGTTTTATAGCAAGACTACAGTTGAGACGGACTGAACACGCGTTAATTATGAGATAAGCTTATCAGTCTGACCAACTAGTTAGCTAACTAACTAGTTAACAGCTCGCTGTGCTTATGTAATGTCATTCAGTTATTTGAAATCTAAAAGCTGCAAGTAGTAAAAATGAAACGTTTCATTTTCTGTTTTCAGAGCCCAAGTACTCTGTATTTTTGTTCATTTGATGGCCCCAAAATTCCCAACTTCGAGTACCTACTCTGTACTCTAGGCAGTGTTCCCTCAGTTGTTGCTCGAAAACATTCTGATACATTGATGAAACTCATGTGATGGTTTGGTTACACTAGTAGACGTAAACCCACTTGACCATAAAAAGGTACAAGACGACTGACGGATCGAAAGTTCAGAGTAAGTATACAATCTCTGGTCTGCACATATTTAAATTTCCGAAATCACTATGCAGCCATTTGCAACAGTCTTATTGCCATCAGGTAGGCTGTACGGAGTATATAAACAGCTATATCCTATATAATTAATGCGTTTCCTATAGTGGTTTGCTGTTTAATACCGTAGAAATAATAAATTACAGTCATATATCGGAAATGGCTTCGAGACATTGGGTTTCAGAAATTTAAAAAATAAAGCAGGTCAGAGGTTGTAGATGGTTATATGGTACGACCTACCTCTTTATTTTATATACATATACAATGGCATACCTTTTATACTATAACCTTGATATCCTCGGTAATCAATAAATGCAGTTCTTAGAAGTTAGGAATCCAATAAGTATAATAGAATAGAATATTTTGTTGAAAACCAGGATGCGGTATCCTAGTCCTGAAGCCATCTGACATATCACACGCAAGGGGCTATTAGTGGCGGATCCGACCACCCACCGCCTGTCGGCAGCGTAGAGGCATTTGCACCGTAGAGGCAGATAATCAAAATATCATCTTTTTGAAGCCATTACAACCACCCAATATGCCTAAATCTTCTGAAATTCACGATGGACGCGTTGAAGGGGCAGTTAAAGTGATTCAACAAAAAAATTTCAAAATATCGCTCAAGCTGCGCGGGAATTCGGGATCCCCTATTGTACGCTTTACGGCCGCGTACACAATTAAAAAAAGTCTCGTTTGACTCGTACCCCTACAAATAAAGCGCTAAATCAGTATCAAGAGGAGGCCTTGGTCCGCTGGATCACTAAAATGCGTGATTTGAACCTCCCGGTGACGATTTAGATTCTTCTTGAATGGGCAAACCTGACCGTACAGCGGATTGATCCCTCCCGGCGTGTGGAGAGATCCTGTGCGTATTGCTTTGTTAAAACGCTTTCTCCGAGTTTAAAAATTGATCCTATGCTTCAAAGAAGAAAGGAGAAAAAGCGTATAGATGCAGAGGACGTCAGTCAGCTTTAGTTCTAGTATAATTAGCTCGCTAATTTGCTTACCGGTGTCCCTTCTCGCCTCGTGTACAATTTCGACGAATACAGCTTTCAACCAGGTCAAGGAAAAAACCAAAAAGTGCTAGGAATAAAGGGAAGAGTCTCTAATCTTGCTGAAGCAGAGCATGCAGAGAATATAACTGCGCTTGAGTGTATCACTGCAGACAGCTGGATTATAACACCTTTTTATATCTTTAAAGGTAAGTATTTTATAAAGGCTTGGCATAATAAATATCTTCTGAACTTCTACACCGCGACCTCTGATAAAGGCTATATAAATAATAATCTCCTTGTTAAATAGATCTCTCTTTTTTATGAAGAGACAAAGGGACACGTGAAAAAAGGAGGAAAATGTATTTTAATCTTTAACGGTTATACTTTGTATAAAACAGTCGAATTTCTTCAACTTTGCGAGACGTACGAGATCCTTCCTTTTTACTTTAAACCCCATACAACTCACCTCTGCCAACCGCTCAATAAAAAACCCTTTCTTACATATAAAACGCGTTTTCGGCAAGCGAATAATCTCATCGCGCAGTGGTGTGGGATCCCGGGAGATAAAGCAATGTTTTTAAGCGATATTATGGCCGTACGTGAGAAGACATTTACGCAGCGAATTATTCATAACTCCTTTAAAGAACACGGCATCTTTCCCTCTGACAGATCCTCTATTATCAAAGCAATTTAAAAGAATTTACTGCTTATTCCAGAGATTTCAGCGCCTGATCTACACGCATACGGGGAAACTACACCTCTGAATCCTTTTTCTTCAAGCGTTGAAAATACGCCTCCGAAATCGTCTATACATGTTAAAAAGAATCAGAAAAACCTCCTCCATTTGCTAGAGAATATAGACATCTCTCCACGCGTGAAGCGCTGCTTGGAACGTCTCTTTAATTAACAAAAGATTCAATCCAAACAACTCGCGATAATAAATTCAACTTTAGAGCGAATTAAGGCAACTACAGCCCCGCGGCGCTGTAAACCTACAAAGCGATCAGTTCCACGCCTTGGAGATAGCGGTATATTAAGCGTACGGGATGCTAATCGCTCAATTGCGAGTAGGAAGGCAAAAGATGATCAAAGTAAGAAGCGAAGGGCAGACAAGGCATGGAAGGAAGCGTACGGCCATCTCCCGCCCGCCCCTGCTGCGGAAGATCAACGCCTGCTTCTAATAGTGATTTGGCTGTTCTACCGGATAGTGCAATTTTTTTGGTAGATTCTACAGGTTCTAGGCGTTGAAATATGAATTGCTTCAGTATCTGCCTCTACGGTGCAAATGCCTCTACGCTGCCGACCACCAACCGCCTTTCGCCGGTGGGTGGTCGGATCCGCCACTAATAAGGGGCTAAGGGACAACGTAGACATAAGGAAGCGTTTGTCTACGCTCTCTCTCCTAGATAGTTGAACATACTCACCATGCGATACTAGATCGCACCGATAGTTTCAATATACTATCCAGTCACCGCTATCCTAGCACCTCACGACATAGCTTCTTCCCCGAGATTCTCAACATATTTATTATTTTTTTTTGGGAAGATTCCATTGCTTTTATCTATTAACTAGAACTTTATACCTACAAGATTGATCTGTGCTAAACTATACATGCAATTAATACTACCTAGGAAATATAAACCTGGAAAACGTGCCTACTTGATATTCATAAATATAATCCTAACATATCAATATATCTAAAATATGGTGAGCTTCACTGCTTCTTCAGTTAAAAATAGCTAAGTTAGTATGGAAAAATTGTAAAACACCCAATTACTTTAGGTGTTGTTAGGCATTTACTAATTTTGAAAAGGTAAAAGAAAAACTTATAAAACATCCACCATTGTATTAAACTCTATATCTTTTGCTGTGGGAGGTATATATAAACAGAAAAATCAAACTGCCTGAGAAAGTCCTCTGGCATATAGTTGAGCCATGGCTGACCAAGGTCAGCCAGTGTGACGAGTACTATTTGTCTCTCAACCTGGTCCAGCCGCTAACTCCTTTTAGCTGATGAAAACTGCACGGCTCGGAAGCAGCCGGCTCAGGTTATTGTATTCAGGCGCAGTGCTTGCAATGACAGCCTAGTTATGGTGATTACCGCCTTTATCGCTAGAATGTGGTTGGATAATTTCCTGAGAAATATCATCCCACTCCTTTTTTTCAAGTAGTTCCCATTCTGCACTGGCGATTTCTCCTAACAGGGTCGACTTTAATTTATCGGCAACCTTTATTGGAGTTGGTAGCCTCCAAGTACGAATGAAGTCAGTGCCCTCCCAACCACCAAGGAATGAGTGTACAGTGCCATGCGAATAATGTCCCAGCATGGGAAATGACTTGGTTCGTTGAACGATAGTTCTTGGGACATCTTTGGTAGCTTTCATCCTTGACTGGATGTCGCGCCCAGCAAATGCCCTCACCAAAGTTAACGTCTGCGTAGGAGGTGCAACAAGTAGTTGCCACATATTTTTGCCCAGGTCACATACTTCTTCCCAAGAATCTGAGGCCAGGTTTAGTCCTTGGGTCCGGCATAGCCACAATACATTCCAAGCCAACAGTGTTGCCCCCTCAAGGACAAGCGCATATGTTGCCGGATCTTCTTTTGCTAGTTTTGGGAGACTTCTGTCAGTAAACAGAGGACGAGGACGGGCAGACCTAGAAAGCACGTCTGCAGTTCGCGACGTTGAGTAGGATGTCGATGCCTGAGAAGTGGATTCCTCAAAAGCTGTTCCACGCGCAAAATAAGATTTAGAGGGTGTGTATATGGTGGTTGTAGGATGATTTCTATGGGGAAGACTTATTTCGGCAGGGAGTCTTAGACACAAATAATGTGAGACCAGTACGAGTAGATGGGCAATGTAGGAAAACGAGGTCGATATCTGAGCTGGTGCCGCACCTGTTTGAGCATTATTATTTGCATAGTAGTGGACGTGTTCAGGATGGATTACAACTTGCCATTCATATCCTTGAGGTTGCATATAGATACCCCACCAATGCAATATGTCTCTTTAAATTCACCATTCTTCTTCTTGGCTACTTGGCATAAACCATAGATATTTGCTGCTTCTCGACAAAGGAAAATCCGGGCTTCAGCCGTCTTACTATGCTGTGAATGCCAGAGATGATCCGTTCTTTTAGTGCTATTCTGGACGCCAGCTAAAATCGCAGCTTCTCGTTCCACAAGCTGGTATTTAGCAGATTCAGCATCCGAATATCGTCGTTTTAGTGCCAATTTGCGCTGAGAAATCTCAAGTCGTTTGTTCTCAATCTCAAGTCTCAACTTTTCAACCTGAATAGCAAGTATCTTTGCCCTTGGGAATGACTTGGATTGTTGGTTGGAGATAGTCTGCTTGATCCAAAATTTGAGTTGCGTATCTTTATTATTATTGCTTAGTTTCTCATATTTGTCTGATAATACGTCTCGGTAGTTGCCAATTTTAACTGCATCCTCAATTTGCCGTGCGATCGACTCGCTTTCAATAAGGATCCGCACATTCTCGTTGTGTAGCTGGTAGAGCCGATTGCGGGCGCAGATAGGGCAAAAATATTGTATGTGTGATGTCGGAGCTCGAGAGCATACGTGGCAACTCATTTCTTTGCTCTAACTTCTTGCTATCTCTTGTCTGTATGCTGTTATTCAATGGCCACCCATTCAGTTAACTGCCTTGCTTGAGATCCATTAACACAGGAAACCTGGCTGTTATAGAAACCGCAATAGTCAGGGATTAAAACAGGATGGATTCATGAGGAAGAGCATCTGCTTGCATTCATGATGTTGTCACTTGATAACGTTAGACTGACGCAGTCATAGGTGGTTAGGTTACCAGGATACTTAGTAAGGTACGGTAACTAACAGTTAACCTGAATACCCTACAGTACTCAATACCAATAGGTACTCGTGGGGTGTCTTCCATGTTTTGTCCCATACCTAGTAACTTGTTATTAATATTATCTCAATCATAGTTAATTGCCATTCCATCAAAGCAAATTTCTCTGGGATTATGGAAAACTAAATACAACTTCGAGGTGTCTACCCTATTCTCTTCCCACTGGTTTCCCTCACCACTGTTGTCTATCAGTCTTCCGAAAATCACGCTTAGGATAATTTACTGGCCTACTCCTGGGAACGTTGGCGTTAAAGATCGGTTGGATGGAAAAACAAGCATGCAGAATTTGCTATACCATAATCAACACTCACCGGAAATATCCCAGGAAAGACGACAATGCACTGTTTCAAATGAGGACCTTAGATCTTATGACTGGGCCCAACTCCAAGACAGTTACATTAATGTGATTGAAGAACAGGGAACACTTGAAAACGAGCTGCAAGCCCGGATATCGAAGTTGCTTGAGGTAGTCCACATCATCATTAATTTTATGACTGTTTCCTGATGATTCAGCTTAGGTATTTAAGACTTGGTCTCAAACTACTCTTATCTGTGATGAACTAAGAGCATTGAAGAGGTTAGAGCTCATAATTTGTCTATTTTAGAGGGAAAATGTGTCTAAAATATTAATAAACTCTATAGATTTAGAACACAGATACAGCATGTACAAAATTCAGAGGAGAGCTTGGAGGAAAGAAGAAAACACTGTATGTGACTTGTAACGGTCATCTTGCCTTCAAGAATGTGAGATTGAAGTTAACTCGTTTTGTTGCAGACATTAACGTTGTAAAGGCGTTTGAAAGCGCTCTAGCATTATTGAATGGTCGCGCAAAACATTAGAACTGAGTGCAGGATTGGCTTTACTACCTAGTTCCGCTTGCCTCCTCTTTCTATTTTAAGGTCTTTGCAGACAGTTGCCAACACATCTTTATATAATTTCAATTTCAGATACTCGACTATGTCTGCGATTAAAAATAACATATAAAGATAAAGGAGAAGAGGCACTGTAATACAAAGCGCATTTACATCTTGGAGCATTTCATTGCCAGACTATACCAGTGCGGTTTTGTGTGTTGGGTCTGCCAGTAATACCTTGCCCAATCTGTCTATTAGTCCTTGCTAGTAGGCTCTCCTCTTCGGCCTCTTCCGCATCCTCCTCAAGCTGTTGTTCATGCAATCTTGAGGAGCGTAAAAGAGAGCTCAAGAGGGCAATCAAAAAAGTTCCTATTTGTGTCATTGTTAGCACTTTGGGCAGGAATTGTAACAATAAATGTAAATAAATCAGGCCGTATTACCGAAAAATATAAATTGAGACCAGAAGAATATTGCACCAAAAAAGGGAAAATTAAATGCCACGCGGTTCAAAATTGTGCTGGCAACACTTGGTGTGCAGACTTGCCTTGCAGCTTTGTTACGCGCTAGCTCAGAACATGGTTTGATAAGGTGCTTAGTATTCAAGCAGTCCGGTTGCTTTTCAGAGTCTGTAATGCGATCACAAAATGTCTGTGGTCCAAAAGTAGCATATTGAGGAGCAACAATCATGGAGATAGAGTAGTTTGAGGCCAATATAGTCAACATTAGCATGGCTGTCGCCAACAGGAGGGCTTGCGGGGAAGTATGACCCTTTCTGATTTGGAAAATTCGGATCCAAAGAAAACGTACACCAATAGTAGCTATACCAACGACGGAGCTGTAAAAAAGAAGTAAAACAAGCATTGAAAATACGAAGTAGTCAGTTGGGAATGCTTTGGCAGCTTGAACAAGAATCCAGTTAACGGGATTGAAGACATTGATATGAGCAAGAATGTAACCACAGTGCTGTTTGCAAATCGAATTCTTTGCCTTGTCAATTGCTGTCAAAATCATGGACACCCACGTTATTAACACACTAAGGAGCAAGACGAAGCCGATTAAGAGCCTAAATGGACGGAACAAGGCTTTTATTTTCAACCATGCCTTTAGAAGCCAGCTCGGGCGATCTTTCTGAGCTTCGTCTGCTAATCTTTGCCATCGAATAAGTGTTCTTTCTTCCCGAAAGAGTGTGTCAAGCTCCCTCCGGTCTTTGGAGGACAATTGTTCTGGGTTCCCTCCACAGCGACCTTCCAGCTGGCGTTGCCGTTCTCTGTTGAATTCGAGCTGCATGGTTGCGTTCACTGTCGGCTTTGTGCTTGATGCTGATGGAGGCGTCTTGACGAAATTAATAGGGAGAAAAGCAAGCCCGGTGGAAGTATACGTAATGAACAGGCACATGCCAAGAGTCATCAACAAACCAAGTGCAAATGTAAAGGTACGTTCCCCCCCTGCATGATTGCTTAGTTGCTGAGTAAGGAACAGTAAGAGTTTCCAGGGAAAAGGAATTCAGGCTCACGATTCTCAGCTAGCAATTGTTTAAAAAAATCAATGTCGTTACTGTTCTTATCCTTTGCAGCCGGTACAAAAAGGCCGACAAGGCATAATACAATCAATATTGCAATGAAAGACATGGTGTACTTGGATGCAGCCCAGAATTGCTGCATAACAGTTTGGTCACCTGCTTGGATAGCCACTTCGTCGTATTCTTCATACCAAAAGTATGCAAAGGGAATCACAAGAAGGCATAAAAGAGAGTCTGTAGAATAGAGGATGTAATATAGAACTTTCAAGGAGAAAATAATCCCATCTATTTTGCTCTGAGTAGCCCAATCTTTTCTCCGACCAAGTGCTGGATAAGTTGTAGACGAGACCAAAGCCACATCAACTGGGAGTAAGAGAACAGTGGCAAGGAGAGTAGTCATGGCAACAATACAAGTTAAAGTCACTAAGGGAGAACGGTCCCGCGGAGTTTGATAAGTATATATAAGTGTGGAGGCAGCAATAATCATAAGGGCTATCACAATTGTGTACACCACCCAAATAAGAGTTTGTAGGAGCATTATGTTATTTAAATCAGATCTCACATAGAGTGGCAGCTCACTTAAAAGGCGAAGGTGCGATGCGATCCTGACAATTCAATACATATAAACATATAAGAGATATCTTTAATTATGGAATAGAACATGGCAACATGAGGTTAGAACCTAGTTATCTAAGTCAACAATGGGCCTTACGTCATCCACTTGTGAGTTGGGAAATGGTCACGTGTCAAATCTGCGTCGTTTAGAGATAAGAGGAATAAGGGAAGGTTTCTCCTGCTTGTCAGGTTAGGGTAGCTAGCTGATCGTCGAGATACTCATACAAATATTTTTGTCAGATCTTTTTTCTTATTATTCAGAAAACCTACCTTTTTCTCTGGAATAGTCGAAGATTTAAATTAATGGGGGAGAGGGCTACAACCAGCCCAAAACATTTTCAATTGTTTACGATACACAAATGCAGTGTTATACTGAGCTACTTCCTCCTACTGGGGTCACTCATACCTTGAGGATTCCTTTTCTTTCAGCAACAGCAAATAACTTAGTGGTCGCAAGAACGTCCCTCCTCCAAGTATTTTCTTTACACTACCCAATACCGCGGTCAGAAGCTGCCGAAGACCAGACCACAGCAAAACTAGTCCTGGAAAGGGAATATCTTCTGTCAGGAGCAGTAACGGATATTTCCCGGGTCAAGGTGTTAAATACTAAAAGTGGTGGGGAGGCCATTTTGGTTGCTTTTCGAAACGCCAAACTTAGCTTGATCGAATGGGATCCGGAACGTCATGGCATATCGACGATCTCCATACACTATTATGAACGAGATGATTCGACTCGTAGTCCATGGGTACCGGATTTAAGCAGCTGCAGCAGCATCCTCAGTGTGGATCCGAGTAGTAGGTGTGCAGTTTTCAACTTCGGCGTGAGAAACATCGCCATTATTCCCTTTCATCAGCCCGGAGATGACCTGGTGATGGATGATTATGATTCCGACTCTGAAAGAGATTTAGATGGTGGGAGTTCGGAGGGAGGTCTTAGCCATGGAACGCACATAAAGGACACAGTGTATCAAACCCCGTATGGTGCTTCTTTCGTCCTGCCTTTGACTGCGTTGGATCCTTCGATCCTTCATCCAATAAGTCTCGCCTTTTTATATGAATATAGGGAGCCAACTTTTGGTATTTTGTATTCGCAGGTTGCAACATCACATGCACTTCTTCATGAAAGGAAGGATGTTGTGTTTTATACTGTGTTCACACTGGACCTGGAACAACGAGCCTCCACAACCTTGCTTTCGGTGTCCAGACTGCCTAGTGATTTATTAAAAGTAGTGGCACTCCCACCTCCTGTTGGGGGAGCCCTACTTATTGGCTCCAATGAGCTCATCCATGTTGATCAGGCGGGCAAAACCAATGCAGTGGGCGTGAATGAATTTTCTACGCAAGTTTCAATGTTTCATATGACAGATCAGTCAGACTTGGCGCTTCGACTCGAAAATTGTGTTGTTGAACGTCTTGGTGATAATAACGGTGATCTGCTTTTGGTGCTTTCTACGGGTGGGCTGGCTGTCATTAAGTTTAAGCTAGATGGAAGGTCGGTATCTGGTATCTCGGTTCATCTCGTCCCTATCCATGCTGGCGGGAATAGTATGAAATCTGCCGCTTCGTCAGCATCTCTACTTGGTAATGGAAGTATCTTTTTGGGTAGTGAAGAAGAGGATTCATTACTTTTGAGCTGTACCTATTCGCCATCGAGTGCGAAGAGGACGCGGTCCCAGGCACGACATTTTCTTGACAATTCTGACGACCTGTCAGATGACTACCCGAGTGAAGATGATACTTATGAAGATGACCTCTATTCCACGGCTCAGGAGCCAACTATGGACAGCCTCCACTCCTTTACGGAAACATCTATATCGGGATTTTACAGCTTCCGAATTCACGACAGACTCCTCAATGTCGGCCCGCTGCGAGATATAGCACTAGGCCCATCATCTCCGAATTGGGAAACAAAAGGATCCTATGATGAGAGACTTCCCTCTGATCTGGAGCTGGTGGCCTCCCAGGGCTCAGATAGGAGTGGTGGAGTGGTGGTGATGAAGCGTACGATTGATCCATTAGTTTTCGCTTCTATTCCGACTGAATCTGCCAATTGCGTTTGGACTGCCTCTGTAATCAATAGCAATACCACAATTCCCGAGATAAGTGAAAACATGCAAGATCGAGAATGGCAACATTACGCTATCGTGTCTATACGAAGCGTCACCGATAAGGAGGAATCGGTTGTCTTCCAAGTGAAAGGACATGATCTCGTGCCTTTCAAAGCGCCTGAGTTCAATCCAAATGGAGATCTTACAGTGAAGATCGAGACACTGACAAGCAAGAATCGTGTTGTCCAAATTCTACAAAACGAAGTTCGAAGCTACGATGCGGGTGAGCCTCCGTCTCTGTACCACTACATATGAAAATAACTAACAGGACAGACCTGGGTTTGGTTCAGATTTACCCCGTATGGGATGAAGACACCAGCGATGAGAGGATAGCTATGAGCGCTAGCCTTGTAGATTCTTATCTTGCAATCCTCCGAGACGACTCGACATTATTACTACTTCAAGCAGATGACAGTGGGGACCTTGACGAGGTTTTGATGAATGAGAATATGACTGGTATGAATTCTAAATGGCTGTCTTGCTGTTTATATTGCGACAGATATGGGATTTTCTCAGCAGCTTGCTCAAACCCCGGCGGGCTGTCTCAAAGTGAGATATTTCTGTTCCTGCTAAGCATGGATTGTCGATTATTTGTGAGTAGTAGAATCTTCGTGAAGTTACAAAGTCTTCATAAATTCCCAAAACTTTATGGCCTTGGAGCTCACAGCGGGGTTAGATTTACCGACTCTCAGACCAGGCATTGGTCTCAGTTGTCGAGGGCGTTGATTGCTTGCCGCAAGTCATGTCGAGTGACCCGCCTAAGCGTTCGACTATACGAGAGGTCTTGGTCGAGATTGTTATTGCGGATCTTGGTGATTCCTCGAGCAGCAGTCCTTACCTACTCGTATGATTGTTCTAACCATTCTCTGGATCTGAAATTAAAACTAATAATCAATTGATAGCTGCGAACTAGTAATGATGACATTGCAGTGTATAAGCCTTTTCTAGCTTCCGCTGGGTCGACTTTAAAATTCTTGAAAGAAACAAACCATACCCTCCCGAGACCCCCTTTTACTGTCGATACGAAGCATTCATGTGATTCACCTAAATGGATCACCCCTTTACGTATTCTACCGAACATATCGGGACTCAGCGTTGTTTTTATGCCTGGGGCCTCGGCAGGCTTCATGCTGAAAACGTCAACAAGTTTGCCGCATTTTGTATGTCTGAAGGGGGAATCAACGCGTTCTCTGAGCAGTTTCAATACTCCCGAAACCAGCGGCGGCTTTATTACTTTGGATTCTAAGGTATCTATACGTTTCCATGCCTGTTGTATACATACTAAATAATGCACAGGGTGTTGTGCGATTATGTAAATTGCCTACTAATACCTTATTTGATTATCCATGGACATTGCGAAAAATAAGCATAGGGGAGCAGGTTGACCATTTGGCCTACTCTGCCTCGTCTGGATCGTACGTATTGGGAAGTTGTCATAGGATGAGTCTCAAGCTTCCTGAAGACGATGAGTTACACCCTGAATGGCGCAACGAAGGTTTGAGTTCAATCTGCCCCTATGAAAGTAAAACTGACTAATTTTTAGTGATATCCTTTCTGCCTGAGGTCCATCGAAGCTCACTAAAACTTGCAAGCTCGAGGACGTGGTCTATCATTGATAGGTAGGAAATGACATCGTGACTTATGTTTGTCCATGACTGACGTTTCTATTCGTTGAAAGCTACACATTGGGCCCTGCCGAACACGTGACGGCAATTAAGAATATGAGCCTCGAGGTGTCTGAGAACACGCATGAGCGTAAAGATATGATTGTAGTTGGGACGGCATTTGCACGGGGCGAGGACATATCCTCACGTGGCTGCATTTATGTTTTTGAAGTGATAAAAGTGGTTCCAAATCCCGAAAACCCAGAGGCCAATCGTAAGTTAAAACTTATAGGTAAAGAATCGGTGAAAGGAGCTGTAACTGCTTTGTCGGAGATTGGTGGCCAGGGGTTTTTGATCGTCGCTCAAGGACAGAAATGTATGGTCCGAGGTCTTAAGGAGGATGGCAGTCTGCTTCCCGTTGCATTTATGGATGTGCAATGCTATGTTAGTGCCCTGAAAGAACTTAAAGGCACCGGCATGTGCATCATTGGAGATGCTGTGAAAGGAATATGGTTTGCAGGATACTCGGTAGGCTTTTTGTCTCCAATAAAATGGGAATGAGGCTGATAATTCTGTTCTTTTAGGAGGAGCCGTATAAGTTGAGCCTGTTCGCCAAGGATTTAGATTATCGTGACGTGCTGGCGGCCGATTTCCTTCCTGATGGCAATAGATTGTTTGTTCTTGTCGCGGACAGTGACTGCAATCTTCACGTGCTACAATATGACCCCGAGGGTATGTTCAAGCATATTGAGAGAATACTTGTTAACTACTCTACTGACACATGAGTAGATCCCAAGTCATCAAACGGGGATAAATTTCTCAACCGCAGTAAATTCCACGTGGGCAGCTGTGTCTCCACGTTGACCTTACTTCCGCGCACCATGGTCTCCTCTGAGCTAGTAATGTCTAGTTCGGAAGAAATGGATCCTGACACCCAGATTTCGCGACGTCAAGTACTTGTCACTTCTCTGAACGGGTCGATTGGTCTTGTTACGTGCCTTTCCGAAGAGTCATATCGTCGATTATCGGCCCTCCAGTCTCACCTGGCAAATGTCCTAGAACATCCTTGTGGACTTAATCCTCGAGCTTTTCGGGCTGTAGAAAGCGATGGCACTGTTGGGAGAGGTATGTTGGATGGAACTCTTCTCATGCAATGGTTGGATATGAGTACACCTCGCAGGATGGAGATAGCCAGTCGGGTGGGGGCCAATCAATGGGAAATCAGGGCAGATCTCGAAGCTGTCGGCGGGGGTGGGCTTGGGTTTCTGTAGGAGCAGCCAGTAATAAGGAGTTCTGAACTTGAACGGAACCTATTTTTTTATAATATGCACGGGATAACAAATATAGAGTCATATCTCAATTCAGGATGAAAAGAACCTTCTACTGCTATTATTGTTTGGAACCAGTCGGGGGCCGCCAGAATTATTGGGTATTCTTATCAACTTCAAACAAAACGTGCGCTTAAGCATATGGGAAGAACACCTCTTTGAATACTGGCGGAGCCAAAAACAATATCTTTTGGGACAAATTTGTTCCAGACGGCCAGCCGCATCTTGATTTTTCCTTCCTAGACGACCATGTTCTAGATTTTCTGATCCAAGACGGTGAACGACATGACATCATGACACAGTAAGATATATGTAAACACAAGCCGAATTGGAAAGGGAGAGAAAAGAAAAGTATCGAAGACAACCAAACCCCTTACTGTCATGGACTCCATCGCGCCGCACCCAGAACCCTTCAGCACCATAATTTGCTCCCATAACAATAATACATTTGCGGATGTTAGAAGGCCGGTATTACCCGTCCATCGAAAAATCAATCAAACAAAAAAAAGTTGGGGAAGAAAAAGGAAAGAAACTGAAAAGAATAAGGGCAGAAGGACTTTGTGCAAGAAAAAGAGATAATAATAATAAAAACGAAGAAAAAAAAAAAAATCCATCCAGATGGAATAAAGGTACTCATCGAAGGTGGTTGAAGTAAGGAATAGAAAGAAGATAAAGCAGAAACTAATATTGATTAAGAGATAAATGATCAGAAGACATCCTCTGCAGCAAAATACCGCTTGCTTCTGCCACGGCCAGCGACAAATTTCATCTCGGGCATATTGGTATGATGCACAACATGCGGCCGGTAAACTGCATCAACAGGCGCTTGCCAATCATCCAATCCCAGCGGGAAATATTCGTATAACAAATCTGAACTCTCATTAGGAAATGGTAGAGTTGATGCGAATGGTTGCTGCAAATTCGTAGTGTTCAGCAACGGCAAAGACGAAGACGTTCGAGATTGTGTTTGCCGGACGCTATGCGACAGCTTGCGCTGTTTTGCTGGCGGCAAAGAGCCATCCACATCTAGGCTCTTACTCGTTACGTCATTGGCGTACGAAGAAACGGATCGAGTTGATTCGTCCATGTTGATAGCATCACCACTATCATCTTCATCTAGAAGAGATAGATTTACTGGAGCTGCAGCAGTAGTTGTTCGTCGTTGGGTTTCTACCGGCCGTGAGAAGTCTGGACTTGATTGGGAATAAAGAGATGATTGAGGCAAAACTGTAGAGGGAAGCGCACCACTCGCAGGCCTAGGAATCTGTGTCCAATCCGACGAAGGCTGTTGGGGAACAGCTCCAGCCTGAGAGATCGCGGTATCTGGGGAGCTACTCTTTGCCGTTGCCTTGGCCTTTGCCGTTGCCGGGCCAGAGCGCAGAGCGGTATCACTTGTGGAAGCTCGGTTGACACTCGACGAGTGGGTAGCTTGCGCACTTTTCCTTGATGCAGCGGCGCTGCCACTCAGGGGTAAATCTTTGCGAGACTGGAAGTTGCGTGGGCTACGGCCTCGAACAATTACGGGCCCTGAATGAACTTCACATATGGGAATCTTAGCGCCGGTAGACAGGGTGGCGACAACCTTGAGCCGCACGACAAAATGCTGCTGAAGCTCTTTCCTACGCCCATTGTTAGCGGTCGCGACACGAAACTGAAGGCGCTTCCAGGCGATTGGGAATGTGGCGTAGTCAGTATCCAGATCTTGACCGGCCATAATATCCAGGGGAACTGGGGGTGGTTCCTTCTCGACCTTGTTATTGGTAGAGTTGCATCCATCTTCGGCAGACGGGTTTCCATTTGCGGCGGGCGTCTTCCAAGGAACAGATATTATCTTCACTGAATTCCCTTCCACAGACTCAGTGGCGGAGACAGTAAGTTCTTGTGCAAGTATGGGTATCCGGTCGCCTTGCTCCGTCATTATGTAGCGCAAACTTCGTGGCAGCGTAACAGAACCCGTAATCTGGAATAAATTGCGGCGGTAACATGTCAGTTCCGCACCCTGCTGAGGCGGAGCATTCTCCGTAGGAGACGTAGTCCAAGGCGACTCTGCAAGGAAAAACATGCCATGCAACTGGGCTGAAAGAGATAACGAGGTTCGGCGCAACGAATAATCGAGGAGTGTAAAGCTATACACCGGTACAGAGAAGCTTAGCAATTTATTATTGTGATCGATGGACGAGTCCGCGGGCTGTTCGGGGGGTGCAGGCTCGAACGGAGGCACCATGTCCGTGAAAGGGTCTTCGTAGCCCGAAGGGAACCGTTTCAAAGCTGCCGGTAAACCATTTGGAGGAAATGGAATATCATCTCCGCTGAGCACACGGAAGGTTAGAGTCTCTGGAGTTTCATTCACAGTGAGATGAATGCGCGGGGACGGGGACACACCTAACGAAGGTATCCGAGTCGAAGTTGGAACGTTGATCTGGTATGTCCATTCCGGGCATAGAATTTAGATAATCCGCACTTTGAATATTGCCGAGCGACAGTGGACTGGCCAAATAAGGCATGGCCATGGTATCAAAACCCTCCATGGCGAGGGTTGGGTCCGGATTGGGGCCTGCAGGACGAAGCTATGGGAATGGTGGGTGTCTCTGAAGTAATTAACGAGGAGAGAGAAGGAGAGGATGGCGGGAGGGAGGTGTCAGAGGCAAAAAGGAGAGGCCAAACAACAGTGGCGGGAAGTGTAAGCCTCAGGGTGAACTCCTCGGTGGCGGATATGAAGGGTAAGGCTGGAATCACAAGCGGGGGTGGGGGACAGGACAGGTCAAGGAGGGGAGGAGGACATGGGAGAGAAAGCAAAGATATCTGGGGATAGGGAGGGAGTAGAAATAAGAACCGTTGGGTGGAAACCGGTAATAGAGAAAGCAGACAGGTATGAGTGCAAAAGCAATTTTTGAGAGGGGTAAAGTTCAAGGAAGAGAGGAAATGTACTGAGCTGTAAGAGTCGGTAGGTAGTAGGTAGGTAGGTGTTGTAATAGTAGGTAGTTGTGAGTGGATCGGATTCCCCCGAGGTCAGTACTCAGTATGGAGTAGTTTGGTGGGGATTGGAAGTAGGGTTTTTTTTTTTTTTTTTTTTTTTCCACCGTAGCGACTAGGAACAAGAATAACAATCCGGAGTCAGTTAGTTTGGAGATAACAGACTGAGAGACGGACCCGGCAACGGGGCCGCAGGAGCCCGCCAGCAAGAGGGGTGAATAAGAGAAGACGAGGAAAATGCACGATGCTAGAGAATCCACTCTCTCCCTGGTTCAAGATTAGTTCGTTAGCTTAAACCCGGATAGGACGCTAAGTGGCCAAGGGTTTTCCCCCAGCGAATGAGGGTCGAGTGGATGGATTCGGCGAATGTGGATTCAGGAGTGGAGAAGAAAGTGATTCTTTTTTCTCTTGGTTGTACGAGATTACAGGAGAAGCTGCCACTCGAGCTGGAGAGAGGGACAAGTAGATCGATCCTTTTTCTATCCTATTCTATTTCTTAACTTCTTATGTTTCTATTGGAAACTTTTTTCAAAAAAAAAAAAAAAAAAAAGAAAAACTGAAGAAGCACCCTTTGCTAGGATTCGGTATTGATGTGCTCTGTAATTAAATATATAAATAACCATCATCATACACAACCCACATTTATAATTCAATGCGTCTGTCCATGTTGTTTACCTAATAAATTAATAGTTCTATATTCTCTCCTCGAGCTGTACTATGTAGATCAAGTGTCTAAACTCTCCATTTCACCAATGAATGCTATGTGATATTGTTAATATTTCCCGTGGGGAAATTCTAGAACAGGGGAAATAACCAACAACCTGCGGTCCATATCTGGTGCCCCAATTTGGTCCTCTAAGATTGGTCAGTAGGTAGTTATGTACTACGGTAGACATTGTACTGTACAAAGTATCTATACGAAGTACTTATACTTACTTATGATACTTGGATCTACATAGGGATTTCACTTAATTTCCTGGCAAAAAGCCCTAAACTCTGCTATACCAACCAAACAAAAAAAAAAAAAAAAAAAATTAATAATACTCCGTACTGATAGTAAACTTACCTGTAAAGGAACACACAGATTGCTTGCAGGCACTATTGAGAAACAAATAATACAGGTAGAGAAATCCTGAACCACAATTAGAGACGGTGCTCCGGAGTAGGTTGGTACCTAGGTGTCCAGTCAAAACTACCAAATGAAAAAACCTGTATGCATCTGCTGTGTCTACTAAACTTTCTTAGCTCAAAATTACCCCAGTTTGGCAGTTAAGGACCTGCCGGATTAGGTGATGCTGCTTTTGGATGGTATTCTTCACTAGTCCTATTTAAGAAGAATCCACTCCAAAAAAAAAACCGCCGGGGAACACAAATGATAGTCTTTAATGTTCTTTTTTTTTTTTTTTTTCCTTTTCTTCCTCCCCTTCTCCTTCTCCCCATTCTCTTTCCCTTGCTCTTCTGTTCTTCATACATCGTATATAGTTGCTTATGTCGCACAGAGTGAGGTTCCGCCATCCGCCGGCTGCGGGTAATTCGGGGCTATCAGCGGAACAAAGGGCACTAAGAAGGATCCAACAAAACTCATGCCAGTGGAGTTAACAAGCTCTGTCAGCCACTAGATCCGACCCCCTCTCGGCGTATCAGGCCAAACTCGGTATCGGGATTCTTCATGGACCTCAATATGAGCCAAGACTGATGGAAACGAAGACCAGCTTCAATAGACTAAAACGACAAAGGCCGTTACACTATAGTTGGGATGACGGGTAGAAATACAGAGATACAACATGGCCGTTTGCCTCTCTCCATATATCAGTCTCTTCACTCATATCATTCCCACGTAGCACAAAAGATTGATGTGCAGCTTATACTCCAACATTGTTTCTTTCTCATACCGTAGTTTAGCCAGCACAGACTTACGGATGGACCGCTGGAGGACTTGCGGCGGTAGGATGAAGTGTGCCCATTTGATGGAGTGACTGCCTCTAATATGAGGGGGAAAAAAAAAAAAAAATGAGAGACGAGACCCTAAGATCGTACCCGACGTACTTAATTTCTACTCCCTAGGATGAAATTGAGTCCCAGTACCAAAATAATCTACTCTGTACAGAGGACTCGATGGTTGGTTTATTATACCTAAAGCTTCCCCGAAACGGCGTTTCGGCTCTGGAAATCATACTACCTAGGTACTAGCTCCTGCGATGCTATCATTGGCATGATAGTAGTATGTAATACTTTAAGGCCCTGTAGTTCTTGCTATTGTATGATCTTTCATGCTGTGGTAATGATATGCCCTAGTACCTAGTACATATGCTGAACCCGTACAGGTAGGTAGACAGGTAGATCTATTGAAGGTGCACGTTAGGAGTACTTGGTGTTGCGTTGTTAACTTACTTCGCTCTGTACCCTGTAGGTATTTGATGGAAACCATCGGCCACGCTGTCGCCACACTACAGTACCTTAACACATTCGCTTGGATCCTAGCCTTGGGGGGTGCAGCTCGGGATTAACCATAAGATGTTGTTTTAGTGGATGATGGTTAGATACCAATGTATTACTCGGTACTGAATGGCTACTCCGTACTAGGTCCTATATAAGGTTTGTTGGCTCTCAGCCTTCCATAGGGTCTGGGGGCTAGTAATCACTTGTGTATGCTCTACTGAGGATGACTGCAGTAGATCCTGTAGACTAGGTAGGTAAATACTCCGTATCTAGTACCTAGGTAGGTAGTTTTAATTTCTTCTTTTTACCCCTAGTGTCCGTAGCCCAATAGATGGGCCCCAAGTATGGGTACTTGATTGGTCGGGTCAATTTCATGTTTCGGATCAGGCCAGACGAGACCGGATCAGCCGCGCCTTATTTCGGCTAGGACCGCTCAGGGAGAGCCGGACTTGGCAATCTGAGATTGCGCTCTGCTGCGGAGCCAACGTATTAATCATATTTAATTTACATGCAATTTATACACGGGTTAGTTGGCAACTCTATTCTTGATTTCTGCCTAGCCAGACGCGTCTTTATATCCGATGCAATCTTGTATTATTAGCAGTAAATAAAACATGGAAGTCAGTTTATTATTACATGGAACCATCTCGGTATCTATCCAGAGTAGCTAATCATCTAGGTAACTGGAATTCAAAGTATTAATTATGCTAGTTAGAAGGCTACTGCTTCTGTCCTGTTTCTAGAAATCCATTCTTGCATGCGGAGTACATATGTACGCACTCAACTTATATAATAGGTTGTATTGATACAGAGGTGCCTGTCGGGTACCTACCTATTATAAATATTTGATGGCATGTGATTAATTCCTAGTTCTAAGCCAACAAAATAGAAGAGTGAGGAGCCTGTAACACCAAACAGTTTTTCCTCTTCTTCCCCCCCACACCCCCACCCTAAAAAAAAAAAAAAAAGTCTTGCATTAGGTATAACACTGAATTAATGCACTTTTGAAAGCTATGGATAAATTCCAACTCATTCTCTGTACTGACCCAGCTTCGTTTGCAAGAAACCTCGGAGAGAGCATCGATATTGATAGATTCTTCTATTATATCTGTATTAAAAGTTTTTGATTCGTTAACTAGTTGGGCAATCGAGGTGTACCTATCTGTAACTGGTGGAGAATGAATGCACTATGCTTTGATTTGGTTTGGGCCTGCTCCTAGCATTCTCTTTTAGTCCTTCACTTTCCCTGGCACAGGTTCAAGAGCGTCCCTAGTCTGTAAGTAAGTAGGTGTGTGGCTCTGGCCCACATTGGCTCGGTCATTAGAGGTACATCCATCATATCCGCAAACGTCCATGCCTGACCATTCATCAATGCGTATGGTCACTGGTCACTGCCCGCCCCTCCTCACCCTAGCCCACAGATCCTCATGATACTCCCGCCAAGTTTAACCGGGCCTATCTTTGGCCCCGATGTCCCGAAAACAGAATCACTGGTTCCTGACCACTGGCGTTACTCTCAGGGACTTACTTACCATCTTTTACGGAGTAAAAAGACAGTAGCGGACGTCCCGCCCTGGGCGCCAAATGCCATTTATCACCTGCAAATCCAGCTCGTTCTGTCTAGCAATTGGTCCCTTTTCCAAGACTGGGTCTTCGTCTTCCTAAACGTCCAAGAAAGAACCCACCTAGTCAGGCTGACAGCAAAGTCGTTTTCGCCCACTAATCAGACGCAGCTTTATTTCCGTTCCTGCGCCAGTACTAAACCGTGGATCTTCCCGGTATACCATAATGGTATTTGCTACCAGTCCCTAGACTTTTGCCTCTACTCCGTACACAGTAGGCGCTTTGCTGGTAGCTTGGCGTGCACAGACAGATCCTGAGCACACACGAGGTCAGCACATCATGAAAGGCAGGCTTTCAATTATTCAGTACTTTAAGAACTGGACAGACCCTACAAAAAGAAATAGGAAATGAAAGACATATATATATATGTGCGTGGTTTATCTTTGTATGAGTATAGATAGATGTATGCAGGTAGGTGTATATATAAACTTGTTCACTTAATCACCCCAGGCGAAAAGCGGCACTTCAAGTTCACTGTGAACTTCGCCGTTAAAAGGGAAAAAAAAAAAAAAAGGAAAGAACCATAAAATCAATACAGAGTGGATATCATGAGTATCAAGCCAAACTGTCAAAGTCACATATCAAGCGAAAGCTTGAAAGGGTTAAGAAGAAAAGGGAAGAAAGCCTAAGATGCAGTCATCATGGTCCATGACGCTGCATCGCAATTAACCTCCTCAAAGCTGTGCAAAGTATTGAATCCCATGCCTGCCAGGCAATCAAAATTACTATCGCCGTCAACCTGTACCACAAATATTAATGAATGTTTTCCGGCAAAGAAAACGAGGAAAACAAGGGGTTTGAGGCAATAAACAGTACTTACATAATCGATGATAACAGCTTCAGCCCCCTGTTTACGGATTTGTTTGACTCCCAATAAGACCAGTCCCTGCAATACTGTGGCATATTCGCCCACCGAGGGCGAGATCACTGGGGATGAAATCCCCCCTGCCGAAGTATGTATAGACTTAAGAGCAGGCATGTGCTCTGCTAATGTCGCTCTTCCGTTGTAAATGACAACGCTACCCAGGATCGCCCCATCCTCAGGCCGTGTAGCCCTGATGATCCCAGAATTCGGCGCTCCCCCTAGAGCTAGTTTGTAAATATCTATCACACCTTGTCTGGAGTTGGTTTTGATGTGATCAAGGATCGTATCTGCGTAGTCCCATCCGTAAACAAGGTCATAGGCCACATCTGCATTTTGCAAACTTTGAAGCAGTCCATCGGGAGGAGCCCAGGTTGACAAGTTTCGCAAAACTACATTACACACGGGTCGCGAGAGAGCCGTGTTCCAGCCCAAGTTGGCAAACCACTGCCGTAGTCTCTTTCGTTCCACTGGATTGGCAGATGGAATACCCAGATAGATTCCAGGAAGGCGAGAACCGAGCTGAAACCTTTTCATTCCTTTTCGATGGAGAAGAGTTCGGATGGCGCGATTGTGGAGCGAGTTCCCAATTGAAAGCTTTCGTCTAGCAGGATCAACAATCAACGATCCAATCACGCCGGTGCCCGTGGACCTGAAGAAATATGTTGAACAGAATCCGTATAGGGCTTGCGTGCTGCTGTTCCTCACCACAAAGTGGCCCTCGTCAATATCCTCTCTTCGCAGTACAAAGCTGCTAGATGTCACGCCTAGTAATTCCGATCGCTGTCCTTGAATACAGTCATCTCTGACAGCATCTAGTAAAGAATCCAAAGCGTGCGAGTCTCGTTCTTCATTCCAATTTTCTACGAGCCAGTGCTGCCGCGCTTGATGGAGTTTTTGACTCCGGCTAATTGACCCTGGTAGAGATCCCATTGGAGCTAATTCGCCATATAGAACCTTGACAAGTGCCTCCAGCGCTGTCTCTGTAAAATCGTAAGTGCACACATAAGTCCCAATGGAAGGATCCATTGCGAAGTCGTACGGAGAGCTGGCCGCAACGACTACCATCGGCTTCTCACGAGCTTCGCCAGAAGGTGTGAACTGCGACCGGCAGATCATAGCCACATGCTTGGTAAAGCCGTGTTGGTATAGGTTCCTATTTGCATCCGCAGTGACAACTATGACCGCGCTGGCCCGGTCTATTAAGTCTTCGTGAATCGGACGAACACCGTTAGCCGTGTAAGAAGTATGCAATACACGGCCATTCCTTTGTCGGGAGAGAGACCTCCCTAATTCTTTGAAGACGCTTTCGCCACTTAGAACAGAGGCGGTCCGATCCCCTGCTACCGCGTCGAGAGACAAATTCAAGTGTTCGGGTATCGAACGGGACACAGCAGAGGCCGGTAATGGTTTGACCAGGGGAGTCAATAACAGTAGCTCCTCGTTCGGTTCTAGAATGTTAGACAGAGGCAGTAGATTTTGTTTGTCACGGACCACTGAAATAGAGCTGTTATATGCCTTCTTTGAGAGGCTAGTATGTGAGGGTTGCATCTGTGTGAGGGAGGGGAGTCCGGGAGGGTTGAGGGCCTGATCCCAGGAGGTGCATTTTGCCTTCAAGTTAAGAACCCTGCGTAGTGACTGCTCTATTCGCAGTCGACCGATAATACCATTTTCCACTCCGAGTTTCAACCCATTAATGGCCTCTTGCTGCACCGGGAGTGATCTGCATACGAGAATAATATCGCAGCCGGCATTCTTTGCCATCACAGTACCGCCACCTACACCAATGTTATGGGTAAGAGCTTCCATCTGTAGACACTCTGAAACGACTAAACCATTGAATTTCAGGTCTTTCCGAAGCAAGTCATCGACCACTTGCTCACTTAGACAGGCGTGCATCACGTTGACTCCAGCGGATGACATGGAAACACCGCCTACCATCATGGAATCTAACCCATGGGTAATAGCATTCCGAAAGGGAACTAGGGCAGTCAAGCTAAGTTGCTCCAACGACTCTGTAATAATAGGAACGTCCGTCTGCGAACCCAGGAACTCTAGGTTGCCATACGACGGGAAATGCTTCCCACATGTCACCAAGCCGGCTTCTTTGAAGCCCTTCATGAACTCGACACCATACTGAGATACCTCTTGGGGATCATCACCCGAGGTACGAACCCCCAGAGGTTGGCTGCGAACATTGGTCAAGACGTCCAAGACAGGGCCAAGAATCCAGTTGACTCCTACTGCCTTGAGCTCTTGGGCAGTAGCCACGGCTACATCGCGAGCTAGAGCCTTCGAACCTGTTGCAGCAATTCCCATGGCGCTGGGAAACTGCCGGATGTAGATTTCATCATACAGGCTGTTTACGCCTCCGTTCTCTTGGTCTAGGGCAATGAGCAGCGGTACTGGATGCCCAGCATCCCGGGCGATTGTTTGTAATTCGAGAACTAGCCGCGTGGCATCTTCTGCAGCTATATTGAAGTTAGTGCTTTACCGCCAACAGTGGGCCGAATATAAAGGTCAACTATCGACCTTATAAAGTTCTTAAGAGGTAGGGCAAGGGCTGAAGATACATTTTAAGTTTTTGGCAGTGAGCAGTATGGAACCCAGATGGTAGTTCTCAATAAGGGAGCGAATTTGAGGACTAACAGAGGTTCCATCAAAGCCCATCATAAATAGTTGGCCCATCTGCCTGTCGAGCAAACATGATCCTCAAATCGTTAGCGCGTATCCCCCTTTGTAAAGTCAACAGGAGTAAGGAGACCAAGAGGAGTGTAGGGAGAGAGCATGACGACTTAGAAAGAATATAGAAAGCAAGATTTTTTTTTTCTTAATAAAAAAGGACTAATGGATGGACAAATAATTAAGAAGAAAAGAAAGTATGCCAAGACGAGGGTCCTACCTGTCTAGATCCTCCCACCCAGGAGGTAGCATGTCCTCTTTAGGGGCCATGATGGCCCTAGGTGAGGAATGCCTGAACAGAACCTAGTACGATGACAACGTGAAGGAGAAAGGAAAAGAAAAAGGAAAAAAAAAAATAAAAATTAAAATGTGGCCAACAGATGCGCCCAGATTCAACGAAGCAGCGTAGGCGGTGGGGGAAGTGAAAAGGATTGATGGGGACAAAGCTGCAAACGATGTCGGAGCTGACAGGTGCCAGAATCGGTAGTTGATCCAAGCTACTAAAAACGTGCCTCTAAATTGGTTAGCAGGATCCAATCAAGGACAGGTAGGGATCTGCATGCTGTTCTCTTAGTTGTCAGATCAGGAAAGCTAGCAAGTAGTTTTCCCCGACACTGTCCACTCTACTCTGGGGTATGGAGTAGGCATCGCTTACCAAGGGACACGTATTAATAAACTGAGATGGGCACTGTGCTGACAAATGAAAAGAAAGTATTAGGAGGCTTATGGATGACGGCAATAGATGGATAGATAGCCATGAGGGAGCATAGAATTGCAGTGTTCTAATCAGTAGAGTGGCCAGCAGCTCACAAACAATTCAATGCAATCTCGGAAGGGAGTTGCAATGATTACAGGCTTCTTGGCATAATATCCCACACAAAATTCAATTCTGCTGTTCATTCGCCTTGAAATGAGGACGATGATTCCAGTGAACGTGAACTTGAACTTGCGCGGGGGATGATCACATGGTCTTTATCACGTGATAGTAAATGGTCTGTATGGTACTGTATTATACCAGGGCTGTACTTATTGATACTGTACAATACCAACCAGTCCCAGCCACTCCCACCTTGATATTTTATTTGCTAGTTAGTATGGGCGGACGGCAATACAATACCACACCACAACAGGGTTGCACTCCTTCCCCGGGTTCCCGATTTCGCCGGATGCAACAGCAGCAGCAACTGCCATTCCATACCGTATTAGGCCAAGAGTCTCCACTAGTGGCAGTACCTTATCTACTTGCTCGGCTTCTCTATGCCACCTCTTTCTGCAACATTACGTTGATCTCGACGATGGAACCCTTTGACTCTTCTCTCAGGATATCACCACAAAGGTAAATGATTCCCCCTCCTCAATGCTGGGTGTCCCTAGTTGATTGGCTGTTTGGGAGATTTATTCCCCATCCCCTGCCTTGACAAATGAAAAGGCTTGCGTCATTTAGTAGTGTGCTTAACGTCCATATCCGCTACATAGGTAGATTCCTCTAGGTGTAGGCAATAGTCTTAATGAGGTGAAGGGAGCAATATTTGGGTAGCTGACGATGAATTATAGCACAGAGTCTGCATAGGCATATTATTATTTTGCTATATAGCTCTGTCTTTATATCAAAAGGAACAATAGCTAATGTGATAATTAGGACGTCACTGTTGGTCAGCCTTAAATAATAGTTAGTTAACCCAGTAGGATAGTCCATCAGGAAGCACCAGCACAGTACAGAGTACTAAGTTAGTAATTACATACTACAAGGTAGGTAGGTAGTATCACTTTAATGTCGTGGCATTATCATGGTGTCACACTCCACAACTGATTGGGGTTCACTGGCAGGTTCAGTTGTAACAGAGACCCGTGGATGGGGACAAATGTGTCATCTCTTTCTGTAATTTTCTTTCTTTTCTCTTTTTCAACCTGACCTTTCCCAGAACCTCGAACATCTTTCTACTTTGAAGCCAAAAGCTGGACATTCATATTTTTCAGCTCCCCGTCTTGTCCTTATCCTTACTCTCCTTCTCCCGCTCTTCATACTACCTTTTCTAGATACTTTCTCACTGAACGAGTTTGAAGTCCCTCACCACCCTTGTCTAATATCTTTATTTACTCTACTTTGCCTCCTGTGCTCCTTTAAATCGTCTTAATCGAAAGCCCCACCTTCTCGGTGACGTAACTTCATTCCAAACTTCACCATGTATGACATGTTGTCCCCCTTCCTGAATTTGCAGGGAGTTGAGCTAACACGGTTTCTAAGGAGAGTTATTATTAGGGAAAACACTCTGGAAGTTTCAGAGTATATTGCTGACTATATCATCAGTTTGTTATCCTAATAATTAGAAATTTGCCTAGTATCAATCATCAGCCTTCCTAATTGAATTAACTTTACAGGTCGTATCAAGTTATTCAAGCCAACTGAAAACCAGCCTTTTGTTCTGGGCCTTCCGACTGGAAGCAGCCCTGAACTCATCTACAGAAGTTTAGTGCGCCGCCATAGAGCAGGCGAGATTTCTTTCAAACACGTCGTGACCTTCAATATGGTACTAACACCCTTTTCCTTTTTGGCAGGGAGTAGTGGCTTGTTTTTGCCATCCTTTATCATTTATTAAAATGGCTTTGGAAGAAAGTACTGACCAAAGCAGGATGAATATGTCGGCTTGCCTCGTGACCATCCCGAATCCTATCACAGTTTCATGTACAAACACTTTTTCTCGCATGTTGACATCCCACCCCAGAATATCAATATTCTTGATGGAAACGCCCCAGATCTTGCTGCGGAGTGTACCTCTTTCGAGGCGCGAATTGCGCGTTACGGTGGTATTGAACTTTTCCTTGGTGGCGTTGGCCCCGATGGTCACATTGCATTCAACGAACCAGGATCCTCGCTGAGCAGTCGTACTCGTGTTAAGACTTTGGCCTACGACACAATACTAGCCAATTCCAGGTTTTTCAATAATGATGTTGACAAGGTTCCTCAAAAGGCTTTGACTGTGGGCATCCAGACCATAATGGAGGCTAGAGAGGTCGTTATTGTTGCAACTGGTGCTCACAAGGCGTTGGCACTGGAGAAGGGTCTCGAAGGTGGCGTGAACCATATGTGGACGCTCTCGGCACTGCAACTGCATCAGCACCCGCTCATTGTATGTGATCGTGATGCAACCCTGGAGCTCAAAGTGAAGACCGTCAGGTACTTTGAGTCTATTGAGCGCGCCGGGACAGATGCACGTACACAAGGCCCACCTTTAGTGTATCGACCGAAAACATACATGCCCGCTCCAATTGGTGTCAGCAAATCTCCGCAGCAGCCTACACCGGCATCTACACCAACGAAGGTGCCCAAGGATTTGAGAATCAACACAGAGCTTAGTCAATCGATAGAAGAAGATGAACTAACGCCGGATAGCATGTCTTCCCGGATGGTCGACTCTGCTATTGGTGGGTTGGACTCGACCTTGAAAGGCGAGTTAATGTTTGACCGAATGGGTGCCAGAGTTGTGTCGTAACTGTGGTGGTAATAACTTGGATCCTGGCATGTTATTTCAAATATGGTGTGAAGTACTACTGCCATAATTGGCTCCGATTACGGGCTTTCCAGAGAAGGATTCCGGTGTCTGGTGTCAAACTGTATTCTGTCTGGCAAGACGGCTTATCTTGTCCTCTTTTTTCTTCTTTCAACCTCCCCTCTCCTCCTCCCTCCGTCTCCTCCCTCCGTCTCCCCCTTCTTCCATGTCTCTGCTTTATCTTCACTCATTTTCTGTACCTAGGCGTTTGTTATTGCACTCTGGGAGCTTGCTCTGCGCTTTTATCCTCGTTCATAGATGGCTTGATATTCGGTGTTGCTTACAATAATATTGATTTGCTCCTCTACGCTTTTTAAGCTGCCTAGTGTTTCAACGTTCATTGACTCCTTTTAGTATTATTGTTGTTGCCATTGCTGTTAGCTACGGCTTCCTTTCTGTTAGAGTAATGAGTAGTACGTCTTTCGCCATCGAGCTCGTTGTTTATGAGGTTTTACGCCCCTGTCAATGAACAACCTGGATCCCGGGTTGGCTAGAAAGTATAGCAGGGGGGCACACGGTAAAGCAGAAACCCAAGATTTCATATCCTGTGGACCTTAACAATTAAGTTTAATTCTTAGTGTATGAGTGGGCCAGAAGCAAGCATAGTTAGTCAACTTAGTCAACAGTTTTAGTACACTTAATCTTCCTGGATTGGCATGGCCTTAGTACCGATGAGGCGGAAATTGCGGAGTCAAGTTTTGCGGGGGTCATACATCCAAACCAGTCTATTACACACAGACACGGGATTCATGCCAGCTCCAAGTAAGCAATGTATGACCTTTCATGAGATAAGTATAGCGATCTATGTAGATGTTATGAACGGCAGCGTTGGAGCTTATATTTGATGCTATCCATCTCATAGATATTACCTCTATTCGCCTCCTAAGACAAGGAGACGTCTATCCATAGCTAGGTGCTTAGTATCTATGTTTGTGTTATTGATAATTTAGGCTTATATCGCAGACCGAAATGCGTACGATAGTGATTGCGTTTCTTCTCAAGGCTATTGCCAGCTTGATGACCGCTTCTGTTTGCGCCCAAGCCCTCACTCCCAACCGTTACGACTTTGTGATCATTGGAGGAGGCACATGCGACTTAACGGTGGCAAGTAGACTCTCCGAAATACCAGATGTCACAGTAGCCGTAATTGAGGCAGGGAAGGACGAGCATAACAATCCGAACGTGACGAGTGTGGTTGGATTCGGCCGCGGGTTCAATACACCCATCGACTGGCAATACCAAACGACAAGCCAGGCAAATGCCGGCGATCGAGAGCTCAAATATCATGCTGGTAAAGGGCTGGGTGGAACCAGGATCATAAATGGTGCGCGACACCTATATCAGAGTGTGCCCTCTACTGTTCGTATAGGCACCCTTGTACTGATGTTATGGACCTCTCTGACGAGGCTACAGGCATGACTTATATACGTGCCTCATCCTTACAGATTGATTCGTGAGAGGAAATGGGAAATCAAGGTTGGAACTGGAACAACTTGTATCCTTACTATTTGAGAAGCCAGGGATTCCAGACCCCTACACCGGTGCAGTTTGCAGTGGGAGCCTCGTACGTGGATTCATATCATGGTAGGGAAGGTGCACCTAAAGTCGGTTACCCCTATGAGCTGGTAAATGGATCTTTTGCTTCAACAGGAAAAGAAACATGGCTGGAGATGGGGATACTTTTGAATCCCGACGTCAACGGGGGTCAGTTGCGGGGGTTCTATGTGTGGCCGCAAACTCTTGACCGCAGGATCGACATCCGCGAAGATGCGGCCAGAGCCTATTACTACCCAGTGCAGGTGTGATCCGATCCCCAGCCATCCTGGAGCTGTCAGGAGTAGGAAATCCAGACTATCACCAACTTTCGTGGTGAAGATTTGTCGAAATGCTAATAGCTCAAATTAGGGTGCTGGGAAAGTATCCGTGAAACTCCCGTTGCGTTCTGTCGGGGAGATCACTTATATTTTCTTCTAACGGCACAGTAAATGGAACGGCTCCATATGTGTCATGCGACCGCATCTGGCATCTTGTGATCTGATACCAAGGGGGCCAGGCGGATTCCATGGTTGCAAGACTTGAAGATTGGGAGAGACAAGTCGCGAAAACGAGTGGAAGGGCCGTCTCCTCCGCTGCTCTCGAGCATATTTTTCGTACCCAATTTAATTTTCAGAAAAAACGTCTATAGCATTGAGATCTTCACTACACCGGCTCGGGCTACAATCTCGTTTCAGCATTCTGGACACTCTTGCCCTTTTCCAGTGGGCGCGTTCATATTAGATCAGCGGATCCAGAGGCCTACCCTCTTGTAAATCCGAACTACTTCATGATGGACTGGGACCTCTCATTCCAAATGAAAGCTGCAAGGATAGCTTTGCAATTTTGGGCAACGCAGCCAGTGCAATCGCTTGTTGTCGGGCGGTCATTCCCTCCGCTTTCGACGGTGCCACTAAATGCCACATATGGGGAGTGGATGGAATGGATAAAGAGTGCTTGTGAGTCTAGAGGAACGTTGACTCGCTGATTTCTGTGTCTCTAATTTTGGATCAGTTACTCTAAACCATCATCTCATAGGCATTGCCGCAATGCTTCCCCTGGAACTGGGTGGGGTGGTGGATGAAAACCTCATCGTCTACGGTCGATAATATTCGAGTAATTGATGCCTCTGTCATGCCATCTCCGAAAGAGCGGCCGATATAATAAAGGCACGGATGTATGAATAACATACGGAACAAAGCCAGGATACCCCACGCTCAGATAAGATGATAGAAGGACTTGGTATATTTCAACGACACGCAGGAAGTTTCTTGTTCTTTCTCTCTTTTTCTCAAGATAGTTTGGACGTTGATTCCGGGAGCAAGGAGAAGCATCTCTGAGATTCAGCACGTGGTATATAGACCTCATCTTACATGGAGAATAAGAGTTGAGGGTCCCACTATACAAAATGTAATGGAAGGAAATCAAAATAAATCCACAGTGTTGGACATGTGCCAGTGTATATACATTTTTATGGCCTATCCTTCTTCCGATAGGAGTTAATTATCCATGGTGATGGGGCCTTTATATATATAGAATGATGCTTATAGCTTGGCAAAAACCGTAGCAACCTCTCCGCTCATTTCCACGAGAGTGCTCTTGTTTTTCACCCAGGCCTCAATACCTCTGCGGCCATTCTCGACACCAACACCGCTCTTCTTCCATCCGCCAACAGCCATCTCGGCCGGACTCTCTCCCCAGGTGTTCACCCAGGTAATACCAGCTTGGAGCTGATCGATGATACGGTGCGCGCCATTAAGATCTTTGGTAAAGATGCCGGCTGCCAGACCCAATTCAGTAGTATTGGCCCGCTTGACCGCTTCTTCGACAGTCTCGTAGGACAAAATCGACATCACTGGACCGAAAATCTCTTCCTGGACGATCTTCATGCTGTCCGTGCAGTCGGTGAATATAGTGGGGCGAACCCAGAACCCATCCTCCAACTCCTTCGGAACCTGTGGCTTGCCGAGCCCACCATAGAGAAGAGTAGCTTTGTCTGTCTCGATGCCGTGGCGGATGTAGGCCGTGACCTTCTCGAGATGGCCGGCGGAGCTCAATGGGCCAAAGTTCGTGCTCTCATCGAATAGATGCCCCGGGCGGATGTACTGCATCTTTTCCAGGAGACGCTTTTCAAAAGCGGACTTCATGCTTGTCGGCACGAAGACACGGGTGCCATTTGTGCAAACTTGGCCTGTGCTGTAAAAATTGGCCATCATCGCCCCGTCTATGGCGTTTTCCAGTTCGGCATCCGGAAGAACGATCAGGGGACTCTTGCCTCCCAGCTCCATGGTCACGTATTTCATGTTACCGGCAGCGGAGCCGGCAACCTTCATGCCGGTTGATACCTGGCCAGTGAAGGAGACCTTGGCAATGGTGGGGTGAGAGGTCAAGTAGGCACCGACGTCACCTGCCCCGTACACGATATTAAACACGCCCGCGGGGAGACCAGCTTCCCGGTAAACCTCGGCGAGAGTCTGTGCATGAAGCGGGGTGAATTCACTGGGTTTGTAGACCATGGTGTTGCCCGCTGCGAGGCACGGGGCCGATTTCCAGAGGGCACTGTTACGCCCGGGGTTAGTCGCATCGTCCAATTCCAACAGATCGAGATTGAGCGGGGACGTACATCTGGATCGGATAATTCCATGCACCAATTCCCGCACAGACCCCTAATGGAGCCTTCTTGGTAAACACCCAAGCGTCCTGCCTCAGTTGTGTGGTTTCTCCATTCAAACCTCCGCCGCCAACCAGATTGGCATAGTATTCCAACACATCGGCACCCGTGACGACATCGACCGTACTTGTCTCCGTGTATGCCTTCCCGGAGTCTAGCGCTTCAACCCGAGCGATTTCATCATTGCGTTCCCGTAGGAGAGCGGCAGCCTTCTGAAGAATGCGCGCCCGGATAATCGGAGGAGTTTGGGACCAAGAATGAAATGCACGGTCAGCGGCGGCAATGGCGGCATCTACATCGGCATGCGAAGCGACGTGGATTTCGGCCAGCACGGTAGCATTGGACGGATTGACGGTTTGAAACGTCTTGCCGGACGAGGCCGACTGGACCTGACCATCATAGAAGAGCTGACGCGGGGCGATAGGAAGGGCGGACATGCTGAGAGAGTAGAGGGCAGAGAGTCTGGGACAGTATTTGGACGGGATTTTGGGAGAGAGGGGGAAGGGGAGAGAGCTGACGTTGTATGTAAGTAGGCAATACTACTAATTGGAGGAGGGGTATGAGAACTGAGAAGCAGAGGGAAGCAGGAGCTCTTCACCCGAGGCAAAAATCCAAACCCATTAATGAAAAAGAGAGAGAAAGAGTAGAGCGCAATCGAAACTTTAGACTTTCGCCCTCACCGCCATCCGACCCAGTTCGGTAAGTGGACGATCTCCGTTTGAAAAGCCCACGAGGGAAACAATGGGGAAATAGATCCTCACTTGCCATTTACTTTGTTCGTCTTATTATCGGTAAAATCAATGAAATCAAAAATAATACAGCCATTCGGTTGGTCCTTCATCCGTATCCTTAATAAGGTTGAAATTCCCATCCACCGAATAAGGCAATGCTTTCCCTCCACGGTGAACCTCCGACCGTTTTTTTAGTGGCATCGTGGCTACGTTTAGCGTAGGGGAGTGACGTCGTGATACAGACCAGACATACATACGGAGGGCATTCTCTTACAAGCAAAGGTAAGGAACGATGCATAAATCACTCACACTGATGTATTCCGTCCATAGCGACCAACTACCCAACTACCCAACTTTCCAGTCAGTTCACTTGCATTCGAAACAGAGAAAAAGAGAGGCCGGCATCAGACCATCCCCGTCAACCGGAGCCATTATCTAATACGCCGCTTTGGTTCCACTCGATGGACAAGACCTAATCGTCATTGGTTTGGTGCCTTTTCCTATAGTGGGGGGCAATGGTCGCCGAGAAAGAAAAAGTTAAAAAAAAAAGAAAAAGGATGGAGACGGATACAGAGAGGGCGAAAGAGAGAGACAAATGAATGCTTTTTTTCTCCAAAATGGGCTGATGGTTCGCCGACGGCCGAGCCGGATGCACATCACTTCAACTTGAATCAATTTAAATCCTTTTTCCCTTTTTCTTCCCCTTCTCCTTTCCACCCGCTTGTCTCTTCCCCATCACTCTCTTAGACCTTTCTCCATCTTGGCCATTCTAGCTCCCCCCCTCCCGCCTCTATCTCTCTATCCTTGGCTCTTAACATTTTGATTCAACATGGCCACCACGAACGAGTTCCCCGCAAGCGACGTTAACAGCTATGACTATGTCATCGTGGGAGGTGGCACGGCAGGCTGTGTCATTGCCAGTCGATTGGCTGAGTACTTGCCCAACAAACGTATTCTGATCATTGAGGGCGGTCCCAGTGACTTCAATGATGATCGCGTCCTCAACCTGCGGGAATGGTTGAGCTTGCTAGGAGGCGAGTTGGATTACGATTATCCTACTACCGAACAGCCAATGGGTACGTCGCACAGCATTTGAAACCCGCTTACCTTGTCCTACGGAAACTACGTCCTGAAATTTTGATTACCCGTATACTTGGGATAGCCAAGTTCTTTATTTTTTTAAAAATAAAGAAAACAAAACAAAAAAAAATATATATATATAAAGACTGACAATTCCTGTGCGATAGGTAACAGCCATATCCGTCATTCTCGTGCCAAGGTCTTGGGTGGTTGCTCGAGCCACAACACCCTCATCTCTTTCCGCCCCTTCGAATATGATTGCAGGAGGTGGGAGCAGCAAGGTTGCAAGGGCTGGTCCTTTGAGACGTTTACCCGCGTTCTGGACAACTTGCGCAACACAATTCAGCCTGTCCACAGCCGCCACCGCAACCAGCTCTGCAAGGACTGGGTTCAGTCTTGCTCTACTGCCATGAATATCCCAATTATTCCCGATTTCAACAAGCAGATCCGCTCAAACGGTGAATTGACCGAGGGTGTCGGTTTCTTCTCCGTCTCCTATAACCCGGATGATGGTCGTCGCAGCAGCGCCAGCGTGGCTTATATTCATCCTATCCTGCGTGGCGAGGAGAAGCGCCCCAACTTGACCATCCTCACGAACGCCTGGGTGTCCCGCGTTAATGTTAGCGGAGACACCGTTACTGGAGTCGATGTGACCCTTCAGTCTGGCGTCAAGCATACCCTGCACTCTAAGAAGGAAACTATTCTTTGCGCGGGTGCGGTGGACACTCCGAGGCTGATGCTGCTTTCTGGATTGGGTCCTCAGGGACAACTCCAGTCATTGGGAATCCCAGTTGTAAAGGACATCCCTGGCGTGGGTGAGAACCTTGTGGACCATCCGGAGAGCATCATCCTCTGGGAGCTCAACCAACCCGTTCCCCCCAATCAGACGACCATGGACTCGGACGCCGGCATCTTCCTGCGCCGGGAACTTCCCAATGCTGCCGGCTCTGATGGCCGCGCTGCAGATCTCATGATGCACTGCTACCAGATTCCCTTCTGTCTCAACACAAGCCGTTTGGGATATGACAGCCCGGTGAATGCCTTCTGCATGACTCCTAACATCCCTCGCCCCCGGTCTCGTGGCCGTATCTATTTGACTTCTGCCGACCCTAGCGTGAAGCCCGCCTTGGACTTCCGTTATTTCACAGATCCTGAGGGTTATGATGCCGCCACCATCGTTGCTGGTTTCAAGGCGGCCCGTGAGATTGCCAAGCAGTCGCCGTTCAAGGACTGGATCAAACGGGAGGTTGCTCCGGGCCCCAGCATCCAAACTGACGAGGAGCTGTCGGAGTATGGCCGTCGCGTCGCTCACACCGTCTACCATCCCGCTGGTACGACCAAGATGGGTGATGTTACCCGCGATCCACTGGCTGTTGTGGATCCTCAGCTGAAGGTCCGTGGCTTGAAGAATGTCCGCATTGCGGACGCTGGTGTCTTCCCTGAAATGCCCAGCATCAACCCTATGTTGACTGTCTTGGCTATTGGAGAGAGAGCTGCTGAGTTGATTGCCGAAGAGGCTGGATGGAAGCGTGAGCAGCCTCGTCTGTAAATGCTCCCTTGCCCCCCCCCTTTTTTTTTTTTTTTTTTGAGGGGAGGGAGTTAGGAAGCCATTGTGGACGGAAATGAAAACTACCAGCTATATGAGTAGCTGATATCCCTAAAAGTATACAGGGGACGGATACATGCAGGCATATGTATCGCATTGTCTCCAAGCATTGCTCTTTCCCTTCCTTGTTGCTTATTGGCCGCCGCTTTTTGCTCAGCGAGCAGTAAGGCGTGAGTTACTATCCTCTAAAAATACACCACGCTAGAGCTTCACCTATGCTTTCCGTTATTCCTCAATGAAGAGCTTGCCTCATCTATGTGATGTTCAATTGTGACCAATATCCGGCCTGCACTTGTGGGGTGGAATTGACCGAACTCAGCTTTTTATTGTTAGGCATCTGCTATACTATCCAAATACCAGTCTCTAAAATTCAAACTGTGCAGAGCTGTTGGTCTTATTCCTATGTATATGAATTATCTGTCTACATATGACTGAGATGTATTATATTGTTCAGAGCTACTAGTAAACATTTTCCTATCGCCTATTTCTTGCCTTCCATATGATTGTTCTTGCTGGCTGTACTATACCTGGGATAGTAGTGCATCAAGTATCTGGGTTCAGCTGCCGTACTATAACAACCTTGTTATTTCGACTTCTTGGTAGAATAGTCCACTTCCTAGGAGTCTATAAAGAAAGATAGCATCTCACCTTGATTCCCTTTGAATTTTGCAAACCTTATTTTAGATATAATTTATAATAGTGCTCTTAATATTATCTATAGATTGTACTAATCACAGGATTGCGTCTACAGATAGCCCTTGGTCTACTATATTCTAGATTGTGACTCTTTATATCTTTGTCAGTTATTAAATTTTGTCAACGCTGAAAATACCTGAAATACCACAAATATGTCTCTCCAAGGGCCCATTTGTTTTAGTTGCCTGAATTGAATCAACGCTTATATAGAAATCAGCTTAGAGCACGCTTCAAGTTTATACACCAGAAAGTTAGCTCTATTAATAACCGCGAGTGTTAACAATATTGGCCACAATAGCTATTATTATAGGCTGTAGGTAGGCCCTCCATAATATCAAATAGCATAAGGCGGCAAACAGTAGACTAGATTTCTATCAGTCAGTGATGCTTATTATGCCACTTCTCTATAAGAAGATTCAACAACCCCAGCAAAGTTCTAGTTCTCTAAAAATGAACCTGTATCAATAAGCGAGTTTCAAGTTTTCAGTAACAGGACTAACTATCCTGAGCTACCTAGGTGGAGGCTTCTCAGAGATTGGAAGTGTCAAGGGCTAAACCTCTATAACCTAATAACTAGGGTGGATACAAAAGGAATCGTCGAAGAGGAAAGAGAAGAGGAAACAGCGATGAGACGATTGCGAAGTAAGGGGGGGGAAGTCACATGATAGAGTGTACTAATCAATATACTAATCATGTGGCAGGCGAGGAGAAAGGAAACACGAGGGCTGAGGGCCCGAGTAGGCTGAGGGGCTCTAGCCCCTTACAGGAAGTTCCCATAAGTAACCATCCAATGCACAGGAATGTAAAATGTGACACAGAGAATTGTTGTATACAACAATGCTAACATTCCTGCCAACACAGTGATGGCCCAGGATGGTTGACCTGTTATACTTTATTTTACTTGTCGATGTGTTGTCTTTCTCTTAGAATGTTCATCTAATAATTTAATAATCTCTAGAGATTGCTTAAAAATTGTAGTCTCTGATTCTATCGATTGTTTAAACTGGTGGTATTCTCTTTCCGAATACATGCACAATCTCTATAGCTATCGCTTTGAGTTGTAATATACTCCACTACGATGGAGATTGTTTTCGCCATCTGTGTACTTTGAAAATGCTTTCAAAGATAGCTTGGTTCCAGCATTTTACAGAAGGTAGCAGTTTTCAAGTATTCCATGGGGGATAATGTTGGGCTTCTGGCGGACTGTATTCAGAAAGTCATAAAATAAGCAAGAGTTGTAAGTAACCCTTCTAGATCTGATGTATAGTATACATCATTAGTGAGTATAACCAGGGAGTAGAACAGCGGTGATGCACTAGAGTTGCTTAAATGTATTCAGAATCGTCTTTTAAAGGAAGGTAATCTTATAACCTGCTTGGCTCAGAATAGCTACATCCTAGACATATTTGTTGAATATAGAACATTTTTAGTCCAGCTCTCTAATATGTATGGTATTAGCTTTGCTAGTCCCATCGTAACAGTTTTAGAATTGGAAATGTATATATTCTTAGAATAAGACAATGCCACGCACAATATAGATGGTATCATGGTTGGTCAATCTGTTTTACAGTTGTATTTGGAAGATGTATGGGTATGTATGATAGGTATATGGGTTACTGTTTGTGACCAGGACCTGTAAATTACATGTTGAAATACAGCAGCCACAACATGGCGGTGCTATGCCAAGATTCGGTACATATTAATACAAGTATGATTTAGAGAAATACATACTTTCTGACACAGCCTGTTTAATGATCTATTTGCCTAACATGCTTTTGGTTTGACCAGTGTTTTTACTCTTCCATTAGAAGCTCTCTCTAGATGGAGATTTCTCTTTGCTGTCTATATAATAAATCAATGATGAAGGAGTGTAAGACTTGGGTTTCTACATAGAAACTGTTTTAACTATATCGACAAACGCTTCGGTCTAGAGGAATTGTACTGCGTTGCCTTCACTTCCAATATCTCCTACACCATGAGTGACTTATTCTCCATTCTTGTTTTCAATTCCCTGATTTCGCCTACCTGTATATACTTGTCTATATGTAGCAATATGTGTTTTTGTTCTAGGAAGCATGCAACCACGTACGGGACTTGCTATATCCATAGTATACTGCTAGTTAAAGACAGATATCTAGTACGCCATGTATAAGCAGACCTCAGTTCAGATTTTAATATGTCTTCAAAATTTAGCATATAGTTACTATATAAATACGTATTCTTGGGAAACAGAAGAAATCTATAGTGTCTTATTATCGGGAGTTTCTCGTAGATATGCCCTGTAGTACCATGGTAATTTAAATCTTCTGCATTTTCAGAGTCTTGGATGGTATACAGGACCATATTATCAACACACCATTTTCCTGCCTGAGTACATGCCCCGAGTGATGTTTTGTTATAACCTCATCGCCGTTTCCTGTATAGGTAGGTAGGTAGTAACTGGGTCGGATGGAAAAGCAATGGACAACTCACCCGTGGGAAATTTAAAACCAACTATGCAAACAGGTGCAACTTTTGCGTACTCAGGATGTACAAAAAACCCGGACAACGGGCTTCATCCAGGTAGTATACAAGCTAGTGTTTTTCGCGTGTCCATAGCACAGCAGAGGGCATGCGGAAAAGGTGTCAAACTGAGTTGGGTGTCCATAGAAAGTAGATAGAGTCTGGTCTATGACGCGCCATCTTTCACAGTCAAACAGGGTTGGTAAGATTCTAAATTTGAAATATTATTACTATCGTTGTCTTAATGCTTCTACAAGTTTGGCGATCTGCGTTGATAACCAGGGAATATAAACCAGGACTACAGAATGTACAGAGTACAATACAAGAAGGTAAGGAATAATAATAAAGATTTTATTGTGGCACTAATACATAAATAGAAAAACAACAAATAATCACAAAATCAAATCTTGGGTTGTGACCAAGTTAAAAAAGAGCTAAGTTTGGCGATGGAGCATGCTACCGCTGTTGCACACAAGTCAGCTGATGACTCGCGAGCTGATTTCTTTCCTAAAACAAGACAGAAGCATTAACGAGTGCAAATAGAATCAGAAGAGACACTTTGCTGGCGAGCACGGAGGCAATCTTCTGTATTCCCCATCTTGCCACGTGGTGCAGATTAGTTAAAACCACAGTCTATACCTGGCACGTTGACGTAGAACCGGAAAACAGTCCCGTTTGCTGTTTGGCTTTGGTTCCTGACTGCAAAGCACTTATTCGTAGTTGGGGGTTCTCCATCGTGGGGCTTCACATATAAGTCGTATTGGAACAGTGATATTCAGCGCCAACACACCCGTCGTGGTTACCAGCCAAGGTACGCTTTCCTCCTTCTTTCCATGGAAGCGGCTTCTTACGCTCATCCTGACTCTGAGGATGATTAAGTTCCCCTAAGCTTGAGGGCTTTCGACGAGATGAGAAAAAAGTTGAAGGGACTCGGCCAACTCACGTAGCTTTGAGGGAAAGCCAATGCCACCGCAGGGAGCAAGGTAAACAGCAAGTGTATTGTAGATAAATATTAACAATCTATTTCAAATACAACGGCACAATGTCCGTATCTGAGTTAGTATTGCAGTGAGCAGAGGGATTTTATAGCCATTTTTTATTTATCTATCCAGGTAATATCTGACGCTCCCCATAATTATTGAAGATACAAGTCTGGATGGACCCCAAAAGGTGCAGCTGAAACCCTTGGCAACAATGTTAAATAGACATTAGGCAACCCAATTTCATTTCTATTGGAAATTGCGCACAATATTAACAAGGCTATAGTTAACCAGTGGTTTATTTAAAGATGCCGCTACTCTACTAGCCTAGTAAGGCTGAACGTAATGCATCGTAGGCCCATGTCCGAAATTAAGCTTATTCTTGAAATGCGAGACATGCCATTCCTTTGCGTCTACAGACACGGCTATCTTAAAGAGAGCTATGGAAGATGTATATTCTGCCCGTGGGCACTGAATAATTTATACTCTTGTACACAAGTCCAGACGAGCAATGTATGCCAAAACTACTTTTAATTCAGATACCAGGCTTGTGTGCTCTACCTAGGACATCAGTTTGACATGCTTGGCCTAAGCATAACTTCACCCTTGGTCTGGGCTAGGGCTAGCTATACATGAGCTCTACATATCCAGAGTGTAGGTGAGTCATTATGCGGCAAAGCACAGTATTTCATTCAGGTGTCTCTTTGGTCTATAATGTTGTTGATTCAGGGAAGTATAATATTTGAAAGGAGACAAATAGTAAATTGAGCGGGAGCTTGTCTGAATAGTTACGGGAAAAGGAGAAGTCTCAGGGGGTAAAAATGCCGCACACCTGCCAAGGCGCCAACTATATACTATACCTTAACATGACAACAGGGAGAACTGTAGTGTGTACTTCGTTCTTGGTGGGTATCCCAGTTGCAGCTCCTATTCATAGAATGGTATCTGGCTCCTAACTTGGTACGCCCTGCAGTATATCCTGCATCTATAGATACCAGATCCTCCATTCCATATAACTTCACGGAAACCCCCATATTACTCTATACTATACACTTTCTCCAGTTTCCGTTCACTTGGCAGATCTGAGCCGCGTCGCGTGAGTATACCCCCCTGACCTGGAACCAGTGACCTTGGTATTAACTTGTCCTTAGCCTGTGTATGCTTCCCAGTTGTGTTCGAATTGTGGTTTAGCTCCGGGGTTAGAGAGGGTTGCCGTCCCTAAATCTATCTGTAACTCTAAGGCTGACAGGCCTGGTTCTTTAATAATTACTATGTAATTCAATGTGCAGACAGAGGAGATAGATTCCGAGCAGAATCCCCAGCGATGCCCGAACAAATAGGGAGGTCAACGTTCCAAAAATATAGTTGACGACCGATCTACCCTATATTGTAGATCTAGCGCAATATGTGTGCATATATACTTCATACTAGGTAAGTGCAACTGTACAAATGTTTGCAGTATGTATTTAAGTATAATATACTTACATACATAGCGTTTATTTGGTATTTTTCATGCTTTTTTGGAGTATGCGAAAAATAAGACTAAATTGTGGCAACATTAAAAGAGCAAAAAAGGACAATTTCGTGGACCATGTAGTAGACTAGCAGTAGATCGATGTAGACAAGCAGATAAAACCAGACGGCTTATAAAGGACTATCGATTCAATTGTTCAAATTGTTCAAATTCATGGATAAGGTTTTCAGCTACTCTGACATCGGTCTTAGTCTATTGATTATCTTCTAGACTGTATCGCCACCGGATTAAGTATTTGGTATATTCAGTGGCTTGTCGTCCCCACTTGACAGCTCGTTAGCCCAGTGTATGTCCACTGTTAACAGAGCTCGGTCCAGCTGAGCCGCGACAGGATGTTAGATCCCGCATTTGACGCCTATGACAGACATGACAGACGCCAGACCCACATAAATATTACTCTAAATTCCACAGTTCTTATTGGTCTATGGCGTGTATTTCGAAATTTATTTTGATAGATAGAAATTGTAGATATAGAACCTATATAGATTCAATTTATTTCGAATAGATAACCTTTGTAGACAAGAATAATACTGTAAAGGTGGACTATTTAACATTCCGTTGCAACTGTACTTCTTACCCAGCTTCAAGCTGCACCGGGAGTAACATCTAAGAAGTTTATTACAGCAGTACTGTCTGTATAGAAATGCTAGGGACCAGACCGGCCCAGAACTAGCCACTCGCATGATGTCGATCATTTTCTATCTGGATTCCTGGCGTCGAATGGGGCTGCATCGCCAATTAGAGAGTGCTTTAGGATTATGGATATGGCCATGGGAGAACTGGCACCGCTATCAGCGCTATAGAAATAAACCAAGGCTGTCAATTCCCCAATTCCGCAGCCTACCGCATGAATCACGTGGATTAAAGAGCTCAGTATGGTTCTATTCTAGCCTGGGGCGATGGTGCGCGGCTATTTTAGAGGTGCTAGGCAACAATCTCGCTCTGCAGAATTGTGCGACTCTCGAATCATGCCGGGGCTTTCTTTTTCCTTTGGGATGTTGTTGCAAGAGACTGGATGTACTTAATACGAATTCCTAGGAGCTAGTTAAGAATATTGCGAATATATATACAGTCTTCACAGTAAAATGTCCCTATTCTTCCTACTATGTCTGCAAAACCACAACAACATATATAATAAAAGAATAATATATACATCCTAGCTTCGGGACAGGGTACAGAGCTAAAGTAGCGCAAGAACAGCCTCGAAACCGCCAACAAATAACTACTTTCCCCCTGGCATCGTTGAACTCGGATCTCTTTATGTGATACAGATAACGTCGTACTTCTCCAGGGCTCAAATGAGGTTTACACTGCAGAACCTTGTTTTCTGTCTTTCATTGTAACCTTAAATATCCCCCTTCAGAGATCTCCGTGCCCGCCACGGGTCTAGAACACTAAACCTGCAAGGCCGCGAGACGGCTCCAGAATTGTGACTAAAAAATATTGCATAACTTCTGTATATCTTAATAAGGATGACAAGAAGTTCTTTATCTTTTACAAAGCATCAACCCAAAAAGTCTCCACTGCAAGCAGGACCCACGAATGACAACATAATCAGATAATTTCTGCTGCAACTGCGTTGACAACAGAATGCTAGAAAGAAGTATGGAGTAAATAATGGATGCTATGATTTTCAAGACTAAACCCGAAATGGGTAAAACTACTGCTGATCTAGGCTTACGTAGGGTGCAATTGAATCGGATGTTTCCGAGTACTATTGGGGCTTAGCACATGATTTTCAGGCTTCGAGGCACTAAACCGTTTGCAGGCTAACCTTAATTGGTGGCGTATAACTCTAAACTTTAAGTACCAAAGCATATTGAATCATTCACAACAAACGGACTGAAAGAGAAAACCAGCGCTCTTAGTTTAATACTAAAACAAAAAAAAAAAAAAAAAGGGCATGAGTGAAAGAGTACCTTCAAGCTAAATTACCGCTGATTCTGAGAGCCTGAGAAGCTCCCTCACCCTATCATTCCTATCGAGTTTATGTCCCTTCTACAAATTTCCATGGACCTGGCAACTTTACAGCTGCAAGAGAGCAGGTAGGATTCAGTTGCACAAGTACTTACCAGGGGAGCAGGGCCATTCCATGCTTAAACATTTAAGAGTTATGGAAGTCCTCTGCTGTTTTAAGTGCGATATTCCTTTGCATACATCTGCAAACTCAACACAAGGCGATTTTGGTCATCGTTGTTCCTACAATGTGAGCCTTCCTATTGGCACTACTGGTGGCATTGGCTTTGCCCTTTAGTCATGTCAGCCCTTCTGTTAGGTGTGGTGCGTCACCTAATATTACAGTGCTCTACTATATGAGGTGCTCACGAATATCCGATCCCATTCGGATCAGATATAGCGGACTTTTAGTCCAGTAGAATAGTTAAGATCCTGGGCCTCGCTATAACATCTTCCCTGTGTGGTTCTATATTCCGATTGACTAACATTCATTCTAGTGCAAAGCAGATGGCAATGCAGACGACAAAATTCTCTTGCTATGGAAGGTAGCTTACAATGATGGGGAATACTGGGCCAGGGCATACTATCCCATATCCAGCCTTGGTAAGGTAGCGGGCGGTAATTAGTGATACTGCCAACACCAGTACTACAAGGAAGATAATGATGGCGAGGACTACGACAGCCCTGAAACACGCTTTGCAGCCCGGCAACCAAGCCCCAATCCGCATGCTGGTGAGTAGCCGCCTGCCGGAGAAGGCGATACTGGCAAAAATCTCTTGCCATGGTGGGGAGTTGATAATGAGGGCTATATATCAAAAGGATATCTTTAAGTTGGTTCGGCCACATAAGAGAATCTATGTGGTACTCAGGCATACTGCCAAAATAAGTATAACATAAACAAAGGCGACCACTATGACAGCCCTGAAGCGTGCTTTTCGGCCTGGAAACCAAAACCCAGCCCGCCCTGCTCTCGTGGCTTGAGCCTAGAGTTGAGGAAAGTATGAAACAAACTCGATGTGTACAAATGGCTCTCGACTCTAAATCAGGCTCTGTTAAAGAATGTATTGGAGCGCAGGCATTCTGTGATTAAGAGATGTGGAGCGGAAAAAACCATAAGCAGTTTTTCAGCAGCTCTAAAGTGTGCCTGGCATTCCGACGCCACTAGGCTGGCTGGCGTTATAACGAGACCGGGCAGTTTGGGACGTGATGCTTTTTGACTGGACCAAACCCACTTGCCGATTTTCTCCAGATTTTCAGAATCTTTGTTTTGAGATGTTTCGTAGTGGTGGAGATGGAGGCCGTGTGCCTTGGCTTTTTATTCTATTCTTCATGCTTAGTTCGTGATCGAAAGTATAGCAATATACTTTCGCATATTTACTTTAGATTCAAACAATTATTATACTATTATGATCATTTTTCCAAACCGAATTAGATGGATTCATCGTACCTTTTCGAAGCTTACATTATCTCGAGAACGGATCTGACAACCCAGTCAGTCACCTTCTATGGAAAATGGATGGATTCTGTCTCCTCCGCCGGGGGAAGGGGACAGAAAAGGACAATCTATGGATTGACAATTAATCGATTCGTGTTTAGACCTTAGGAAGAGCATGATGTTCATTCTGTCTGTTCGGTAAAGGCCACCGCTCTACAAAGGCTTGACGCGAACGTGGATAACCAGAAGGGAAGTCTAGGTGATGATGATGATGGTGGTGGTAGATAGCTGCCTTGCATTGCCTCTTGCATTGCCACACGCGCTATGCCTATGTTAGTATACACTGTAGTTAGTATTCTGTTCCTGAATATGCTCAACAAAGCTGCATGTTCCGTTTTGGAGACGGAGTCTTAATCTAAGGAAACCCCAAAGAATCTGCACGAAAACGTAATGACAGCCAACACGGTCCTAGGAGGTAACAATTCAAGGGAAGAACAGATTCTATCCTACGGAGGCAGCTACATAGGTCTAGAAGCATGTCCAAGAAAATGCTCAAGGTCGGTCGAAAGCCGAGTAGATGGATGAAATTGCAGGGATACCCTATGCTATCCTCTCATTCCGCGAATAATTCCACTGATCAGGAGAATAAAACAACCTGACTACGGTATGGTGCAGGAACAGGAAACCAAGTTCCGACCGACAGGAACCATGGAACCCATCCAGGTACCCGAAGAGAATACTACACCTACTAGCTAGTCCTGCTAAGTACCTAGTTAATTACATAGTAGGCGCTTAGTAAAGAAAGAATATCCACCCGAAATACCCACTACCAACTTCTCTTTGTTTCGCAGATCCCAACACCCACGTGGAAGCTGCTGGAATCAGTAATCTAAACGTCCACTCTGCCCCATAACGTTCGAGAATTTTTGTCAATCTGTCTCGATGCGCTCTAGATCATCAGTCACGAACTCCTCACGCCAGGCCAATCCTCTAGGACGAAGAACGAACCCCTGACAGCCACGCGGTTGTCGGATCCGATCAGAATGGAATATTTCATCGCGAGAACGGTTTCGTGTCTTGTCAATCCAACTAAAAGAATACGCAGAGACGAAGATAATACGGAGAGATTGCTTCAAATCCACCTGAGCACCTACCCGATGATTTTAGAATTAAGGTACGACGATCATCGCATTGTTAAAGTTGCTGTCTTCCTCGGATCCGATCTCCTGGTCGTGGATACGCTACCAGAACTCGAGCTGCCATCGTATTCTTCACTGTTCTTCTCCCATTCGGTAGCTTAAGACTGTGGTCGAGAGAAGGAAATTAGTGATCCACTCTGGAAAATCTCCGTCCCAACCCATCCTGGATGATTCTCAGCTAAAGAGAAGGACGCCAATTGTCCCACCGCACTGAAACGGAATCATCCACAGCTGCCTAGAATGCTGGCTGAGGCTGTGGTGAACTTTAATTTCTTTAATTAAACAAACCACTAAATGGAAACTGATCAACTGCGGTGGACCAACAGGTACAAACTACAGAGTCCTCATCATGCACGTATAACGAACTTTAATCCGGACCCGCCGCCATCGAATGAATATAAACACCACCCGATCCAGCGCATTCCAGCTCCTTCTTCGTCCATCAGTCTCTCCGACTTCTTCAGACGATCAGAAAATTGCCAACATGAGAGTTACCCCCATCTTGCTCGCCGCCTGGGTGACCCAGGTCCTTGCCCAGAAACACAACACTGTGGATAAGTGCCATGTGCGTCCAATTTGCCTTTGTCTCTTCCTTCGACGACTCTCTAACTAATATCTAGACTGCCTGCTTCCGAAACGTTATTGATAGCCCTCCATCTGATCTGGGGTGCGCTGCCGGTGACATGAAATGCTTTTGCAAGGAAGGCAGCAATTTCCAGAATGCCGTTCGTGATTGTGCTCAAGCAGCCTGTGCGGAGCAAGCCGCCGGTATTGTCATCAATACAGCTGGCAGAGTCTGTACAAACTGTCAGGTATATATACCTTAATGTGATTATTTTGTCAAGTCCGTAGCTAATGAACCAGGCCGTTTGTCTTGACAATATCATCAACAACCCTCCCCCTATTGGCTGCACCGGTGGCGATCAAGCGTGTCTCTGCAAGAATGCAAATTTCCTTCATGCTGTCCGGGATTGCGCCGCTGCTGCCTGCACTCATGAGGCGGTTCCCAAGATCGTCAAGAAAGCCGAAGACATGTGTGCAGCTCTAGGAACGGAGTCCAAGCAAGAACCGCAAGAGGACGAAGACGAAGAGTGTGAAGCTCCAGGTACGCAGTCCACGCCAGAATCCAAATTAACTTGGTTGTACTAACGCTATGCACAGAGCTATCAACAACTGCCGCCTCGACTCCCTCTGGTTCCTCGACTGCCTCGGGTTTCTCCAGGACCTTGACCCCTTCTATGACACAAAGTAAGCCGGTTGCCTCTACTCCCATAACCCTTTCAACTACGACGAAACCCCCAATTGCCAGTCACACAGTCGTCGCATCCTCTCGGCCTGTTACCGGTGGATCCACCAAACCCAGTCCCGCGCCCCTTGCTCAACCCTCTACTATCCGAGCTGTAGTGAATAGTGCAGGCTCCCTCTATAACGTGACCTCCGTGACCTCCAAGGTCACCCCATCGGGTGAGATGACTCCGGCGGGTCAGAAGGCTATTGAGGATGCCATGAAGACTATAAGTGAGACACAATCAGCAAATGAGGCCGTCATTGAGGGAATGACTGCCGCCGCCGAAGGCCAGACCGCTGCCAACCTGCCCAAGGAGGTCGTTGACCAGATTGTTATCTTTGTGCTCGCGCCCAACTGCCCCGTCAGCAACAAGGTGAAGATTGAAATAATCTACTGGCTGTGTTTCGGTGCGACTTCTGAGAAGCGGAGCAGGATTCTGGCCTCTGTTGATACTCACATTTTCACCGAGATCAATATCATTCTCCAACAGGGGTCCATGCTTCCTGTGACTCTTCGGACCGCTCTTCACGCATTTGTTTCGAAGAATGATCAAGCTATTCAGTCTCATACTGTTGCTGCTTCGTTGAGTGTGTTTGTCACCGAGGTTGCTCCCAAGCTTGTTAGTGAGCAGACTATTACTGCCATTGTTGGATGGCTCACTTGTGCCAATGCTAAGCCCGAAGAGATCCCTGGAAGCTTTGGAAGCCTTATTGGCTCTGGAATCCCTGGAAGCTCCGGACGTCCTGAAGGTTCCGGAAGTTCCACCTACCCCAGAGGCTCTACAAACTCTGAACATTCTCAAGGTTCTGAGGGCTCCGAAAGCTCCGGAAGCCAACAAGAGCCTCAGGGCTTCAATGGCAACGGCAACGTGGATGGATCGGCCACCCCCAGTGCGACTGCCACAGTTACAGTGATGGCCACAGTGACGGCCACTGAAACCGCATGCACTTCTACCTGTGTGTGTCCTCCCAACTAAGCACCTGCTGAGGAATCAGTCTAAAAGGAGGCCTGGGGTTGTCCATGCAGACCTTTTCTTTTTTTCTTTTCCCTTTTATTACATAGATTTGTATTTTACTCAGAAGCAACCTCTCCTCCTCGTTGAGGGTATGCCTTCTCTTTTCTTTTTCTTTTTCTTTTTTTTTGGGACTTTTTACTTCACATTCTTATAGTCTTGATCAGGCCCCTGAACCTTTTTGCCAGGGCTATCGAACAGTGGCTATTATTGGCATGTCTTCTAGAACAGTTTAATCCTTTCAAGAACTACATGAATTTATTTACCTCTGCCATAAATTTTAATTAAGCTGTCTGTATACCCAACTGCATGAGATTATGGTGTTTTGATGTGTATTTGTAGGGGCTGTCTGTGATCAATAATCTAGAGTATACTCTAAGCTGTCCAGCGTATGCAGAATAATAGAATCAAGCAGTCTTGTGGAATCTAGGTCAGGTTATGATATGCTTAAAGCACGCTGAATAAAGGATTAAACACATGTGGTTCTTCTATTTAATTAAACTACAATCTAAGAGCCGATACAGTGCCATGCTGGTTCATTCCATACTCCCAAGTCATATGATGCAGTTAATTATCAGAGACTCTGGTAGCAATTTTGATTATGGAAAGCCTGCCGGATTCTAAAATCGATATTTCAGCTTGGACGAAATATCACTGTTTCCACTCAGAAATACATGGCGAGTTAAGTATTACGGTTAGACCAGACTGGAAAGAGTCGACTAGTGATGATATACATTCTGTGATGCTGATAGATTATCAGAATAAATGTGTCTCATTGGAATACTGAGGATGGTAAGACTCCAAAAGACAGTGCATATCTTTTAATCAAGGTGGTGATTATACGAATTATAGAGCCTAACCGCTTTCAGTAATCCCTGTATTTTAGCTTTTTAAGTTTCTCACTATAATAGCAAATGGATGTACCTAATTCAAAGTTTCTCTGGTCATGGATGTTTTTATATATCATCTCAAAAAGCCTAGCCATCTGATACAGTTTAGAACAGAATTATTTCAATACAACGTAGGCATACATACACATTACTAGTGTCTTAAAAGCTTCCATAACTGGGTAATGTGGCGGTGCTTGTGTTTGTATAGCTTCGTATTAAGGTGTTCTCACCCTCACTGATACGGGTATTTCCAAGCCAGTAAAACAAAATTCAATGTCCTTCATTTGTTCAAGACTCTGCCATCGTGAGTTATTCCTGCAGACCGAGAGGAAGTCCTTACTAGATTATTTTTATTTGAAAGTTTAGTATTCTGCCATGGTGAATATTGCTAGAGGGGAAACTAGGATCTTTGTGTACATGATGATGATGATTTCTTTCCTTTTTTTTGCCCTCTCTTCTTTTTCCCTGCCTTTCCCATCTTTGGGTGGCTGGTGGTGCCGTTGCTATTGTTCTGAACCAAACAATTTATCATCTTAATATGTCATGCAAATAGCTACTGAAAGACGTAGAATCTAACGAGCAGATGTACATGGGTAAATCTCTATACTAGGACAAAACACCTTTATGCCTTTCTCCCATTTGTATAATGCGGGTATAATGTTTTGTCTATTGTAATACGTCTATTTTATGCTGGACAGAAATAAAACAACCAACAGGCCACATGCTGTACAAAAAGAGGATAAAATATTTTGCGGGAAAAAAGGAACCAGCCGAGTTAATACGTATTGACCCCCTAGTTAAGAAATGAAAAAACTGATAATCCACCAGATGGATCAAACGCCAACGAATCCTTGCACCCTAACCTGTGAGCCTAACAGTTCCCAGCCTCTTTTTCTGTATCGTAGATCTTAACTCCCCTCTTCCATACCTGGTCAACGACTAAAGTGGGCCCCGAGTAGGGATCCTCCACGTCACTGAGGACTACCAGGTCTGCATCCGCACCGCTATCCAGGGATCCTTTAACCCCTTCCAACCCCAGAAGGCGTGCCGGGGTAGCCGTCACCGAACTGAGAGCCTCTGCGGTCGATGCCCCCGACCATCGGCGGAAATTATTGACGCACTCGATGAGTGTAGCGGAGCTGCCTGCAATCTTGTCGGACCCTTCAAGAGTTAGACGGGCACCAGTCTTTACGATCCGCTCGCCATTGGTCCACTCGTAGACACCATCTGGAAGGCCGCATAGTTTCATAGCATCGGTTACGAGGATGAGTCCATCTGGGTGGGCGTTATATGCAATCCGGATGGAGGTAGGGTGGAGATGGATGCCGTCTGCAATCACGCCATAATAGGGTCGACGGCGCTCGCTTTGACCCAAAAGGCCAAAAACGCCCGGGTTCCGATGGTAGAAAGGTCGCATGGCATTGAAAAGGTGGGTGATCATAGTCGCACCTTGCCTAGTGGCCGTCAAGGCCTGCTCGTACGTGGCATCCGAATGACCGATGGAGTATATGATGCCCTTGGAGGTCAACGAGGAAATGTTGCCGACCATGTTGCCGACCTCAGGAGCGGCGGTGACCATCTTCACTGTTTGAGAGTCCCCGGTCAGGTTTTCCTTACCGTAACACTCCAGTAGGTCTTCGAAAGTCTTCGCGGCCCGTAGGACTTCGGTTTTATGGATTCCGTTCCGGCCTGGGCTAATAAATGGGCCTTCCACATGAGCACCTAGTGATTCTGCCCCATCCTCTCCACGATGCTCGCCTCCTGAGGGACCCAGTGAAGGGAGTACCTTTTAGAACTCGGTTAATTTCTTCAGGGTAGTGACCAGAACGGGCTGAAGAGAGGGCTCACCTTCCAGTACACCTCCGGGGTGGAGCTAACAACGGTCGGGAGATATGAGGTAACGCCTGTGCGGGCGAGGCCCTTGTTGACCATGCGCAACCCTTCATCGTATTCTTCCTTGGAAGATCGAGGAACGGAAAAATCGAAGCCTTGGGCGCCGTTTAGTTGCACATCGATCAGGCCAGGAGCAAGAATACGGCCGTTCAAATCGATGACCTCGTCGGGGGAGAGATGCAGTCCATAAAACGCCTCCTGTGCTCGAAGAATCTTGCCGGAAAGGGAATCGATCCAGACATCTTGCTCGATAAGATCATTGCCCTTGATGATTCGACAGTTAGTGAATTTTGTGATGCGCGGTGGCGACGCGGTCTTGCCCGGCATGGTGGCGGCTCAGGTGAAGATGGGGATGCCTGACAATCAAGCCGAGACAAGAAGAGGACTAGGATGGTCTCAGAAAAAGATAAACGGGGACGAAGACGGGGGAATATGAGTAGTAAAAGTTGATGACGATGATGAATGTGGGAATCTACTACTCGCAACCCCACCTGGGGAATCAAGGAAACCTTGAGGGAAGACGACTACATGGTGACATCGAAGATTGTAGTACCTACGGAGTACTATGTACCTAGTATTACATACCAGGTACTCCGTACGTAGACTTAAGGACAGGGACAAATCTCCCAGGCACGTTTCGATGGCCCTGGCACATACCAAGACTGGATCCACCTGGCCTCCATGTGACGTTGAACGGGGAAATGGAGATGGCACGTTGCTGACTCAGTGTTGTCGTGCTTTCTTTCAGACTCTTGTTGCCACTCGTATGAGTACTCCGTACATACCAATTTGTTACCTGTACTGTATATACCATACAGGATACGCTAACCTCTTAGGAATACCGAAGGTCTCTGGTAGGTCGGTACGAAACAGGAATTCTGGGGTGTGTATGCATGGACAGACCCTATGATAGGCATGTACATACTTTGACAACGGCAGTTGCAAGTATTAAACAGGATAAATGCATGGCTTTTCTTTCCTGTTTCTCCTGGGCGTCATCATGCTTTAGCATGATCCATCAATTCGGCACATACTAATAAGGCTAGCTCCGTCCCGACATATTAGTTCTCCATCTGACCGACTGATCCTCAAAGATAATAGACTATAGCACCTAGGTACCTACCTAGTAGTTACTCGGAGTAATTAGAGAAGCAATCCTTACAGTACCGTAGGTACCACAGTCACACCTCCCCGCATTCGGCCACCGTTGCAAGCAGCCGATGTTACCGTCCCTTCGGGCCATTCCCTGGATCGGGTTCTCGTTGCATTTGTTTTTTTTTTTTTTAATTTTATCTTTCTTTTTCTGACAGCCGACATTGGCATTGGTGATAATTGGTCCGTGATCTCATCGGGGAATCACGTCCGTTCCTATCATAGACGACTACGACTACTCCTTAGAGACCCCTGCCTAATCTCTACCTAAATACATATTTAGTACCTTGCACTATCTCACGGCCGGTGCTCGTCAGGATCAGATGAAGCCGATCGGCTTCGGAAAGGCTTCGGCATGGCTGCAAATCCCTGTCGTTCGCTTTGCTCATTTCGCCGATCCCCGCAGGATGGAGTCAATGGCGAGAAATGAGAAAAGGCAGATGATCGATTAATCATCCACATGTTTGCCACGATTCCCCGGGTTCCGCTCGCTTGCCATGGAGAGAGTGGAGTGACGAAAAAGCCCCAAAAGATCGCCCAGCACGATGTCGCCCTGGTTGAGATTTCTCGTCTTTTCCACTGCCACTCCACTCCGGGTTGTAGCGTGGTATCTATTATTTTGAGACTATCCACTCTTGTCTCTCGGCCTCACTGCCTCCAGACTGCGACGAAAGAGTCTCAGGCCATATCTGGGTGGCTCCATCAGCTAGCTCAGTAGTAACGACTACTCCGCACTAGCTGGATATAGGCGCTGCTAAAAAAAATTTAAAAAAAAATCTCCTTGGCATGGGGTAAGTAAATATGGGCAGATTCTGCAATGCACGCGACTATTTGTTTCCTGCCCTCCCCTCGTTCTCTACCCCGGATTCATCGCGGACACAACATTCCTGGCTGTTTGTTTGTTGTTCCCCCTCCATTCTCTGTCGATTATTTTCTTCTTTTGCTCCCTCCGCGTACCCCCTTCTCCTTCCATTCCTTTCACCCCCTTCTTCGTGGATGTCACTCTTATGCTTGGAATATTTACTTACCTCTTGAAGGCCGATTTCTTGAGTTGTAGAGTGACAAACGTCTACCTGCCTCTAGCACACCCAATTTTCACTGGCGGAGCGACGGCTTAAGCTGACTTTACGTGCGAACTAGCCGCAGCATTTAACGAGCTATCCGCCATTCAGTTGCTCTAAACTTCCCAATCCCTGTCTCCTCCTATCTTCGGTGCCCAAAATGGCGGCATCGACCTCAGGCGAAGAGCACCAACCCGAGAAGGAGGTCCCCACAAGCACCTCAGATGCTGAGGCCGGTATCTCCGTCGCTGGGAAGCCGTGGATGTATAGACCATGGAAAGTCGGACCATGGACACTGCCTTGGTTTGCTTCCCCGGAGGCCCAGCTGATATTGGTCTCCTTTGTTTGCTTCCTCTGTCCCGGCATGTTCAATGCCGTCAGTGGTCTCGGAGGTGGTGGTCAGGTCAATAAGACTGATGTCAGCAATGCAAACACCGCTTTGTACAGCACTTTTGCCGTAGTCGGTTTCTTCGCCGGCTCCATTACCAACCGTGTTGGCCTCCGCCTAACTCTCTCCGTTGGTGGCTTTGGCTACTTCCTCTATGTAGCATCCCTCCTTTCCTACAATCATAACCAGAATGCCGGCTTCCTCATCTTTGCGGGTGCCCTCTTGGGTGTTTGCGGTGGCCTACTGTGGTGCGCCCAAGGAGCTGTCATGATGAGCTATCCGCAGGAGAAAGAAAAGGGAAAATTTATCTCCATCTTCTGGGTCATTTTCAACTTCGGTGGCGTTATCGGCAGTTTGGTGAGTCTGAAGTGCCCCCACTCGTTTTGCTGATGCTCCCTGGGAAGCAGAAGAGAACCCGACAAGTCGAAAGGAAAAGATAGCTGACTTCGTATGCACACAGATTCCCCTTGGACAGAACATGCACTCAGATGCGGGTCGAGTCAATGATGGTACATACATCGCCTTCATGGTGCTCATGGCGGTTGGTTTTGCCCTCGCCTGGTGTCTATGCGATTCCAAGTGCGTCCAGCGCAAGGATGGTTCGCATGTTATTGTGATGAAAAACCCAACGTGGAAATCTGAATTCATCGGTCTCTACGAAACACTACGCAGCGACTATTACATTGTACTGTTCTTTCCACTGTTTTTGGCAAGCAACTGGTTCTATGGCTATCACTTCAACAGCGTCAATGGCTCATACTTCAATGTGCGCACCCGATCGCTGAACAGTCTTCTCTACTGGCTCATGCAAATGGTTGGCGCCTTGGTTTTTGGTTACACTCTCGATATGAAATATTATTCCCGTCCCATGCGGGCCAGAATCAACCTGTTCCTCCTTTTTTCTATCACTATGGGCATCTGGGGTGGTGGATATGCTTTCCAGAAGCAGTATACCCGCGAAACCGTCTTAGAACCCAAAGACTTCACCAGCAGCGGCTATGTTGGACCCATGTTCCTATACATGTTCTACGGTTTCTACGACGCCGCTTTCCAAACTTGTGCTTATTGGTCAGTGGCCTACCCCCCGGGCTCTCTTTTTTCAACGCTGAATGCCGACTGACACGCATCTATATTCAGGTTCATGGGGTCCCTCACAAACAATGGCCGTAAATTAGCCAACTTTGCAGGTTTCTACAAGGGGATCCAATCTGCTGGTGCGGCGGGAATGTGGCGGTAAGTTCTATCGTGATGCTCTGTCCTTCGAGACAAATTTTCCTTACAAAGGGAAGCCCATGCTAATATAGTTGATCTTCTCAGAATGGAGGGAGTGGAAACACCTTTCATGACCGAATTTGCCTCCTGTTGGGGCTTACTTCTTGGCAGTCTCCTGATTGCCTCCCCTGTGATTCTATTCAAGATCAAGGAGCACTCAGACGTGGATGACGACCTTAGGTTCTCCGATGAGACGGCACAAGATGTGATGGGCATTCCCATGGAAGATCAACCGACTGAGAAGAGGGACGAGAAGCATGTGCCCATTGCATGATTATGATTTGGCTATAGTTGTATTTTTACCTCACCAATTGCGGTATATTTCATGCAACGACTACGGCACGATTAACTGGTTGTTTTCGTGCCCAGTTCATTGCTTCTGTGTTCCAAGTTTATTTTTTGTTTAGATTTTTTTCCGGGCACGTATTGGTGGATATTTTACAGCCTGTGCATCGAAATGTTTTCAATCTTTGTATTTATACTAACGATTGTGGATAATGAACTGGATTTTTTTTCTTTTTTCTTTGCTTTTTTTTTTTCTCTCCCTCGCTTCCTCGGCTATGAGGATCCACCCTGTATTACGACCAGTTCTGATGTACATGACCAGCACCTATATTGTATCGACCATGTTGTGATTCCTGCAGCATGCCGTCCATGACATGGACATTGATGTAAGAACAATGTCTCTCTAAATCTTACATTTTACCTTGTCGCCAGCAGAATTATCCCTGTAATTACATCACAATTTATTAGAATTGATCCCCCACGCTATGTACAACGTGCTCACAAGAAAGACAGTGTGCCCTAGTGCTTGGTTGGGGTCGCAGAAGGCAGCGCTACAGATGACTCCGTATGTGTCGCCTTCGCGGTTCCATTGGTGGTATACCCAGGCCAGATTTTTCTCGTTCCCTTCGCAATATCCCATCCGAATAGGGTGCGGTTAAACAGCTGGAGCGCGGCGATGGGTTGATAATACGGGACCTCATGGCCAGCTTCGTACACACGAGTGAACGAGAAATTACCGTACTCGCGAGTCTCTCCATACTCAACTCCATCGACAGTCAGTGGGGTGTACCCCGCAGCCCTGAATTTGTCTGCGTGCGTATAGTTTAGTGCGAGGGAGACAGCCTCGCCGCCGAACCAGTTGCAGATATAGTCGGCGTCCCCATAGATGAGGGATACCCGCACAGGGAGCTTGAGGATCTCCTCCAGGTCTTCGATGAAATTAGGCCAGACGAAGTCACCCGTCTGCTGGAAGGCATAGTAGACGTCGTTGTTGGATTGGGTGTAATTAATATTGACTCCGATAGCATTCATAACCGAATCCTTTTCGAGGTATTTGTTGTAGTAGGGGGGAGGTGTAGGATCCTGTGAATTATTCACTTCAGGTTAGCAATAATTACACATTAATAGGGTGTATGCTTCCCTTACGTCGTACGGATGTCGGATATCATATACACCGCGGCCTCCAAACTGGTAGTATGGCCCTTCTGTTGAATAATTTAGCTACTATTTTTCCCCAATAGGTTTGGTCAGTTTGTCAAACATACCAACATTGTCTCTGCACATATTGGTTGCTTCAGTGCAGAGAGAGTAATCAGCCAGTGACGTCCTGTTGGTCTTCTTACACAGAGCGACCTGGTCCTGGCATCCGTTTGGCATATTGTTTGCAAATTTCATGTAGTTATAAACAGTCTCGTTTATCTGTCCACAAATGGTCAGTAATTCCTAGCCACTCCAATAGCCACATTAATGGATGACCCACAGCCTTGATCCCATAGGTATTATTCACTGCAAACTCTGCGAAATAATTTGCCTGTGAGTCGTTGTTAGCCACTAGTAGTATGAAGGCCTTAATCAAGTGAGCGCATCTTCCTCATACCTGGATGGCCTCATCAATGATCCCGTTGATTATTCCTAAAGAATTGAAATTCAGACGGATACCATCGGTCTCGCCGTTGGCAATCTTTTCGTTTTGCTCATGAAAATAGTTGAAAAACTACACCCGTGAGTCTCTGTTACAAGAACATGTTGCAGCAAAATACTTACGGCTGGTCCATAGTGCCTGGGGCATGGTTAGCATATCCCAAAACCAGAAAATATGCTGAGACACTCACCCTCCATAGCTTTCTGTCCACAGACTGAAATCCTTAGACTTGATCTTTGAGTCCAGCTGTGGTAAAATACCAAGGAAACCTTGAAGTACTTCCCAAGCAGCTTCTGCAGCAAGCTCCGTAGTATCTGGAATCCTCGGGATCAGAAGAGTCGGGCATTCGAGCCGCTTGGGTAGGGATTACCTGTGATAGTGGCATCAATCTTGGGGTAGCGGCCCTTGACCCCATCGTAGGTGCTATTTTCGACCACTTCCGTAACGGGGTTTATTGAGCCCTCCTCCGTCTCACTGTAAGAGAACCCTGCAAAGAACAATGTGAGCTACAAAAGAAGGAGCATATGTAAGGCACAGGACGGGACTTACCAACCCCCAATGGCTGGGAGAGGAAAAGAACATTGGAGACCTCATTCCACGAGTGAGGATTGAGGTAAGATTCAATGTTGGAGTTGACCTGGCAAGGTCCCAGCTCTGATTTTGAATATATAAGCATTGTTGCCCTTGAGAGCCGGAGAGGTAGTTCTCACCTTCAAAGAGGCCAATTAAGGAATCGCTTCCAGGGCCACCGTTTAGCCAGAGGGTGATTGGGGCATTCTCTGGATCGTGCCGAGCCTCGAAAAACCAAAAGAAGGTATGCGAGGCGGGGGAAAGATCAACGTATCCTGAATACGAATTGACGCCCGGTGTCGTCTCACAGACACCCTCTTTCCCAGGCTCCTTATACCGGATGGTGACGTTGTTAGGGGTAGTGATAGTCTTGACACCAGTAGGGTCCTTGGGCAACTGTCGTCTTGTGATGACAGGAGCTGGTCTACTAAGAGAGCGAGCCCAACCGGCCACGGCCAGTGACAGCAGCACACCGGACGTACGCATTGTCCCAGGGGTGGACAGTGATGTAGGGCAAGATTGGCCTGGTGAGGATGTGCGTACTGGTGTTAGGCACCGACAACGGTACAAAGAAAAGGAAGACCGAGGAGATAGACCAGCAACCGCACTGAACTTAAATCGATTCCAGCTCAATCAGGGGCCGCATCCGTGGGCTTTATACAATAGAGAAGTGCCGGGTTTTCAGATCGATCTGCGGCCCACATGGCGAGAGGGGAAAAGTGAGTTGAAATCTATATCTCGGCTAGTTATGGAAGTGACCAGCAAGATAACAGGGTAGCATGCGGAACCCCATAAATGAGCGCCCGACCAGACCGACTGATAGGAATAGCCAGCACTAGAGCCAGGCGACAGTATGATGGCGCAAGGCCAACCCTGCGGATTGCGCCATTATTGGGCATCTCCACCGCTCAGGTTCCAGTATCCTTGATCCCTTGAGCGGAGAACCCATTTATTGCACGCAGTCAGACAGGCAAACACACTCAGTCCGTCCGAACAGGGGATCCAGATTAGGCTTATGCGTGCGGGGAGAATGAAGCGGCCACGAAAGGGTAAGATCGGCAGGCTCACCGCGTGGTCCTCTAGGTCCCTTGGAGATCTCGTAGGAAAGCGAACGAATGCATGCATCGCGGTAGCAATGGTCATACAAAAGAGATGAGGGGTCAGTCAAGGTGGACGCCATTGAAAAGGAAGGACAATGGTTGGGTTGGGTTTGAATGAGGGGGAAGGGATTAGAGAGAAAGAGAAAGAGAAACAATCGAGAGACGGCACGGGATCACGAGAATAAACACCTGCCAAAAAGGGGCAAGGACAAATATTGGGCGGACTAAGGCAACAAGCAATACAAGGTATCAAGCAATACGGAGTAATAGTTAAGAGTAATAGTTAAGAGTAATAAGAGTAAGTAATAATTCATTTCTCATCTCGGGCTTTTCAGCCGCTATAAACTTAAAACACACGCCCTTCTGGGGTCACTATACATATCTAATCAAAAGATAGTGACCCCCCCAAAAAAAGAATGCATCCAGATCATGCGCCTTTTGGTTTGTAAGCACCTATGGAAAGGATTAATGCCAAGACGCGCCAACAACCACACAAAAGAAATCAATATATATACACTTGAAAATTCGGCCAAAATATCATGAAGATATCAATCACCCTTCCTGGTTCAGATATTAAGCCCCAGTTCGGCATCAAGATCGGTGTTGATGCAGTGAGCTTCGGACCGTGGCGGGTCTGTAACGGTGACGGTGGCGGTTGCATGGTTGCAGAAGTTCATCAAATCAACCCCTTTATTCCCGGGATCGAATCCCATCACATCCGGTATCCCGTTCATGGAACCCAAGCCAAAACCATAACTCTTCCCACCAGGGTTATTACCGCTGGGGTTAAGGCTATTGTCCGCCGGAAAGAGTTCTGCACCAGCATCGTCGAAGTTGATCAAAGCATCAAAGTCGTTCTGTGTCACCTCCGCATCGTTTGCCAGGTCCATCAGTTCGCTGAGACTTAGCTCGGGATCCATGTTGGGGATACTGAACGAGTCCCGGGGGTAGCGCGGGTTGATATTATTAGTGCTGCCGTTCTCGCTGCCGTCGGACGGTGGAGGAGTCGAGGCAAATATCGCCTCTTGCTCCTTCACTTGCGTGGCCATTCCGGTGCCATCGGACTTGGGATACGTCAAATCAGGGATCTTCTGCGCAAGAGAGTCTGGAGGTGGAGTCAGGGTGCTGACGCGCGCAGCCACCCCGAGCTTGTTTCCAGATCCACTCTGTACGTCCTGCGGCGAGACAGTAAGCTGAATGCCAGCCTTGCGAATGGCCGCCTCCAGGAACGACGTCGCGAAGTCGGCCGAGGCGTAGATCTCTCGCAAACGCTGCAGGATGCGCATGCACTGGTAGAAACGCTGCAGACTAGTCATGCGGATATTTGGATCGCTAGACTTAATATCGAGAAGATGGATGATCACTGCCGGCAGGAGCACCGTAACTCCAGTGGTGGGGAAATATCGAGTGAGGTCCAGGCTGTGCAAATCCTGGGCAATATTGGTGATCTCTACCGCGGCGAATCGAACCTTGTTCCGCGAGATCTCCTGTAGCTCGGCGTCCGTTGACGGGAATGGGATGGCAGGAAGAACCTGGGGGCGGTGGAGCGCGCTGGAGGTTGTAAGGTAGACCATCTTGAGCAAAGCACGGTGAGAATGGAGGACTTCTTGCACCTCCGTTAGATTCGAAGGTGCAGCGGGGGAATATTTAATCTCCACAGGAAGATGGGCCAGCCAGTCTTCCAACTCCTGGTCGCAACGTCGAACCTCAAAGGTCTCTGCGGACGACTTCTTCGGGACTAACATCATAGTCGTCTCCATCGTTCCCCCGAATTTATGGCTCAAAACCGAGTACTGAGCTGAAAGGACGTGACTAACACAGAGACAGAGTTTTGCCTTCTCGATAAACATCAGAGCTAGCTGCTTCTGATGACTGACACTTTGCAGGATCTCGGAGTTGCCAACCATGCTGACAATTTCGGGGGAGAACGGGTAGAATTCGAAGTCGTCCAGGGTCAACATGGGCACATCGCAGTCGTCGTCCTTGACACGCATGGGGCGTCTCATTCCCAAAGCAATCAGGCGGTCGCGGGTATACGTGCTCCACCAGATGCGCTTCCACATCCGCTGGCGCCGGAGGCTCATGCGAGAGTTCCCAGGGTCGCGATGCAGCCCGATGGTGTGGGCGAGAGACAGGCTGACACCCATCCAGTGCCAAGTATCCTTTTGGTCATCAGGGGTTTCGTACCAGTAAGTCATCAAAAGCAAGGACTGAACAAGCGAGATCCGGTCGACCTCGTAATCGAAGTCGTACAGTAGTCTGGCTCGTTGAAAAAATGCTTTGCGTGCCGCTTTTCGGGACGGGTAGCCGGCTGCCTGGAGATGCTTGAGATCTACAAACGCCGTCCCCGCAAACATCACCGCTTGGAAGAGCAATAGACTCATCCGTCGAATGCCATCGTTCTGCACGATCGTCTGCAGAAACTCCTCCAGATCTAAGAGGGGCATATACGTGTGCACGTAGTGTATGTATGCTTTAAGCAACTCGTTCCGCAGTGCCACATCCGGGACAGTCAAAGCTCCCTTCATTGCTAAATAGTCAATATCCTCTTTCTGTAGTCGAGGAGGCAACCCTCGAATGTAATCTGGCAGAACAATCCCACTGGACCGATCATTGTTGAAGGAGGGATCCAGCAGCTGCTGAATCTGCGAAGTAAAATGATGTAGAGGCATGGAGGCAGGCACAGCCGGGTTGGGGGCCATCCTTCTTTGATATCGCTCAGCGGTACCAATTCTGTTGGCCTGGCTTTGATCTACAAACCACTCAATATTAACAAATGTGAGAGGGCGCGACCACGCATTGAAGGGAATACGAACATAACAGGTGTGGCATGTGCTGCCCTTGATCCAAATCTACAGAGCGTTGTGACGGAGATGCGAGTGCAACATCAGGGAGCCCGTGGCATTCGCTGAGTCTCCTGATGAAACTCTCACCATCATCAGAAACCTCAGGCGGCGACTGACCGAGCTGATGGTTGGCATTGTCAATCTCAACACGCGATTTCCTGGACATAGAGGCAAAGATGAGCACTTGAGGTTAGCTGGCACTCTTGGGGCTGGTGAAGTAAACAGAAGAGGCTATCGACATGGACGAACTTTCTCCTTTTGCTCTCGGTGACGACGCATTCTACCTGGTCCAAGCGGCAATTCGTACAGGGCGAGCCATTCTCCACCACATCACACCGAACTTTGCGAGCCCGGCAGCAACAGCAGGCCTTCGACGCCCGCCTTTTTACTGGACGGGAATTAGCGGCAAGACCGGCGTTAGAAGCCTTTCGCTTCCCTTTCGACTCCAACTCGACGGCATTGTTTGTCGTTGATGTTGAAGTGGATGACGTAGTGAGGTCAGTCATTGGGGGCGAGTGTTCGTCAATTAATTTGGTACATTAGTTGGCCAAGAGGCTTCGTAAAAACGATGGTGGGGGGGTTTGGGGTTTGTATAGGACACTCTGTATAGAGGCACTGAAAAATGTCCGAGGAGTGCCAAAGACGTAGGAGGGGGAGGGGGAGAAGTAAGCAAGAGTGGAGAGCTTTCTTTCTCTTTTTTGTTAAAAAAAAAAAGCCTCTCTAAAATCTCTCTAGGAGAAACAAAAAAAAAAAAAAAAAAGGATACTAGAGGTGAATGAATAATGATATTAGACCAAAAGGCCAAACTATAGAACGAAAAAGGGAAAGAGGGAATATAAGTTTTTTATATTGTTTTCAAAATCTCGCCCAATCCCATGATTTTCGTCCAAGAGGGTCGAAATCAAGGCGAGACCTGGGGCCGGGGAGAAGCAATGCTTAAATATGAACCCCGTGAATTCTCAGGTCAGGAATCAGGAGGCAAGTTGGGGATGACGATGAGCCCCAGATCCACTCGTCAAGGTTGCCTCCCCCCGACCAGAGCTGAGCCACAGGAAGGAATCCGTCCATCCACTATCCAGAAATCCAGAGAATGAATGGGAATCTTCCCAATGTTCAGAAATAATAGCACTAAGAGTGGAAGAGGGGCCCCAGTTTGTGGGCAAATATTTGCCGCAGCACAGTCTGGGAGCGGGCCAAGTTCGGCGGGGAGATTCGTACAGCAAATTCAATTCTTGAGGAACGGCTTTTCGGCCTGTCTTGACTTTCTAAGAGGCCCACTGTATCGTCCCCACTGGTAAGGTACAGACCGGTTCCACCGTTTCACCCAAGGATCGGGGAATAATAACAGCCAAAAAAAAAAATTAATAATACTCCATATTTCCCTCAATATTCTTCAACCATTCAACCATGACAGAAAGGTTCTTAAGACGGGGGACTCAGGATTTAGAACTCCCTAGGTACAGACAAGTCAGAAGCACTACGCCTGTTCTAACCGGACTGGGGTCAACCGACTGACTGAGACCTACTGTGGCCAATAATTCCCCACCCCAGACCACTGACCCCCCAAACTCCGTCGGCGCCATTGGTTTTTTTCGGCCCGGTCACCACCACCGGAGGGACCGGGAGCCAATCAACTGTCGAGCCATTTGTCAGTGAGGGACCGATTTTAAGTAATTGAATGTTTAATACCGACGGACGGAGAAGCCCTTGACTCCTCTAGTAACGAAGATATTCGAAGTACGAAATTACGGAGTCCTTACCAAGATATTACTTATTATGGACTCAACAGGCCACGTCCCATCCATGCCCATGGATAAAGAAACTTTTTCAAACTTGAATGCAGGTGCGTCATTAGAATTGTGCTGGTTGGACAAGATTCTGTTGCAGCCGGAGTTTTTGCCAAAATTAAAATAAAATAGAATAAATAAGATTGTCCAGTCTACCTTGAGGCTTGGGCAAGCTCAGTACATGGCTAATCTAAACAAAATCTCCTCAAGTATACACCCTATATCTTGTAGAGCCCCCGATCTACAATCAGAACTTGTCATTCTATGGCTTGGACATTCTTGGGTTAAATTTGGAGCATACGAGGACAAAGGCATGAACCTCGGCTCGCACCGATTACTCTATTAAGTAATGTACCGAGTCCAGGGTTAAAATCGTTCTATACTGGATAATCAATATAGAGTAGGATGATCCAATTTTGCCAGGGAGGATGTATGGATTTGCATAATGCGCCATTATACCTGGTAGGAAGATGCATAACCCTTCACATGATAGCTTCATAATTGAGATTGAGATAACCAAGCTCAAGGGGGATGGAACAAGTGATCGCCCAAGATACATATAAAAACCGGACGTCTATCCTAATCTGGCCCTTGCGACTATGAAAGTGGACCAGGGCACAACACATATTATAGAATAATGATCATGATGATTAATACTAGTAATAGCATTCATTAATGGTGCATTGAAGATCATGCATTAGTTAGATGTACCTTTTTTTTTTTTTTCCAACCACTGAATCACATACTCCGTACATCTGAAACAGTGTCCCTGATCTATCCACTGGAAGCTCCGCTCGACAGTACGTAGCCTACTGTCACCCATGGGCAGGAGGCCGTTCCCGCCAGCAGCATAACAAAGGATCGCGATGTTGGATGAAGATGCGCAGGGCGTTGAAGGCCTCACAATATGCCTCGTACTTTGTAGTGAAGTGTCTTTATTTTTTATATTTTTTATATATTTTTTTTTACCTAAAAAAGAAAAAAGTAGAGAGAAGTTATTCTTCTCTCTTTCTCCTTGGCAGGATACATAATTGCCAACACTAACAATAATATTATAATAAAAAAGACCAGGTAGAGAGTACTATCCCCTGTGGGGGAAAGCGAGGCCCCACGGCTGACTGGAGAAGTGCCGCTAAAAAGGGCTGCAGTATGGAGTATTATTGTGACTTGTGAATGATGACAGGAAACCAGAAAAAGTAAAATAAAAATGAAAAAAATTAAAAGCTGGTGGACCCATTAGAGCTCAGTGTGATTTTTCCAGCCAGGATATAGCGTGTCCTATCAGAGTTCAGGCAATAAATCCATATATTGAATACTGCAGGATGCCCACGCGATTCATCTCCGTTTCAGTAGAAGAAAGTTCCGACAAACGGATATAGACAGCGGGCTGCACTGCGGTCCATCTTAAGCTGCCACGATTTGAGTATCGAGTACCCAATCACGGACCCCAAGCCAAGGGACCAGCTGGCCCAAAATGATGAATCTGTACAGCTGACATGGCTGATCTGCTGTGAGTGGGCCGTTACTAAAGGACTTGCTAGCTTGATGGATTGTGGTTCCGGAAAACTAGGTCAGTTTCCTTGAAAGAGGGTTTAGTATTCTAGCGAAAATCGGAGGAATCGAGGATTCTGGAGATGGTCTGGAACGAGTAGTTAAGGAGACATGAGAGGTGTCGTCATCTACGACTCCAAACTCCTGTCATAATCGGAATAAGTTAGCCCTTTAGCATTTTGTGACCAGGCCTAGAGATATATCCATCCACAATGTCTGGAAATTTCCCGAGCCCCAGTCGGTTGGTTTCTGTGTAGCTATATCTGCGAGTCATACGGAGTAGACCACTCTCATCAATTTGGATATATTTATCGGGCTACAACAGAAGAGGAAAGAAAAGGCACCCTCCAAAAAAAATAACCAGGTCACGAGGCAAACAACAGGAGGAAACGAAGACAATCTTTTTATTGGTTCCGACGAGTCCCACGAGGGAATTTCTTGCTGTGGCCAATCATGGACAACTAAGGTCCTCTTTCACCCTCAGACAGCAAGCCATCCATTGGGAATAGTGTCCCAAACTGAGTAGCTTCGGACCTGCCTCAACCTGGTAGCAGTTGGACAGAAAAAGGAATTTCCCTTACGAGTAACCGACGGTGTTCATCGTTAATGCCAATAATAATAAATATTCGTAATTCTAAGAACCAATCATTATGGTTTCACCTACCCAAAGGTTCTGGAATTGGCATTGGTTTCTAGTCCTACAGATCCCAATCGGTTTTATTAATACCCCGAGAAATAGAATGGAATAGTTATGGATAACTCTGCCCCAAGTGCCGAAAATCGCTACCTTTCCGCTAGTTGTGGCCACCAATTTTCTTCCAAATACCCGCTCTCTCCCACTCCCAACCAGTTTTTTTATTTTAAAAAAAAAATATATTATTAATTAATTAATAATTACCAAAAAAAAAAAAAAAAAAAAAAAAAAAAAAAAAAAAAAAAAAAAAAAAAAGAGTAATCCAATCGAATAGTTCGCTTGACAGCCGCCAAGATGGATGGATGGAACCTGGGGTATGGGGATCAGTAGGCATGAAGTATGGGTAATACTAACTACTGTAATAAGTAACGATCGGGAAGGAGCTGAAGCTGATATCTGGGTTTTCATACTGTTCATGGACTCCATATCCATATCCATATATAGGAAGTATATTCGCGCTGTATTAAGTATCATTGCAACCATTATACTCGGTTCATCCCTTCCTGGTGATCGTCGTAGAAACTCAAGCACAGTTCGGGGGCTTGTGGCAGACCGGAAATCGGGCATTGATTTCCACCCCACCTCCACGTTCCAATCGTCCGCGGGAACCCGACTAATCATCGAAATTCGCGAGGTGGGCATGAATCATATCCCGCAGGTATGTAACCCCAGACAATAATACAGCAACGAAATTTCTCGATCAGGTATGCGAAAGAGGCCTGTGCGTGTCCCGCCAGTACAAAATTCGATTGTGGAGGATAGCGCGGACCCTGTCTTTTTGCTGGCTTCTGATTTCCGAGGAAGAGTCCGAAGGGACTTACTAGTCATTGGGAGACTGCGAGGAAGGAATTACGGGGGGTGAAAGGGGTGTAGGGTCGTACTGCCCGATTTCCACCTCGCTCGAGCCGCGTTGATAGTTCGACTTTACGAAAAATGTATGTTTCCGACTCCATGTCATTGCTATCTACCACGTGACACTGTTTATCTACCAGAGTCCAGAACGAATACTCTCGTGTACCGCAAACGCCTCCATTGGGATATCAAAATAAATTATACATTGACATTGAGCAGCACTCGCTTTGGAAGAAGAAAGCGCAATGCCCCTGTTAAAATCAAGTAGAGAAATCAAGCTTCAGATACCACCGCGACCCATCCGTTCGATCGAACCCATTATGCCGCTGCGGCCTGGGGTAAAGACCGCAATTCCGGACTTCCCTCCACTGTTGCCTCGAACATGCCGGTTTCCCGGTGCCCCGATTTTTGGGATCTTCTTTTCGCCATTGCCAGACCCTGTACTGGGAGGCCGGATGCCACTCGAGGATCCGCGACCAATGCTTCGTCCAAGGTTTTCCGATACCGGTTCTGACTGCTCATCGCCTTGCAGCTTGGGGGACTGAGATGGTGGCTGATTCGACTGGATCGTCAGCCATTCATCCACGGCGGCGACGAGCTCGCCCTTTTCTGTCCGTTCCATTCTCAATTCCTTACGCAGCCGTTCGCTGTCATCCCTGAGAGCCGCCATCTCTTGCTGCAAACCCTTGACCTGTGCCTCCAGAACGCGTTTCTCCGCTTCATGTTTGTCGCTCTCGTTAACAATAATGCTGGAATCAGGGCGTGGAGCAGCCGATAGAGCTGTATCTCGCTCGGTCCTCAGGAGCCCGTTCTCTTCATTGACAGCTTTCAATTTATCCTCGGCCTCGCGTACTCGTTTCTCCCAGCGCGCCTCGTAACTCTTCTTCAAAGCCGCAACTTTGATCTCATGTTTGCTTTTGTACAGCGTGTGGAGTTCTCGGGCCACCTTCTCGACCGCATCTTGAACTTCATTTGCTGTCTCCTCCGCCGTCTTCATGTGAGGACACCCTTCGGGAGCTCGGTTTTCACCGGAGGCGGAATTGCGGGCTGCACTCAGCTGTGTCTCGAGTTCGACTAGGCGACCTTCCAGCTGTTCTTTGTGCTTCTCTGTCTCTTCCACTCTTTTCGTTAGCTGGTCCCTTTCCCGTTCGCCTTCCCCAATTTGAGCCTTCACAGATCGCAATATATTATTCATCTCCTCACCCCTTCGCTGCCATTCGATCTGTTCAACTTCTAGTGCTTCCTTGCGAGCAGCCTCGTTGCGGACTTCTTCCAACGCCTCCCCAACACGTCGCTCCGCGTCGGCAACAGCTTGCTTAAGGCTGGAGACCTCTGCATCCTTCCCGCTCAGTGTGGCTTTGAGGGAAGAGATCTCTGAGAGGAAGCCGGACTTCAAGGACTCTAGTTCTCGAGGAGTGACGGTTGGAATGGACCGAGGGGTCGGAGCGGCTGGGATATCGAAGTCTAGAAGCGACACCTTTTGGGGTGATCTGATTGACTCCCGAACGGCCCGCAAAGGTGATCGCCGCGACGGCGAGTAACGCTCATTTTGTATGTTGTAACGTTTACGTGGGAAGGTGGGTTGATCGGTCAAATCAAGTAGGTTAGGGGTTTCAGCAAAGTTGTCATCCTCCCTTAGGTCTCTGCGTTTTGGAGTCGGCGAGCAAACTGGGGATCTCGCTGCGGTGAGAGCACTTCTTTTAGGGGATACCCTAGCGGTGATAGGGGTGCTTGGATCAAATCTCTGATTCTCAGCGTCGTCGACCTGGCTCGGGGTATCGGGAAGAGGCCGTGCGACTTTCCAAGGAGAATCTCCCCGTAACTTTGCGAACGAAGTCATGTCTACATTCGGCACTGCAGAAAAGGTGCTGAGACAGGTATCATCCATAAGATCATGAGAATCGTCAACTATCGAGTTGTCTGCGTTTTGTAAACGTTCGTTTTCTTTTTCAGTGGAAATAATGTCGTCATCGTTCCTATGGAGAACATTACTCATTCCCTCATTGTGTGTCTCCTCCATTATGCTATTAGCAATTCGTTGCTCGGCACCTTCAGAAGTCGTCCGCTCGGTGTTAGAGCCGGCGCCCTCGTCAGTGTAGACGTCGATGTCGGGCACATCCATCCGATTTACTCCTTTTCTATATCTCTCATGTAAATCTTCGCCTATGTCCTGGTCTTCCGGTCCGTCTCCAAAGGAACGCTTTCTAGGAGTACTAGAGCGCTCGCTTACGCCGGGGGAGGGCTGCCGCTTGCGAAACATTTGAAAGTCCACTGTACAATCCCGGCCATCCTCCTGGAATGGCGAGCTAGTCGCTTGTTGTAGGGGCTCATATTCTTCATCGTCCAGGTTCTGCGATTCATGTGAAGCGGCGTAACTTAGGTCGTTCTGATTGCCAGCACTTGTGTCATCATCACCACCTAACTTCTTGGGGGTTGAAGGCACATTCTTTAGGTCATCCATTGCCATCAGATGCTTGCCAATTCCGCCTTTCCCTGCAGTAAATCTACCAGGGCTTGGTGAAAACGAGCGCGAATTTTGGTACGACAACGTTAAGGGCGAGAGAGGTGGGGGCATGGTACAAATCAAAGTCCAGCGAGAATGGGGAAATTAAATGGGTTATTATGGTACAGAAGCTCTTCAATCAGTCCTCCTCAAGGTATGTGCAGAAGAATATGGAATAGCCTGGGTATGTTTAGTGGTTGTTCTGAAGTCCATTCAAATGTACTCGGTCCGACGCTGTGAGTGTTATTTTCGCCCGTTGCCAGGATGCAGTAAACAAAGCTAAACCAATCCCGGACTAGTGCTGATCCAATATCAGGCGGTGGGAGTTGGCAGAAACCATATCCTGTCACCGACACTCCTGGCCAACAACACTATTAGTAGGTAGTTAGGTTAGTACTACTTAGTAAATACCTGGATTCCAAATATCATAGTCAAAAACAATCAATATATTCAGCTGCCAGTATGTACCTATAGACATAGAAAATATCTAGTGCATGCATGTACATACATGCATAAATGCAACAAGTATTTACAAACTCCCAAACGCCATACAAAATTGCTCATGCGCTGTCAAACTCCCAGTGGTTTGGAAAAAGCATTATCATTTGTCATTGCAGTATCATTCTTTCATCATCAGTTATCAACTTGCTGTGTGATCAAATGATCCGTCACAGAGTGCCAAGATTGTACCCCAATGTTCAAGTGTCCCCGCCAGACTGGAGGCCTGGGAAAATAGGGACGACGAATTTTTGGTATTCCTCCCTTCAGGTGTCACAGGTGGTGGGACCAGCCTCAGTCACGATAATATGGATGGTTTCTTTCTGTGGCTCGGACCCTTCAGGGATGTAGTGACAACGTCCCACCGGCCGAACTGTCACCGAGGCATGTTTCTTTTGTTGGATAAACCACAACTGTATGGCACCAATGATCGCGACCAACGTGCTTCCCCACCAAGCCAGTGCAGTACAGCCAATTTCGGAACCAGTGCTGTATAAAAATCCGGCAATGGGAGGAGCAATGGTGCGGGAAGCAGCACCAGCGGATGCAGAAAGGCCGTTGATTTTCCCCAAAACGGAATCCGAAGGGCTAGCTTGCTTAATTAGGATGAGCAAGACCGGGTAAGCAATGATCGAGAGGATATTCCGAAGGATTAAGCAGGTATAGATTCCGAAGAACAGAAGCGTTTGGGGAAGGAAAATAAGGAAGGGTATTAAAAAGTATGCCAAAGGATGCAAAACAGTCACAACTACAAAGAGTCTCCACACCCCCAGGTAATGGGCTAGGGTCGGAAAAATAACGCTCTGAATAATGAGCGCAATAATGCCATCTGTGGACATGATCAGGCCAACTGTTGGCGTGGATAGGCCAACACCGCCGGGGAAACCGAGAACCGTGCCCCCCAGATTGGAGGTCTCTTTGGCACTCTTGTCCTGAAGGAAGATAGGTAGAAGATGGTCAAAGGACATTGAGTGGTACGTAAAAATGGCCAACGCAATAACGAGCATGGTGACCCGCCATGTAAAAATGGGCTCGGTCGAAGGGCACGTTCCATACCTCAAACCGTTGGTGTGCACAATCACCTCCTCATCCTGAAGGCTGACTTGGTTGAATGTCCCGTAAGATTCGGCACGCAAATCAGCCCCCGCATTGGCAGTCGCTCCAGCTGTAGGTAAGAGAGGACGTTCTACGGATCTGTGATCGATGGCTTCCTTCCTGTTTCTCCATGGTTGCATGTCTGGGTGGGTTTCTTGGAGAAAGAGCCAGCAGAAAAGGATGCTGCAAAGGAGTAAGATACAACAAACAACATTTGGTAGGAGGTAAGGGTATTTGCCAAATAGACCGTCGTGGGAAAACAGGGAGGGAAACCCTTCAGCGGGCTTTGCAAGCAAACCTCCAATGGCTGCAGCGGAGTACATCATCAACATCTCTCACCATGCCGCACTATCTTAGGGGTGACGGCAGATACATACCTGGTCCAATGATAGTCCCGATTGACCAAACAAATGGCATCACGGCGTAAGCTCGAGCTACATCCACCAGTTGTTAGCTCGGGGTCTAATCCACAACGCAAGTGAGAAGTAAGTTTCATGCTTACGTTCATGCTCCGGCCGTTTGACCAATTCGCCAACCATGGTTTGAATGACACCAATGTTGCCATTCAGAGTACCTCCAAGCGCCCGGCCAAATAGGGCCACCCAGAAGTTGGAAGCGAATCCCACGATGAGAAGAGAGATCGTAGTGCCAAAGCAGCCGGAAAGAAGCACGGGTTTGCGGCCGATACGGTCGGAAAGGGCCCCCCAAATCATACCGGTAAGTGCTTCAGCAAGCGAAAAGGCTGAGATGAGGATGCCCGCGTAGAAGGAAGCAGTGTGGTCGTCAGCTACATGGAAGTCCTTGACCATCACCCAGGAGTATGGGAAGATGGAGGTCAAGGCGATGGGCTCTGCAACACGGCATATTGCTAATGGACACCAACGTTAGCATCACATATGCTAGAGAGACGCCAAGGATGAGCGTACCTAGAAGGAATAACTGAGCGGTGGGAAATTGGTCGTCCGAAGCGGTTGGTCTTCCCTGCTGTGTCAATACCATTTTCTTCAGAATCGTCCAAGATTCTTACGGCAAGTCCTCCACAAAACAACAAATCCCAAGCGAGCTTTTCTTGTATCTAGTTTTCGTCTTTCTTTCTTCTTTTCTGTCACTGTCTCTCTCTTTCCTCTTTTTTTGATCTTCCCTGGATTCCTTGACTATTTTCCTCCCAAAGCCAATGCCCAAACGTTATATACTGCCAGGCCCACTGTTGTGATTGTTTTATGGTTGTTATCTTCTATTTAAATCGTGTTCGATATAGGTCCCAAGATTGTATCAGAAACGCAAGACCGAAAAAGAGATTCCAAAAGGCCCTTTGAGTGGTGGGATCAAAGATTGCGTGGCAGGGAAGGTGGAAGTACGTGCGAACAGAAGGGAAGAGAAGAGTGTTAAGGCGACGCAAAGATAAAAGCGAGACAAGACCCCAGTAGATAAGGCAGCTGACCAAAATTTTTTCCTTGTTACCAGGGTTCGCCCGGCTAAGGTGGCAAGAATCCATGGAAATCCCCCGGCAGGAAGAAACTAGGCCGGTTCTTTCAACTCCGAGTCAATCTCACACTACCCATTTTTGGTTCCTATGCCCAGGTCGCCGCATCGGCCTTCCGTGTTTATGAGATAGGGATACCCATGAGCATAATTCCCGACACGAAGACTAGTAAGTATGCACATATACCTATTCCCCCCCCCCCTCCCCCGGCGATAGGACATCCAGTAAGACAACGAGCCATGGTTGCAAGCGACAAGGGGAGAGATTTGGTCACTATTACCGACTTGCTAGAGAAACTCCTTAGTACAGGAAGTAGCAGCTAGTCCACTTCCCAATGGAAATGTAACCTCGCCTAATGGTAGGAAGCCTACTCCGTACCTGGTAGGTAGGTTGGATGGAATTCAGGATCCTTTCCGTTATTTACGTACAGTACAGTACAGTACAGTACATCCACAACCTAGGTAAGTTCCACCAACATGTAAAATAGCGGTGTGCCACAAGGCACGATGTCCCGAGGGAGGTTTTTTGAGAGCGCTTCCTAATGTTCCTCTTCGGCTCGGGGGCACCTGGAAAAGCTCAGATATTGCGTGCTTTCGGGACTAGTGTAGAAAGGGCATGGCGTGCAGCACGATCCTAGTGGGCCTGCAGTGACATTGCTGATCCACCAATAATGGCAACAAGAAGCTCTCACCTACTGTGGAGGTAGATGAACGTCCATGAGCTAAACTGGACACTCTGAACGATGAACCCTTGTCCATTCACCAAACTCGGAGTCATCACTAAGTCAACGACACCACTTTGGTCCCCCATGGTAAGCTTTCTATGACAAGAGTCCATAAGCAAGCCGATGAACCTGAACCAAGCTGCTATCTCACAAGCTATCTTAGAATTCAGTTCTGGTCAGTGGCAATGCAAGCAGGGTTTTGGAAGGTATCAAGACAGGTTTAATCTTCGCAATGGGTGGGAGAAACTATATACGAAAATTGGCTTCCAGTAAGGATGTGTTAGAACAAGCAGCACTAATTACCGACGCTTTCAGTAACGGGTATATAGGATCGTCTCTCCCTTGCCGCCTATATATAAGTTAGCTTTTTAGCCGTCTGAGAATATGTCCATACAGGGAGGGGGGGAAGAAGAAGAAGAAGAAGAGAGAGAGGAGAAAATGGGGGTACGTGCCTCGAGATACTTCTCCACCCATGGCTTAAACACTGCCCAAGCCAGAAGACCACTTGTAGCTATGATGAAAATAAACACTATTGTTTTATCTTTTCTCGAGTCTCTCTCTGCATAGTCAAGTTGTAGTTAGCCATCTGTGCCAGCTGTGTACCAATATGCAGGGATCAGCTGTATGGCGATAGGGCCACAGTGATAATCATACGGAAGCAAGTGGTAAAGACGTCATCTTCGCTTGCGCCTTTACAGGTGGGCAAATTGTAACCCAGACAGAATTTCCGGTTGCAATCATTGCAGCTTAGAGGGCGATAGCTGTTGGCTCTCTTCTCTAAGGCATCGCTGATATCATCGTGTGCGTTTCTGGAATTGAGGGGATGCAAGGAGCTATATATTGAAGTATACTCCGGTTTTACAGGATCGAGAGGGATAATGGTACTATTGGAGAAACATGTGCATTTGCAGAATGATGCAGGAGCTAGTTCAACAAGATCTGTCAGTTATGGTTTGCATTCGAAGCCTACATCGCTGTCAGGTTCCGCAAGCACTTACAGGAAGCTAATGCAAGCGAAGCGTAAGCAGAAATCGCTAGCAAAGAAAGCATGACATGGATAAAATTGCCTTTAAACATGGTTGGAGACGATAGGAATGGCCGGAGTCGTCCCACTCGCACCGGCAATGGACCTTGCTGGGTTTGTTATGACTTGGTTATCTTATCCAGGTTCTTGGCGTCATGTGATATACTCATTTCTTAAATCGAATTAATTTTGGCTTAATTTCAGTTTTCAGTTTCTATTTTTGTTCATCTATATATAATAACTTCAACTATATGCAAAACTAGATCGGATTCCGGATAGATGTTTCTCGCAGATATTTTGATAAATGGACCGACTGTTGGCACATCCAAGTAGATGGCTGGTAGGATGCAGAGGTAGATCACTGTAAAATGGCAATATAAATCTAGAATTTCCCTCTCATTCCTTTCTTCCTGTTCTCGCGCTGTCTCTGCTCCTTGGCAGCTTCACGCCTTCTTTTTTTCCAAGCTCGGTTGTTGTCCCCACGAGTTTCCCAGAACCACTTTGAAAACTCAGACTCGTTCCTTTGCCCCGCTCCAGTCTTTGGAACAGGAGTGTTCGTATACAGCTCATCATCCACATCCATATACTCGCCTTGCACCATGTCCCGGTTCACAGTCCGGCTAAACAGAGCCGTATCCGGCGTTGGAGCAGCGCTCCTCAATCCACGGTTCTGGAGGTCTTTCTTTGTAAATGGTGTTTGTGGTGCTGTAAATTCCGTCTCTTCTTCAGAGTCAATATCCCCCTGACCAAAGAAGCTGAATTGCGCATGGGACTGTGAGTCGGGCTTATGGTCGGTTGATTCCGGCGCAGGCCTTTTGAAAAGCGCTTCTAGCGGATGAACTTCTTGGGAATGAGATGTCTCATTCGCCTCGGTAGAAGACTCTTTGTTATTACCTTTCGATTTGGAATCAAAGTTATCATGCCCATGGACTTTATCGGCCACCTTGAAATTTGCTGGTGCCTTGGGTACTTCATTATGAGAAGACGCTTCCGAATTTGATGAACTGGAGGATACACTCTCGTTGCTATCTGAATCCGACGAACTGTCGTCGGACGATGCAGAGCCGCTAGACGATGTCCAATCCTCGGATTCATTAGCTGTCTCATTCTCCTGGGAATTAGATGTATCACCGGGTTTTTGAACGTCCGATGTCCCACTTGCGAGTGAACGTCGCCTTTCTTCGGCCCCTGATTTTGCCCCTGGTCTGTATTGGGCTTTCCTAATGCGATCGCTGACTTGTTCTTTGACATTTCCCGACTCATCTATCCATCCTCTATCATCTTCAAATATAGACGTGGGAGCTGCCTCATCGCCGGTTGACCGAAGGAAACTTGGGTGAGTTGCAGTCTTGGCAAACTCATGAACTACCAATTCCTGGGTGGACTTCTTTTTCTTTTTAGACCGTTTTTCTTGCTTCTCATCGGTAGAACGGTTCGGAGGGATGTTTGTTCGGAACAGGCATTCCGGCTTTTCGGTATATTTAGACTTTGACTGAGATTTTGTGCTTTTCTCGGTTTTTCCTTTCTTTTTCTCTTCTTTGCGTCTCTCATTCTTATGAATTGTTGGCTCCGTCCAGCCTCTCTTGACATGGCGTTCCAATGGGAGTTCGTATCCGTCTAAGACACCATTTTCAGATTTTTTCTTCTTCTTCTCCCCGTTGACTGAAGACTTGCGGGTAGATGCAGGAATGTCGGACACTTCCTCATCTCTGTATCTTTTCTGTGGACGAGCTGCCTCCACGCTGAATTTGCGTCCCTTCAAAATCGAGCCATTGAGCTTCTTTTTGATTTTATCGGCCTCCATTGTCGGTAACGTCACGTAGCCGTAATTATTCTCTGGGTACGTTGGGATGCAGTGAAAGGATATTTCTGTAGCTAAGGGGCGAACCGATGCAGGTAGCACGGAGGGGAGAAACTCAGGTGTGAAGGGCGTGATATGAAGGCGTTTGGTAGTTGAAGTAGCTGTCATTTGCGACATTGAGAGAGGGTAAAAGAGCGGAATGACACAATTTTGTATTAATCCAAGGCTAGGGTCATGCACACAGAGAGGAGGGAATTATGTGGGTGTTTCGCTGTGTTCCAGCTCTAAAACCCAAAGGGGAATATGAACTTGGGTCAATGAATCAATACGTTTTGGATGCACCGTCATATTATGATGGATAATTTTCCATCACCACTTAACCTAAGATGGACATGTGGCGCGGCTGAGAGGCATCAGCCACATTTACTTCCATAAGATAGTTGCTGCGAGGCAGGTTTGTCGATAGCTTATTGTTTGTTACCATCGGTGGTACAATAATCGATGATAACTGACAAAATCTCACCGCCTTAGGAAAACTTTGATTGAATGACCTAGAACACAACCAATTCTCCATATTTTTTGTATAAAATTTGAACTGGAGCTTATCCTTATTATTAGATACCTACTATAGTAGTTTTTATTTGATTTGTCCTAAAAATAAGGATAGAATTCTAAGATAACATTCTCTCTTACTATGGGAGTGCTTCCCAGCTACCGACCCTTATCAATTTATTATACCAAAATTTCAATCCCTTAGAACTCAGCCGAATTCCAATATTTTTCAAACAAGTTGAAACTACTTTTAGATATTATAGTCACTTACTAACTACTAAAATTTTACTATATTTTAATCTAATTTGGAAGTATAAAGATTCAAAAACTAAAATTACGGTTTCAGGTTGTAATGCCAAGAATTATTATCGATTATCATATCATCTTGGGTAACAAACGATAAGCTGTCGATGACAAGCCTCCTCTGAGGTAGGTAAGTATTCCGTAGATACATAACCGGTATTGTAACAGATAGTACCTACTATTACCGCACTACCTTCCTCAATAGCATATCTGATAGAGAGGAAATTAGGATATAGAACAGTTGAAAGAGGCAAGGGAGGGGACATTTTCTGGTCGGCAGGTACTCAGTAGAGAGATTCATTTGGATATCAATAATTGAAAATAGGTATAAAGCCTCAGGTCTGGATGTTCTGGGGAGTTCCTTGCCAGTCTAGACCTTTACCCATACTTACAAGGTCAAACATACATACAGTACATACCTCGTACATACCTTGTACATACCACCCGTAGTATTGAACCCAAAGTCAGTCATCGACCTCATCTCACCAACGATCTTGCGTTGCTCTTCTGTCATACCTCTCTCTCTCTTTCCTACCTCTTTCTTCCTTTTCTCTCACCTTTTATTCATCTTCCCTGCATCATCCTTGCCGCTGCGGCAGTGGTAACTCCTGTTATTTAATCACATCGGAGGTTTCTTTTCCTCTTTTTCACGACGACCTACACTTCGCTATCTATCCCTATATCCGGCCCATTCCTTTCGATCCGCGGTTAACTGCAAGCCCGCATTCCCTGATCTCATCACCGCTTCCATCAAACAACCAACTTTACTTCTGTATCGCTCACATGGCCACATCGATATCGTTTTTCGCCCCCACTCTAGTAACTGAGGGTCCTTTTTAGCTTACTCTCCACACCGACCCTGGTTGTTGCTTGGCTTACCTTCATTCTTCCTTGTGACATTCTCCGCCGAATCAACTCCCAATTGTTCTGGTGCCTTGTTCCTGCTAGTATTCCTTTGGGTACCTCTCCGTTATCACCCTTTCTATCTGGAATCCAAAAAACAGCCTCATTCCCGCCCCCGGATTTTCAATTGGGATTGATTTGATTGATTTTCTTTTTTGTTTTTTCCCTCGTTATTGGCACCGTCTTTAAATTCTTTACATTGTTTTTCCTTTTGTTCTCTTTCTTTTCCTTCCTCCTCTTGTGAACCTAACCTGGGCTTGGTAGAGATGGGTAATTCACAGACGAAAGAGAGCCGACCGTCTGCGAATCGCCGAAGCCATCAATGGGGCTCTTCAGGGGGCCACGGAAGGTCGCCGTACGGTGAACGGCATCATGGTGAAGGTTCAAGATCAACACGGGGTAGTAGGCCTGATCTCTCCATCCTCGGAATCGGCGGAAGCTCGGATCGGGATGTAACAACTCTTGAGCATCGGCGGGAGACAAGACAAGAACGAGAGGCTCGTCGACTGGAAAAAGAACGAGCGGCTCGCGTTAAGGAACGGGAACGTAGTATGAAGGAGGAGCACGTGGATGGGGGTTATTTGGTGACGCAAGGTGTCTATACGGGCACGGAGGACTTTAATAAAGCCGTTGTCCGGCAACTTATGGTAACTTAGGATTGTTTTGACCCACGAGCGTATGTGAATGATGCTGATTTTTTTTTTGTCTTGTCACAGGTCGAACGAAGGATTGCACCTTTTTGGCGAGGGATTAATGACTTCTCAAATTCCTGGACTGAGCATCAGCTCATGGCGGCGGCGCGCGGCCTTCCCATACCTCCCCCTGATGAAATCCCTCCGCAGTTGGAATACAAAGACCCTAATAAGCCTACAAGTGATGCGAAAGACTCGACAGAAATGCATGGAATCCAGCATTTAACTGTTCCGATTACATCGAGGTCACAGTCCTATGGCTCCGATGGGTCACATTCGTCTAACCCAACCCATTCCTTACCCTCCACGTCTCCAATCACCTGCACCACAAGCACACCATTATTCCGAACCCGCGCAAAGACACTTGCCTCACTCAGTACCTCGAAACACGGGGCTCAGACTGATCTAGCTCCCCGAGAGATGCAGCTTCCTCAGGACCCATTTGTCAACGGTCTGCTCATAGAGGCGTATCTCTATAAAGATGCAAGCGAATGCCCTATCTGCTTCTTATACTACCCTCCTTACTTGAACCGTACGAGGTGCTGCGATCAGCCCATCTGTTCTGAATGTTTTGTTCAAATTAAGCGCCCCGACCCTCATCCTCCAGAGCACGGGGAGACTGACCAAAGTGCCCCAGCCGGGCATTCCGAGAACGACCGTTCCGATAATCCAGATTGCCAGCTCGTCTCAGAACCTGCAGCATGCCCTTTTTGTGTGCAACCGGAATTTGGCGTGACTTATGCACCCCCGCCCTTCCGCCGAGGACTAACATATGCTCCTGACCCAAGCGCACGGCCTGACTTCACCTCTCCGTTATCTTCCACCTCTTCACTCTCTTCTGGAAATCCTACTACCGCCGTGGGTCGTCGGCGCGCTACTTCGTTGTCTGCCAATGACCCTGCTGTTATCACAACTGACAGGGTCCGCCCTGATTGGGCTCAGAAGTTGACAAATGCGAGAGCTCATGCTGCACGAAGATCCGCGGCTGCAACTGCTCTCCACACTGCTGCGTATCTGATGAATTCCAACCCGGCAGGAAACGAGTCGCGGAATTTCGGCCTCGGACGACGGGGTGTCATGCGGAGAGCACCGGAAGGGCAAAGTACTACGAGCCGCACGGGGTCTCCCGCATTACAGGCGTTTGCTTTTCTTACAGATCGACGCGGTGCTGGAAACGAAACGGATTCTACGGAGGATAATGCGGGCGCCTTAGCACCGCCACGAAACAGCTCCCGACGGAACCGCATTGATGATTTGGAAGAAATGATGATGATGGAAGCGATTCGATTGAGCCTGGCCAGTGAAGATGAGCGCCGCAAGAAGGAGGAGAAGGAAATACGGAAAGAGGCCAAGAGACGCGAAAAGGAGGCCAAGAAAGCGGAGAAGGCCGCCCGAAAGACCGGACTGTACAGCAACAATGCAAGCAGTTCCGCTCTGGATGTGCCTACGGGACTAGGAAGGGTTATTAGCAGCTCCTCCTCTGTCGCCGCCGAAGAAGCGGCGGCCACTGGCAAGGGTAAAGAGGTGGACCGCCATTGCCCTGGTGAGCCGGTTGGCGGCGTTGCTGCCTCAGATATCTCAACTCCGGTACAAGCTCCTCCCGCAAATAGGGAAAGTCAACCTCCGTTGTTGCCGCTTCTCCCGGCCATCTCATCTTTGACCAGGGAGATTCCCAGGCCGTCCCACCTACGTAACGTGTCCAGTGCGTCCTCGTTCTCTTCCCTCGTTGAGTCGATATCGGAAGATCATCCCGGGGCCAGCGATGCGAGCAGTCCATCCCCCGAGCCGCTCTTCAATTTCCGAAGCTTGGCAGCGGTTATTGGGGATGAGGAGAAGAGGGAAGAATCCATCGAGCATGTGGAAAATGCGTCGCCCAAGCCACCAGCAGAATGTTCGGGCTCGCGCTCTCCTGCTACGGCAACATCCAAATCCGACGAGCCTTTTGTGTCTGGATCCGCAGCGGGCGTGGGGTCGGAGACTACACCGGACAAGAATCGGGAGAATCTGATGGCTAAAGAGCTGGATATGCAATCGGTCGAGATTATGGATGCTAATGAGAACGCGAGCGCCACGTCCTGAAGCAAGTTAACTGCCCACCCATTTTTTCCTGGTTTGCCATCTGCTGGATGTGAGGATGGAGGGTAGCATGTGAATATGTCGGGGCAGAAGGCTTTTTTTTACTTGGTCGGGAACGTGACGATGATGGGCTCTTTTTGACATTCCTTGTCTTTTGTGTTGATGCTATTTTATTTTTTTTTAATTCTTCGCATGGCGGGACGGGGTCATTCTCTATTTTATTTTATATACATACAGTGCTATAGATTTATATTTTTTTTTTTTTTTTTTTTTTCCCAGTCACTAGTTGCGATGATTTTCTCCTCGAGGAGCCAGCAGATTGTACCGATCCTGAGTACTTAAATCTCTACGAAGTATGGGATAGATATATTGGAGGTCCAGATTGGGGTTGATTCTGAAACGCTGAGTGGTTAGATGTGGGCAATGGTCGTTGGTACCATTTCCATGATGGCATGTAGGTTCTTGTTCAAGCATTCCCGAACAATCCGATTGATGGTTTCGGAGATCTAGTTTCAGCCGATCTGCTTGACTGGGAACGACGGGGTCAACCGGATCCAGGGGATCAGATGGGATCAGATGGGAATGCTTAAGCCCGATGCAGAAATGGTCCTGGAAGAGGAGTGATGAGGATCTGCATGCATGCATCGTGGCATGGACGAAGTTGATCGGTGGTCTGATGGGAGTGGGCCTGGACGGTGTTAATTTCCTTTGCAGCCATTTATTTGGTTATTTGATCCAAAGAAAGAAGAAGGTAAAAAGGAAGAAAAGTGAGATCATGGGGCAGAGAAACCCCTCTTTAATTTCCAATCCGTCCATGGTTCTGTTCTCTGTTCCTGAAGCCGGACTGCTTGTTCTTGTTTTCCAGTCTTCCCCCGTGGATCTCGTTTCTTTTTATTTCAGTTCATTTCATTTCAAGCTCCTTTTGTTTCCTTTCCTTTCCTTTCTTTTTTGTTTTTCTCTTCGCCTCTTCGGCTCCCTCCATCGATCACCTACCACTCATTCCGGATCCGGCCGGCTTTTACTGAACGGGGTGAAATAATCCCCAGTGAAGACAAGATAAAGAAGAAAAGTAGAAAGAAGAGAGAATCCCGGAGAAGAAAAGGACACACTCATGGCCGTGTTCGATAAGGACAATCGCCCCCGCGGCCTGCGCATGCCGTCGCTCTCCATCAAAGGAGGACGGAAGAAGACCGAATCTCCGCCGCCCGAGGAGTCTCATTCCTATCGTCGTCCCATCCCAGCATCGACGACGACTACGCGAGAGAAGGAGTTGCCGCGGCCACCCTCGCAGCCGTCCAAGCCATACGACGACCGGCCGCTACCCCGATTCCCTCGAGTCCCCGTGCCCCGGCCGGAAGAACCCGCAGCTCCCGTTGTTCTTCAGGAAAGCCCGCCCCAACGACCTGTCTTTGAAGGAGTACCGAAGCAGAGGCAGATCCCTGATCGCGGGCTTGACCCCCAACGTGATATCGCTGTCGCCGTCGCCGTCGCCCCGGGCCCGACCCCCATACAACCGCCGGACGACGAGCCGGAGGTTCCGTTGGAGGACTTCATCCCTGAGCCAGAGCCGGAGCTAGACGGCGATGAGCCCGATGCGGCGCCCATCGAACAGGCGTCCAGCGAGGAGAACGGAGGCCCCTGGACGCCGCCGGATTTCGAGCCCGTGGCGGCACCGTTGAACAAACTTCATTTCGCGTGCTACCAGGACCATCGGTCGATGCCGCCGGCCAACAATGTCTGGTATCCGCTGCCATGCATGACGTGTCAGAAATTCGACCGGGAGGTGCGGTTTCGATGCGTGTTCTGCTGTCTGCGCGTCTGCAGCGGGTGTTTCCACGCACTGCAGAAATGTCCTCATCGTTCGCTGCAAAGATTCATGGAGATGATTTCCCAGTCATAATGTCATTTTATTTTATTTTGTATTTCTTTTATGTCTGATGTCGTACTGGATCATGGTTCGGGTGTGGGACGGACCCTGTATTTGCATTGCCCACATGATCACTATCTTCGGGGTTTAATTCTTTCTTTCTTTCCTTCTTTTTCTGCTTGCTTTACTTCTACACGGTTCGTAATCTCTCTTCTTATTTCTTCACATAGCCTCTGAGATGAATTGTTGTATATACAACCCCCTAATCCGGATGATGAATGGAATGTATAATGTACAGGGAAATATATAAGTACTGGAAAAGTAGATTAATCGTGGTCCTCCTCGGTGAGTCCAGGACAACCCTCCATCGCATCGTCGCCATAGCGGAATTTGCACCAGAAACAGTAGCGATGCGTCTCGCGTAGATACCGCACGATGCGGGCCAGCCGTTCGCTCGGTTCCAGGGCATTGAACTCGTCCAGCTCCGGATCCTCCTGGTCGACTTCCTGCTCGAGGATGGAGGAGAGGTCGAGGGGTTTCCGGCCCAGAGCTTCTTGGTCGTCGCCGTCGAGGGCGGCATCGTCGTAGCCGGGCAAGCGCGGACTGGGGAAGAAGGACGAAGGCAGCTCGGACTGCAGACGATGCCGCTCATGTAGCGATCGCTCTCGTTCCTCGCGGTCTCGCACCAGCCCCCGATACAGCAGATTGATCTGGTTCGTGGGCCGGACCTTGGTGCGACCGTCGCTGTCGGCGTCTGCGTCTGTGTCTGCATCTGCCTCGGTATCCAAGCGTTCAGCCACCTTCTGCGCCGCCTGGAATTGTGCTTCAGTGTGTCGCGTCTCCCGGTCCAGTCGGACGCGATCGCGATAATCCCCTTCTTCCTGCTTGACTTTCTTGACGGCATCTTCGGCCTGTTCGCGGAACTTGCGTTTCTTCTCGCTGTCCAGACCGATGCCGCCGCGACCTTCTTTGAAAACGAGGTTGAGAGGCTCGACGCGCGATGGACACGAGGAGTCGTGGTTGCGGCCCTGGTCTTGGTCGTGGTCGGGGGCTTGATTGTCGGTCGGTTCTTTACCTAGGGCCTGACCAGGTTTGAATCCTAGCTTGGCCATCATCTGAAAGCCTTTGTTGGAGGGATCTAGGGTGCTCGTGGAGAGGGCGACATCGCGACGAGCGCTTTCTTGGGCAGCGCGTTCGGCTTTGGAGGGGACTTTGGCGCGGGCTTCTGCCTGTCATTATTTAGTATGATATAAATAAAATAAGATATCGATTGTATAGATATGTATTAGGGAATAGACAGATGACTGACCTCGCGTTGTAGACGGCGTTTCTTCTGCGCAAAAGTTTCCTTCTGCACTGGTTCCTCGATCACCATCGACATGTAATCCTCCCCTTCGTCTTCCTCTTCCTTTGATCCTCGTGCGGGGTCCAATCGAGAGGTCATGGTGTCATCGATGGAATCGAAAACAAAGAAGGATCGCGTGGAGAGCGATGATTCGAGATGACATCTGCGGGGGAATTGAGGAACGAGGCGGTGATTGGACTTTTCTTTCCACCGATGCCATTCATTCTTTTCTTTCATCTTAAATAGTCGCCCCGTCGATCGCTCTCCCTGCCTCCATGGCTTGAATCCAATAGATCATATTTAAAATATAAGATGACCTCCCCTCGGGGAACATCCCTCCCCCAAATTTTCTTTCTCGACCATGGTCCACATCACTCTGGGGTTTCTTCTCGGTCTCTCCTCCCTCGTCTCGACGCAGACTGGAGCCGTCGTGGATCTGGGATATGCACGATATCGCGGTCTCCCCCGTCCCGATGGCATCGTTCAATGGCTGGGGATGCGCTATGCCGCTCCTCCGGTCGGACCATTGCGATTTGCAGCTCCCCAGGACCCTGAGAGTGTCGACGGGGTTCAAAATGCCTTCCAGCATGGTCCGCAGTGTATCCCCACGGGCGAATATCCCATCCCGGAAGAGACATCGGAGGATTGTCTCTTTGTCGACGTCCAGGCGCCAACGATGGTCTCCCAGCCACTGCCGGTGTTTGTCTGGATTGAAGGGGGTGGGTTCAGTCAGAACTCGCAGGCCAACTACGACGCCTCGGGTTTGATCCAGGCTTCCGGAATGGGCATCGTCGTTGTTACCTTCAACTATCGTGTTGGTCCCTACGGGTTCCTGTCCGGTGCTGAGGTCCAGAGACAGGCGAGTGTGAATAACGGGCTTAAGGATCAGATCCACGTCCTAAAATGGGTCCAGAAGCATATCCGGAAGGTGAGTCCTCTCTCTTGTCTTGCCCTCTCGGCACCCTACTTTTGCTCCATCTCTTGCCTTATTTATCTTCATCGAGCCGGTTGAAAGCTGGCTGCTGACTGAATAGTTTGGTGGTGATCCCAACCATGTCGTCCTGGGCGGCGTGAGCGCCGGCGCCGCCTCCATCACGCTTCTGCTCTCGGCCTATGGCGGTCGAGATGATGGTCTCTTCCACGCCGCGGCGGCCGAATCCCAGAGTTTTGCCGGAATGCAGACTGTGGATGAAAGTCAGTTCGCCTACAATAACCTGGTGATTCGCACCGGCTGCGCCTCAGACGACAACACCCTGGCATGCCTGCGTCGCCTGGACGTCGCTCGCCTCCAGCAAGCGAATATCAACACGCCGCTGCCCAAAGCCCAGGACCCCCCGTTGTATCTGTATGGCCCCGTGGTCGACGGCTTGCTCGTTCCCGACTACACATATCGCCTGTTCCGCCGTGGTCACTTCATCCGCGTCCCCGTCATCTTCGGCGACGTTACCGACGAGGGAACTATCTTCGTGCCGCGGAACCTCTCCAGCGTCGGCGAGGCGCATACCTTTCTCCAGAGCCAATTCCCGGAGCTCCAGCTGCGCCATTTGGCGCACATCCACCGCTGGTACTATGGACAGGGGAACCAGACGCGCCAGTTCCCCGACGCCGGACCCTACTGGGTCCCCACCTGCCACGCCTACGGCGAGATGCGATATACTTGTCCCGGCATCGACCTGTCGTCCGTCTACGCCCATGCTGGCCTCCCCAGCTGGAACTATCACTACGCCGTGCGCGACCCCCGCGCCGAGGCCGTGGGCAATGGCACCTCGCATACCGTTGACGTCAATTCCATCTGGGGTCCGTCGTACGTGACCGACAACGGCTTTCCGCCACAGTCCTACCTCTCCTTCAACGCGCCCATCGTCCCCGTCGTGCAGGGCTACTGGACCAGCTTCATCCGGACCCTGGATCCCAATCCCCATCGTCTCCGGGGGACTCCTAAGTGGAAGACTTGGGGCCGCGACGAGGAGTCCCATCGTCGTCTCTTCATCCGAACCGGCGATACCAGGATGGAGACTGTCCCTCCCGCACAGCGGAAGCGGTGCGAATACCTAATCAGCATCGGCACGGATCTGGGGCAGTGATCGTCCTTTCCAGTTGAATATGGACAGATATTTCGTTGATACAAAGTCTATACTATCCTTATAGTGAGGGAGAGATATATACCCTACGTCAAATTGAAGGATTAAAGTGACAAGTAAATCCTTTTTGTGTACATAGTAAAATAAACCCACATATATACATCCTCGAACATAATAACGGATCACCGCTTGCCCTGGCGCAGTCTCTTCTCTCTCTCGTACACATTCGCCTCGCGACCCTCCTGGTTCTGTACCTCGGCGACAAGCCGCTTGTACTTGCGCTCGTACTCGGCGTCGCGCTCCTTCTTCTCGCGCAACTGCTCGCGCGCAATGAAATTGGCGTCCTTGCGCAACTCGCGGATTGCTCCCTTGCGCTCGCGCTTGTACTCTGCCTTGAGCCGGTTGGCCTCGGCCCGCTCGCGATCCGGATCGTAGTGCTTGTCCGGGTTGAACGTCTCCTCGAACTTGGGGATGGCCGTCTTGATCGCCAGCGGCCGGTGCTGGTGCAGCAACAGCGGCCGACGAGCGCTGCGCGACTGCGAGAGACGGCGCGCGATCTGCTCCACCGTGCGGTGCAGCTCGTCCTGCGCGTCGCGGGACACTTTCGCTAGTTTTTTGCCCTTGTGCGAGTCCCCCCCTCCCACGTGGCGGAGCACTCGCTGCGCCGGCTCGAATATCTCCGTGAACGCGGACTGGTCCACCCAGAGATCGGATGCCGTGTTCAGAAGGTGTACGAAGGTGCGGATGAGCGAGAGCTTGAGCTCCTCCTGCGCTCGGAGGCTGGAATCCTTCTCCCCGCCTGTGACATCCCAGAAATGAAGCTTCCGCGACGAGATGGGCTTGGAGGCATCCAGCCGCAGGGACTTGGAGGATGTTCTGGATGGGAACGGCCCAAGCTCAGTCTCGGGTGCTTGGGGAGCCAGAATACAGAGGGCATTGAGCACGTAGTTGATAAGTTCCGGCATGTAGCGCTTCGAAATCATCTGGTACTGGAGGACAAGACTGGTGACATATGCCCCCTTAGCCAGGTCTCCGAGCGTCTCGACAGACCCCTGTCCTAGGTACCGAGCCAGGCAGAGGTGTGCCGGTGTCGCGACGGCGTGGAAATGATCGGATGTCGGGAAGACGGCGGCAATGCCGGTCAGAACGACCAGGTCGCCAGCACGGAGGCCCAGAGGCCGGTCGGCTGTGATTTCACGTAGGTGTGCCCTGAACGCCCGGGAGACACTCTCAGGATGGGTCTTCGCCAACGAGTGGACGTGGCGGAGAATGTTCTCCAGAATGGCGAAGGGAGGATGCTCGGGCTGCTCGGCCATATAGGAAACATGCTGAACTAGAATTGCAGCGAACCGTCCAAGCTTCATCTTATTGTCACTATGAAGTCGAGGATGGTGCAACGCTCGGATCCTCTGGATGACGGTAGGCAGGTCTTGTGTTGGCACGTCCTGGATGATCTGAAGGAACTCGTCATGGTCTGCAGGGCATGGATATGTGTACGCCAGTCCATCCTGGGCCTCCGGTGCGCCCTCGGTTTCTCCCACGGATTCGTCGGGGAGAGTGATCCCATTGATGAGCTCATCCTCTTCTTCTTCGTCGGATTCTCCTGCGGACAACGCCTCCTCGTCGCTGTCGCCAACCGATAAACTGACATCAGACCTTGTTTCCACCAGGTCGTCGTCGATAATGAAATCGTCCTCATCTTCAACTCCGAGCTCGGTACGAGTCCCGTGTTGCAAACCGAATGCTTTGGCATCGTCAGGAATAGATTCGTCCTCAGATATCTCCCCTCCTCCATCGCTTTCCTTGTCCTCCTCTTCCTCGTCCTCATCGCTTACTTCCTCGCCGCGCATTCTCCGGAGACGCTCCTCCTCAAGAGTCTTCAGCCGTTGCGCCTCCTCTTCGGCCTTTTCCTCTTCGGTTTTGGTGCGGTCGGTTGGCATGGAACGCTTATCAAAAGTCAATTCCTTGAGGCGATGGTCATACTCCTTCTCGGTGTCCTTCTCGGGCCCTTCCATTAAGAAGGCAGCACGATCGGGATTCATGGACTCCAGGTCATTCTTCGCGGGCTCTGGCTTCGGCGGGGGTTTGATCCCCCTAAGCATATCAAAAAGGTCGGGGAGCCCCTTGTCAAGCTCTTCACGGAGGTCATCGTCGTCTTCCTTGGCCTTTTGTCGCTCGAGTTTGTAGAATTTCGACTTAGCGATGACTTCCTTCATGATTTCATGTTTCGACTTTTTCCGTCCGGGCTCTTCCTCTTCTCCGGGCCCATCGAACCCCTCCTCCATCTCGCCGTCGTCGTTGAGGAACCGTTTCCTCTTCCGAGAGATTTCAGAATCTGACATGTCCTCCTGCTCGCTCAACCCACCTTCGTCGAAATCGTCTCCGAGGGCGCCATCCCCAAAGGATAAGGACTCGCCTTTGTGGGTGAGTTGGAACTCTTCTTCGTCCTCCTCAAGGTTGAACATCGATTCCTTGCGCAACTTTCTTTGACTTTCCTTGGCGAATCGTTCAGCCGCTCTCTCCTCGGGGGTCATAGTCGGGTCATTTTCACCGAATCGACGGTCGAGAATGCCACCGACCTTTTTCCTCCGCTCGTATTCCCGGAGTAGGGTATCGCGTCTCTGAAAATCAGTTAACATCACACTCCGGCTAGTGCTTTACCATCGAGCTCACCTTTTCTTCCCCGAGCGACTTGGTCACGCCCGGTCTCGCCTGCACCGCAGCGGATTTCGAGCCACCATCACGGGTTGTCACGTCGAATTTGCTTCGCGCAGCGACGGTTTTGATTTCAAACGGATTGAAGCGGTCTCGAATGGCCTGCAGGGCGGCATTGCGCTGGATTCGATTCTGCGCGCCGATACCCGATTTGGCATCTTGACGCTTTTTCTTCTTGGACTGCTGCGGGCCAATCACTCCGCTATCACGAAGCGAGGCCTTGAGCTGTTTCAACTGCGACGGAGGCATGGCGGTGGTTGTCGGCCTACAGTGTTTCTCAGTCGAATTTTTTGTTAGAAAAAAGTCGTGCGCTCACCGCCTGTATTATTTTGCCGCCGCTTTGGTTCTTGTAGGTCTCTCTCCGCCTTCACCTAGATGGTTACCGATACGCTGCAAAGCGATGGCCTCACAGCTGACCGATCGGCTACTATGGCTGTGTCTAGGTACGTCGGTGTCTGGAAATAATGGGCGACGGCTAACCTGACAGGCGCCTCTCTCTTCCTCGCTGCGCGCGGCATCGCTGCCGATCTCCGCCGTGTGCGCCACTTGACAGAGATCAAGCATGCCGAGAAGGAGGACAAGATGATCAGTGAGGGTACAGAGGATGGTGGGCTGGCTCTTTCTAGAGAATTTCATTCTTCAAGAGACTGACCCTTGTTCCAGCCCTGAAACTAGACACTTTGTTGAAGCTCTCCGAGAGCACGAGTTATGATCTCCGTGCGGCGTATGACGACATCAAGATCCCTCCTCCATCGAAAACCAGCTGACATGTTCCCATAGTTCCTTGCGGATTATCGCTGAACGTTCTACAAAGGGCGAGACCCGGGACCTAATACTGCTGGACCTGGCAAGTAGGGACAAAAGTCGACGGAACAAAGCGCTCAGTGCCATGCACTTCCTGGTTTCCAATCGAGCACGTAAGGCTTCTCCTGCCATGGGATGATGTCGTTGGGGTGGGCCGGATGGGTGCTAATTAGCTGCATGCAGTGGCTCGAACCTCCGTATGTACTCGATTGAAAGACCTGGAGACCTACAACGCCCTCGTGGACTGTCTCTGCAACTTTCTTGAGGAGCATATCGAAGAGACATCAGCTACGGTATCCCCTATCTTTCCGAAAACGAGACCCGTGGGCGAGAAGAAGGCCTTGAGTACTCTCAATCTAATCCTACAAGAAAACATCCCCGCTGCATTGGAAGCCGGCGTCGTCAGTCGCTGGCTTGCTCGGTATCCGTTCCCTTGTGCCCTCTCGGAGCCGTCGCGACGGCAGGACGTGGTCATCCTCATGAAGACGTGGTGGTCCGATGATGCGATCATGAGTGCGATATTCAGCACCCTTTCATCTCACCCGGAAGGTACGAAGCAGCTACGGAAGTATGGCTTGATGGGCAGCCTGATAGAGGAGAACGACCAAGACGACGAAGACAGCGACGTATGGATGGTAGATGGGGAAGATACCGCTGGTTCCAGGCGAATTTCAGCGCGCCGTTTCACCGAACGCAGTTCCGAGGAGCAAGCTGTAAGGAGGCGGAGGAGGGAGGCTATGGTATTGAGTGATGGAGGACAGCCACTGGGGAACGACAATATTATCCAATTGCCTATTTCGGAATGATTGGAGCTCTTCTCTCACTCACTCACTCACACTTTTTTTTTTTTTTGCATTCGTACTACTAGACTACCAAGGACATAATCACGTTCATTTGGAAAGCAGAAGATGGTCCAGGAACCCCTGCCCATTGCTCATTATGCATCAATGATACCCTACAAGAAATACAAGATCGCTATTCTTTATTCATCGTGCAAAAATACAGAATATAGTTAATATCACAGGCCCATCCATGATGTCTTTGCAGCGTGATCGGCCTTTCTGCGACTGCTCTTGACCATGCCCAACGACTTCAATTCGGATAGAGCCCTATAGAACAGAGTCATGGTCATCCGTTCATCGCAACGATCCCCTTGCTCGCTCTCAAACACCGCGTAGAATGCATACCACAGGTCGTGGACATTCACGAGGCCGCCGGACTCCAGGTATAGCTGATACAGGATTGCCGTGGCGGGATGCCTTGCAGTGATTTTAGGTTCTGCTGGAGTCTCCGACATCGAGATCAGGTAATCAAACGGATTGGATAAGGCTCGCTCAATGGCAAAACGAGGCCGGGGGGTAAAAACCTCCTTCAACGGATTTTTCATATCGAGGAGGAAGGCTTCGTGGAGAACCAGGTCCTGTGGGCGGGGTAAACGTTCCGTCAAGAACGCCTGCATGAAAGCATGGAAACGGTTGACAAGCTTCGTATACTCAATTTCCTGCTCGGACAGTTTGATTTTGCCCTTGCTGAGCTTCACTCGCTGTTTGACAACGGTAGTCGCCACGACGGAATTGTGGCTGTCATACTCACTCCGAAGAGGTTCGGTACTTCGATCTTGCTCCAACAGGGTCTCCAGATCTTGCTGGACTTTTGCAAAATCCGAAAGATCCGTCAGGCTTCCTGGAAGAGCGGCAAAAAGCGCATTCAGTCTCACGGAGTCAAGGGTTTTCAGCATCATCAGGATGTCTCCCACCCAATGCGAACCAAGCAATTCCCCGGAAAGCGCGAGGATCGATAGATCTGATACACCGGTTCTTTTGGCGACATTGAGCTCCTTTAGACATAAGTGGATTACTTTGACGGCCTGGAACATGTCCCGCATCTTCTGCTGCCCAGCTCCAATGTGCCACAGACTCTGCCGAAGGAGAAACTGATCATCTTCGAGCATGTTGCGCACCTGCTGAGAATCCCCTTCGTCAATTAAATCTTCACAATATCTACTATGCAGTCAGCAAAGCAACAAACCAACACCAAGGAATCCTCCCACCTTCGAAATGACGGTATATTCCTGATTGCCTCACAAAGCTTGCCCGGTGGCAACTTGGACAAATCTTGATCATCCGCAAGGAGTACGGCCAGTGGGTTTGCAAAGAAATGCGACATATAGGCGTACTGGACAGCTGTTAACGACAAGTGAGTGGGTGCGAGAATGGGATGAAAGATACCTTGACCGTTCGACTGAAGGCCTCGGGTGTTTGAAAGAAGTCATTCGACCTTTCCAACAAGATATTGGTGATCTGGCACCCTATCCAGAATCGCCCGTCCTCCTCTGTCTGCAATCGCTCGTAAATGAGGTCAACACAGTTGCTTGCCTCGTGGATTTCAAAATATCTTCCCCGAAGCAATGCAACACTGGACCGTGGAAGCCTCCCCTCAAAAAGTTCCACGGAGGTTGAGATGCCGAATAATAGAGTGAAAGGGATGCGGTCGAGCCAGGAGCTGCAAGAGTTAGCTTCCAGCAGTAAAGAGTGGTCAAGGCTTTCAACCCACCTTAGCAGAGATAAAAGGTCCGTGAGAATGTTTGGATCAAAGGCTTCGCTATCCCGAAAGGCCAACACCAACTTCTTAACCTTCTTCCTTTTCACATAGTCCCCAAGTAGTTCGAGGTCGTAAGCAAGTGCCCGCGGACCCTGTTCGATTCTTAGTTCACTTCATTGTAAGTTGCCGGTCTTTATCGGGGAAGGACACACATCTCGGTCCGTTAGGAACGTCTGATAGCCTTCGTTGCCTTCTGTATTCGTAATGGCACCTCGAATGATATTTTTTAGCGTCGTCTTGAGGTTGGGAGCGTCTCCGGATTCCAGAACCACCACTCCACCGTCCGTCGCCGTGGTCAATTGGACATTGAGTCGAGTCAAAAGTCTACCAAGGGAGGAGAAGTTGGATCCGACGGTCAGCAATGCTGAAGGGATGAATCTGCCATAGCTGTCTCGATTTAGTTCGAACGGATTGTGCAGGGTTTTGGCTAGGGTATCTCTGCTTACGTCTGCGACGATGTCGACTTGACGAAGTGAGAAACCTTCTCGAAGACCTCCGAGTCGACCTCATCTAGCACTTTCTAGCCATTATCAGCGAACCTTCCTCGATCAACCGAGCTGCATTCCGCTTCTAACCTGGATTTTGACCTCTTGGGCCGACCACAGTTGTTGGTAAGCGCGGTATCGCCAGTCGACCGCGGTCGGGCTCTCATCCCCATTCAAGAGGGGGGCGAAGAGAGACGCGACGCCATCAGATTCCTTCTGTTGGGGGAATACCTTACGTCGCTTCGACGGTCGTTCTCCGTGGACTTTGGATGTGTCGGAAGGCCGGTAAATATACACACCCTAGATAGTGTTAGAGAACGGTCGCTGCACGGGGACTGATTCGCAAGACACCTGAGCTCCGGGGCCAACCTTAGATGAGGGGTGTGCCTCTGCTTCTGGCAGATCCATGGGTACCGCGGCCGTCTTGCCACAATGGTTCTATCGATTTTGATAAATTAATTGATTCATGGATTCAAACGTTGAATGGTCGAATCGAAGCCAGTTCAGGTTCATGTTCGCACTAAACCGCATCGGGCGGCAGTCGTCGACTTCCCTTCAAGAGCAAAATTTCTCTCGAACGCCGCCGACTTGGTCCCCTCGACGCCACCTTTGACTCTCTTTTCTTCACCCGATGCGATTATCGCCCACTCTTCATGCTCCGCCAGGCTGTTCAGGGGGCTCGGTGGTATCAGCATGTGGCCCGCGCAACCCCGTCGACTCCTCCGTCTCTTCCACGGCAACGTGCATTCACAGTGATAGCACCACGCTTGATCCATTACGGCGGTCCCAATGATAAGGTTCGATTTTACGAACAGGACACGCGTGGTAGTCAGAAGAGAAGGAGGGTGGACCCGGAAGCCGAGGACAATGCCGAGCAAGAAGGTGTGCAGGAGGAGCTATCGAAGTTGGATGAAGAGCTACAAATTTTGAAGGAAGGTCCCTATGGTCCCAATAGCCCGTTTATGATGTCTCTACCCGAGAAGGACCGGAATATTGCGCTAGAGGCGCTGCGGAAACATAAAGAAGAACAGGGGAAGGATGAGCCGGCGGCATACGATCTGAAGCAAGTGTTCGACGAGGAACTGGATGAAATCCTGAGGCAGGAATTCGAAGGTCTCGCGATGGAGGAGGAAAACTGGCAGTCCCAGGGGAAGACGAAAAAGAAATCGCCCAAGGCTGTCATCAGGCAGCCCTACGAGGTCGTGCCGAACCACTCGGAAAACCATGCCTACGTCGATAGATTCAACGATTGTTTAAAACGGGTCGAACACCATCCCCTCGACGAGCGACTGGGACAAGAGCTGTGGAAATGGTATCGTCGTTGTAAACAGGCAGTCCCAGACTTCGTGGAATCGATTCCCGACGAAGCCATGTCTCTGCTGTGGGATCCGAAGACTTCTGCGGAGTCGGCGACGGCTTCGCAGGCAGTTCATATTCAGACACTCGCGGAGGATGCGCTGTCCGTTGGCCGATCTCTCTCTACCCCCCATATGCTCTCTTACATCAAGTCGCTGCAGAATACGGGCAAAACGAAGGAGGCACTGGACCAGTGGGAGGCCCATCAAAGAGGGCTGTCGCAGAAGAAAGAAGACCTGGAAGCCTACTGGAAACTCGGGGTCCGGATCTTTTCAGCTGAGGGGGATCCTCAACGGGCTCAGGATATTGCCTTGGCCTTTTTGGCGAATGACAAGTCTCGCGAATCTCGAATCTTGATCCCGGTCATCCTCGCCTGGGGAAAAAAGCCAGGGAAAGAGGCAGCGGCCAAGGCGTGGGCGTTGTATTTGCAATTGAAAACGTTGCTGGAACAACACACAATGACCATGGAGGATTACGATCTCATCAGCATTGGGTTGCTGAAGGCGGGTCGGCTCAACCTCGCCATTGCTGTGTTTAAGGATATGATGGTATCCGGCCATGATCCGGCCAATGACTCGACTTCCCTCTACAAAGCCGCGGTAGGTCTGGTGGGTAATCTCCAGGCATCGAGCATCTCGGAAGGGGATGTGAATAAGGTGTCGTTGGCAACTTTGACAGTCCTACCGCGTCGGTTCCAGAACCGATTCTTCTACGCCAGCTGGATGAAGAAGCTAATCGGCATGGGGGAGGTGGACTCGGCGGCGATGGTGATCGAGCTGATGTACGAACGAGGAGTGCATCCGGATCCCAAGCATCTCAACGGCCTCATCGCCGCCTGGCTTCGTCGAGGGAACGCCGTTGCTCGGGAGAAGGCCGAACGACTGGGCTGGGCCATGATCCAGCGACGAATTGACACAGTCTGGGCACGATCCAATTCACCGGGAGAGTCGCCTCGGCCGAACCAGGACCAGGAGGTAGATGGCGCACGCATCCCCAGGTTCCTACAACGGCCGATGCCGTCGGCGAATATCGAGACATTCTCGATCCTGCTGCTCCATTACACGCGCAGGAGCGACGAAGGCATGACCAAGTACCTGGTCAAGTGCCTCCAGGATGCTCAGATCCGGCCGAATTCCTACTTCATGAACCACCTCCTGTACGCCGAGCTCCGGAAGCAGGACATCCAGTCCTTGTGGACCAAGTTCCAAACTATGTCCGCTTCGATCCAGCCGGATTTGGAGACATACGCCTGTCTGTGGGATTGCGGTAAACTCCAGTACGATCGAGGCCGCACCGCGTATGTGTCAGGCTTCCCAACCGCTCGCGCCCTCTACGCCGACATGATGCAATGGCACGCCCAACTATCCTCCCGTGCGACGTCCGCCGCGCGCGAAGAGTTCTCCAAAGAGCTCTACGACCAGATCGTCCGCTGTTTCTGCCTGTCCAAAGACCTCGCCGGCACCCTGGTCGTCCTCTGCTCCATGAGAGCCCTCTTTGGCTTCACCCCCGACGACATCACGGCCCGTGTGATCGTCCTGCAGGTTGCCCGCTCGGCCGGTGTCCCCGTGGACACGCCCAAGCGACGCCTGCGCCGTCTGTCGTCCACGCCGAAGAGTAAGGAGAACATCGCCCATGTCCACCGACTGGTGGAGCTGTTGAGCGAGCGCAAAATCTCGGCTCTCCAGGCGCGAGGACTGAGCCTCGACACGTTGGACCCTGCCGAACGGGAGCAATACCAGCTGGAGATCATGACGGATCTGTTGCGTCTCATCATGCAGCGTACCGCGGTCAATCCCAACGCAGTCGACGCCGAGATTGCCACCGCCGCGACGGAGATGGGTGTTTCAGGCATTGATCTCGGTGCGTCACTAGAGGATGATCACCTATTGTTGTAGCATTCCTTGCCTCTATCACTCTCTTTGTTGAGGTAATTGGCAGGAAGGTCGGCCCAATATGGCGCGCCTTTTTCTTTTTTTCCTTTTTTCTTGACAACCCTATGACACTAATGACCAAAGTCCATCAAGCATGTATAGACTGGCGTTTGTTTTTTGGTTTTTTTTACACTCGGACGGTGCGACTACGTGTATATACGACGAAAGGGGCTCTATGTACTGTACTATAGTGAGGCTATTCCACTCTTGGGCAAGAGGATTGGCAATCGATTCTGACCTTTCCTTCGTGGCACGGTAGCGTAGCAACATACGAACTTGATTTTCTACATAGCTTGAAGGCTGTTTTTCCCTTTCCATTTTAGTGCTTTCCCTCGCCGCTTTTGCTGACTGAGTAGACCCGAGCGCCCTGAGCTGATCACTAAGCAGGGGCTAAGCTAACTAAGGGGAAGCAGCCTAAGTGGGTAACCTTAATAAAATACACCATGCTACTAGTTTACCAGTGATTACACAGTATATCCTTTTATATCACTTTTACTATGGTGTGTTTTTTTAAGTCTTTGGAGGTGGGCCCACCTGTATGGTAATGCCGTATAAGACAACCATATAGTAATCTATATGATAGATCATTTAATAGCATTTCTTCTTATTCAACCGCCTTAAATAAGTAATTATGAAGCTATTCAGGGGCTAAGGAGCCCATCATATAATTAAATTATTTGCCTGACTGCGTTCCTACTTGTCTATCTAACTCCTACCTGCCTACCTGCTTGCCTACCTGCCTACTTACCACTGCAAAGATGCGGGGTCCATATCGCCCAGTTGGAGTACGCGTTCAAGCGCTTACTTTATAACATGCTGGTATAGAGCTTGAGCAGATTGAAGCTATTACTGGCATGCACCGGAATACGCTTAAATCTCTCGATAAAAGTGCGCGCGAGCGAGGTTTTCAACCAAATATTGATCCCCGAATCCTTGTAGAGTATGTGGAAGACGGTAAACGCACTGGTCGAAAGCCTATTGCAGAATCAAAAGAAAAAGCTATACTTGAATCTGTACGAAAGGACCGGAATGGTAGAGAGAAATCTTGTAAGATCCTTGCATTTGAAGTCTTTATTTCTTCATCAGTTTGGAAAATCCTGCATAAACATGGCTTTCATTCAGTTAAACCTACTACAAAACCTAGCCTCACTAACGAGCAGAAAAAAAAAAAAAAAAAGGACTAGAACTTTACCTCGCAACTGAGGAAGCTTTTGAAGATTCTTGTATACGCCACCGCTGGAAGGGAAAGTCAGATTTTATGGTATGGGGTTGTTTTACATGTGATCAAAAAGGCCCTTTGCATATTTGGAAACCAGAGACAGAAAAGCAAAAAAAAGATGCTTTAAAAGAGATTGCGGCTTTAAACCAGGAACTAGAACCTCTTAAAAAGGAAGAATGGGAGTTAAACACTTCTCTTGCAAGAATGAAGCTTCGTACAGGTGAAACACCAGGCAGAAACCCTACATGGAATTGGACAAAAAAGAATGGCAAGCTGGAAAGAGAGTCAAAAGGAGGAATTGACTGGTATAGAACCAAAAAGTATGTGTTCTTTTATAAAGAAAAATGGTATAATATCTAACTTTTCCTTCCTTTTAGGAAGTCCCTAAACCAAAGCTATTACCCTTTGCAAAAGAATGCATGATCGAGCGTCCAGACACTTTTGTATTAGATGATGGAGGCCCTGCTCACCGTCATCACTATCAAAAATTATATTTAATTGCCACAAAGTTCAAAAACTTTTAAAACGGCTAGGAAACTCTCCAGACCTTAATGCAATTGAGTGTGCATGGCCATGGCTTAAAAGACGTACAACATCTAGAGGAGCTCCGCGGGATAAAAAAACAGCAGAGTCTGCATGGATACAGGCCTGGAATGAATTGCCTCAAGAGAATATACAACATTGGATTGAGCGTCTTGTTAGACATATTCAAGAGGTTATCCGTTTGGAAGGAGGAATTAAGTATCTTGAGGCCTGTATTAAAAAATCATTCTTCGGAGAATGTGCCTCTTGCAATGAGACATCGCCCAGGGTGAATCCCGCCATTTACGAGGAAACCTGGGACCAACATAGTTCAACCATTATAAAAGATTCGGCTCAGTTTGACGGGGCATCAATTGAGTCGATCTCTGCTCTTTTGAGGCCTGGGTGGATGCGCAGGGCCAGCGTGACTCCTTAACAAATATGGAATGTATGTAAAGGGGCGAAAATGCCTTGCTATCTAATGGCTAGATATACACAAAGAGGAATCGCTGAGAGGAAGAAAGTAAAAGCGAAGAAGCGTGCGTTCTTATACTACGAGGAGTCATGTGACGAGATGAGGATGTCCTTAGAGAAAATTAATAAGTTTGACGAGGGTGTTTATCGCGGATAAGATAGCAAGTGCAAATAATTTAGAACGTTTATGTTTCTACTTCACCTCTTATAAGTGTGCCTTAACGCTGCTTGTTTCATATGTTTTTAAATATCTCCCCAATATAACTTACTAGGTTAAATATCATGAGGGCCACTGGTAAAATACAATAGCTATTATTAATCGCCAATGCTGGTCCAAAATATTGCCAGGTTCCTGGCATGGCTGTCATTAAAAATATCAATATATAACTATATATCTAGCAATATTAAATACCCACCGCATATAGTATTTCCTTTGGGCCTCCGTTCTGTGCTGGAGGATATCGCGTCTGATCACCCATCGCAGTGCGGTGTAGACGTGGTGATACATTTTGTGCGTTTAGTGACGACAGACTCTTGCGTCGGGGATAATACTGTGGGACCATTTTAGACCAGCATTAACAGATAGTTAAAGGGCTATACAGAGGGCATCGCATCTGCTATTTAAGCTCATCTTTATCCTCTTCTCTATCTCTAAACATTGCATTAGGTCTGTAGCTACTAACCAACAAGTAACTGCTGCCTTCCCTGCCACCCAGAGGACTGCAGAAAGGGTACTTTCAGATCCCTATACCGTCGCACCGTCTTCCCGCCACTTTTTGCAGTGGGTATTGGATGTTAAGGTAGAGTTAAGAACACGGCTTGTAAACTATGGCTCTACAAAACGGATTCTCAGGGAACATATTGTATGGAGCACTAACAACGAGAACATGTCATACGGATGAGTTATGGTGAAGTCTAGTTGGATGGATAACAGGGGAGTAATTAAAGGCTTCGGAGGTAGAATTCACGGTGCATATTTTCGAATTGTATAGGAAGGCAGGATACCTAAATGGGTATGGGTATTTAGAAATTCTTAATCTAACGCCAGTGCCACACTATCCGAGGAAAATACAGGAGAGGCATTGAGCGGTGATATGTGATGTGAAATACTCACCGAGCAAGTCCCTGTGTATCCTCATTAAAGCGGCCGCATTCAGAAGGCGAAAGTTACAGTGACTCTAGAAAATCAAGTTCGTAGAGTAACATATATTCCTTGATTTTCTGAACCCTGTGCAGAAGTCGATCGGTAGTCATAGATACACGCGTTAAATAGAGATATCAAAAGTTGAAAATAGTGGATATATTTCAGACAATAGGTATTGCAGCCTGGTGACTCCGCAAAAGTACAACCCAAAGGTCAACAAATCTAGTACTCCGGGGTTATATCGTGGGGGGGAGGGAACAGGGGAGAAGTAATAACACATCAACAGAAGCTCCAGGTCATGAAACGAAATAAACAGAAAAGTTCGTAAACTCGACTTATTTCTTGCCCTTCTTTTTCTTTTTGCCACCCCCTATATTCCCTGAGCCTCCATTTTGCTCAACAGCCTCCACCAAAACCGCTTCGTCATCGCTCCCAGGCACGGATGACGGTGCGCCCGATGACTCTGGGGTTTTCGTCGCTGGGGTCGAGCTGTTGGTAGTAGTCGGGGTTGTAGTCGACGCCGGCTCGGCGTGTTTCGAGGACTCTTCGGCGTCCAATTCCTTCATGAAGCCCTCCTGAATGCTCGCCTTCTTGCGATCCCACCACTGCCGCTCCTCGTTGAGCTTAGATTGGTAATTCTCTACTCGCTCACGGTATATCACGTTGTTCATCATCTCGTTTGCGGATTGGAATATTGTTTGGCCCCAGTTGGGTACATAAGCGTTGGCCTGCAGGTCATTCCGACCCCAGTTAATAATACGAACGACAACGGGAAGAGAGAGAGAGAAAGAAGAATACACACCTCCGAAACAACATCTCGAACTTCGTCCTCCATTTCCTTTTCCGCTCGCTCAAACCGCTGCCACAGATCGTCACCCACACTGCCTCGTTGCAGTAACATGGATAGGGCCTGCTTTTGACTGCGTAGCGCCATGACACGCTTGATATCCTCCGCGGCGCGTCTCAGGAGAGCCGCTTTGAGGACCGTCTCGGGCACAGCAGGGGCCTTTTTCTCCTTGGAAGACGCAGGCGGGTCAAGATGAAGAAGGGAAAAATAAATATCTCGTTGCAGGTGTGGTGGGAACCATGGTTCCAGTGAGAATGCCTTTTCTGGAATTTCACCAATCTGTTAATATCCTTAACCCTGAGCCGGAGACTATGGCAGACACCATCGACTTACGGGCTTTGCGCTTGCGGTACAACGAGGAGAAGGTCGCCAAAGAGCCAATAAGGACGCCCAGGTAGGCGAACGGCACGGCGAGGGTTAACCAGTTCACCATTTCGGTCTGTAGAATGAAAATAAAGAGCGAGAGGAGAGGATGAGGACTACAGAGTCAAGTTGGCGGGGATGAAGCAACAAAGCTACTTCGGGAAAGGCCAGCCTGGTGTCTTGGCCGTGTCACATGGGCGGTCACGGGTGGATTAGTGATCCGGACTAAGGTTGGCAGTATGTATCCTCAGGCTATGTACGACAGCGAAGACAATGCAAACAGAGAAAAGAAAAGGAATGGAATGGAATGGAATAAAATAATAGAAAAAGGATGAAACTAAATCGGGGAAAAAAAAACAAAAAACAAAAAAAAGCTCAACACCTCCACCCAATCCTGAATATCTGCACAATGACAGCCAATCAACAAAACCATATGTAGACAAAATAAACTCGGTTAAAAAAGCTATAGAGAAGGGGTGTGAGAAAAGAAAAGAAAAGAAAAGAAAGAGAGGGAGAGGGAATAAGAAAAGGAAGATCGTTATCATTTCAACAGGCATCAGGTCACCATACACGACCCAAAAAGGGGCCCATCTAGCAATGGCGTCAATACTCCAGCTGGTCCCTCGTCTTCTGACTCATGGGACCAATATCCTGCATGGCTTGCATATCTTCCAGCACCTCATTGAACGTGTCCTGAATCCCGACTGCCACCCGGCTGCGGTTCCACTCCCCACGCATGCTCCATAGGTAATCCATTAGGCTCGTGTTGATCTGCTCCAGCTGTTCTACGGAGCAGCCACTGGTCCGTTGTGCAAGCTGATCATGCAGATCCTGGATATAGTCATGATCGAGCACCAACTTCGGCGACAGGTCCTCGTTATTCAGCAGACTCTGCAGGTTCGTAGCGACGTGCGGCTTCGCGGAAGCGTCAAAGAGGGGCACAGGAGGCTGTGACTTCGGAGGGGGGCTAAAATTACTGGCATGGTGCTCCGAGTGGGAATCGGTATTGCCTGCCAGTGAGTCCCGCGGACGAGGGGACGGCTGGCTACTGTCGCCTTGCTGCGTGTCTGGGAGATGTTCTTCCTGCGACACGCGGTCCGGGTACTGAGTGAGGTCTGGGAAGTCGTTCCGCATCCCGTGGCCCGCCACAGGACTCTGTGTATGATTCCGAGGGGCAGGCAACTGTTCCGACGACTTCTTGTCGGACGTTGTCTGGGTGGTGGACGCTTCGTTGGTGTAGTCCTGTGGTTGAGATCCGGGGGCCATGGGGGTCACTGGCCCCTTCTGGGACAGACTCGACAGGCCCGACTCCCGCCGCACTTGCTGCGAGGGTGCCGTATGAGAATAAGGGGGTTTGGGCTGGGCCGAAGGGCCGAAGGAGCTACCCTGTGTTTCTCTCCCACCGGAGTGATCTTCGGAATTTGTCATATAAACATCTCCATCGCCATCCGGGCGAGACTCATGGGACCCATTGCTCATCACGGCCTGGGTGCTCAGATCGTTCAGATCCGATCCTCCGCCCTCGTGATATCCGTTGGTCAAAAAGCTCACGTTGGAGCGCCGTGTCGGCGTCACCGGTCTGACTGGTCCGTCGGGCATCATGACCGGGAACGATTCACCTAAGACGACAGGGCCGGAGGACGGGCCGGAGTCTGTATTACCGTGTGGCACGTTGTTGGTCACTGTGTGGCCCACAAATGCCTGTTCTTCCTCTTCAGCTTCCTTGGCCTTTTCCAACGCAATTTTCTCCCTCTCCAACTCTCGGAGGTAGACATTCTCACATTCCGTTACCAACTGCGGCTCAGCCTGTTCAATGGTGGCAATGTCGACCTCGACGTTGGAGAGGAGCTCGTTGGCCCGGAGCAGTCTTTCCTGGTCGCCAAGTTGCCGTGCATCCTTTGTCATTCGCTTGATATCGGCTAGGAAATCCTTGGGTCGCTTGTAGTATCCATTGGACAGACGCTTCTCGATCGTCACAATGTCCATGTTGTAGAAGAACTTGCTCGAAACAGTCTCCCGAAGCCCCAACACGCCATGCTTGTCGTGAGCCTTCTCAAATGGCCGGAAAGTGGTCCGTTGCTCAATTGGCAAGTCGCTCGTCACAATATTTGGGTTATCCTCCTCCCACAGGTACCGGATTTGGGACTCATCTATCACGCCGGTTCTGAATCTCTTGTATTTTTTTATCTGGTCCATGATAGGCTGGATCCTGATCTTCAGAAGGTTAAGGGTTTGGTGGTCTTTCTTTTTCTGAGCCTTCCGCTGTTCTTTGGACAGTGGCACTCCCGTCTTTGGCGCCGGCGGCGGCGCAACCTCCAAAGTCTCGAGTTCCCTTGGCCTGCGGTTCTCAGGGTCGGGAAAATGCGCCGGTGACGCCTTGATATACTCAATAATCTTCTTGAAAAACTCGAGTCGCGCAGCATTGCCGGGTGCTTTCAGATCATAGAAATTTTTCTTCGAGAACCCGAATAGGTTCCTCAGTAGCCCAGCGTCCATTGCATCGCCGCTCGACTCTTGGACTCCCAGCAGCAAAACAGGGTCTGTAGGAGGAATCGACCGCAGCAGTCCCAGAAATGTAGATATAACCGCCTGTCCGACTGTTTCTGTCCAGCTCTGGAAGTTAGGAATGTAAATCACACTTGGCCTGTGTCTTTTCACTTCTGCAAAGAGCTGTATGACGGTCGCTTCCGGGGATCGAGTCGAATCACTGAGGAGCGTGGGGAGGTCAAAGGACTGGACATGTAGCCCCTCGAAGTAATGCAACAGGGCGGCTGCCAAATACTGTTGTCCCATACCCAGAGGCCCACGAAGGAGCATCCTAGGGCGGAATACTCGCGACCGATCGAAATCCTGCTGCATCTGCTCATGTCGGAAACTTCCAGAATCCTCGGGCTGTTCAAACTGTGCTTCCTCCAGAGCGGTCAGTCGCTTCCTCTGAGGAAGGATCTCGGACACCAAGCTTCGAATTTCCATGAGAGGTTGGCGTAGCAAGGGCTCAACTTCCTTAGGCAGCGGCGAAGCACCAGAGGAGGTGGACCTCTCGGATGAGGGAACCATTTTCTTAATCGCCAACATAAAATCCTTGGGGGTGACATCAATCTTCTTCGGATCAATGAGAAGTTTCTTGTCGGATTTGTAGATCTGGGGGTACCGCCTCTGCACAGCATTCAGGGCAGCTTCGGTGCAAAGAGCACGGAGATCGGCACCACCATAGCCCTTGGTGATCTCGGCCAGCTCATCTTTGATGTCACTGGGAAGGGGAGGATCCCAGCCTTTCGTGTGGATATCTAGAATAGCACGACGGCCCTCAACATTGGGTAAGGGGAAATAGAACTCGCGATCAAAGCGACCAGGACGACGAAGAGCAGGATCAATAGAGTCAGGTCGGTTCGTCGCTCCAATAACAATCACTTGGCCTCGGCCATCCATGCCATCCATCAGAGCCAAGAGGGTCGAAACAATCGAAGCATGGATCTGTTCCTGCTTGCTTGACCGCACAGGTGCCAAACCTGGTAAGCTGGAAGTCAGCGGTAGTCTATACCTCTATTCTGAGAAGCAGGGGCTACTCACCGTCAATTTCATCGAAAAAGATAATGCTAGGCTGTGTTTTGCGGGCCTCGTCGAAGAGCAGCCGGAGCTGCCTCTCGGCCTCGCCTACCCACTTACTGAGCGCATCTGCTCCTTTTCTCATGTAGAAGGTAACTTTTCGACCCTCGGAGCTGACACTGTTCGCCAATGCTCTCGCCAGTAGTGTTTTACCGGTACCAGGCGGTCCATGGAACAGGACTCCTCTCGGGGGCACAATATGAAATCGTTGGAAAATCTCTGGGTATAGCAATGGAAGGGAAACCATCTCCTTCAGCTGGTCGATATGGCCCTGAAGGCCGCCAACACTGTCAAAATTAACGGTCATGTCGACGCCCAATGGATCAGCATCGGCTAGCGCCTGCTTATCCTTGACCTTGCCAAGGTTTGCCGGTGTCCCTGACAGGCCCTGCGCAGCGTCGGCAGCATGAGTCTGCGTGTTAACCAAGGCAGCACCGGACGGTCCCAGGGCAGGGCCGGTCGCGCCTTTAGGATGTTGCATCACTTCATCATCGCTACTGTCGCTGTCCACACCCCCCGTCGCAGCCGGCGCTCCAGGTGGTGCCAGAATCGCAGATGGTCCGCCGCCTCCGAAAGGCCCATAGGTAGGGAAAAGGGTGCGCTGCCAGCCGCCTCCTCCGCCTCCACCGCGGCCACGGCGTGAAGGGGACTCGTTGACTTCGTTTTCAGCCTCCTCGATGGGCAGGATGAGATCGGGTCGGATAATCCGGTAGTCCACATCCTTTCGACTACGCCGAGGCTTCTCATAGACAATATCCGTCTGTAGTCTCCTGCGCGATCGACCACCTTTGAGATCCTCAAGTTCTTCGGCAAGCTCCTCCGCGATATCGGCTCCTGCCTCGGACTGTCCACGAGATCGAGATACCCTTTTACGCAAGCCGGGACGTCGCCCAGCGGTACTATCCTCTTCCTCCTCGTAGCGAGCTTGGCTTGCCTTGCGCGGCGAAGCTTGTGATTTGCCTGGCTCCGACAGCTCATCATCGTTGGACTCGTCCTCTTCAGGTTCGAAATCACTCTCCTCGTCCGCCTGTCGCTTCCGTTGAGAGCTCTTTGGCTTCTTGCGGCTGGATCGATGAGGTTGTTGTTGTTCTGCTTCCTCATCTTCCGGTTGCTCCGTTTCCTCGACTGGTTGACTTCGGCTCGGTCTATTTCTTCTTCTCGTTACCGGGCCTTCGTCTTCATCATCATCATCATCATCATCACCACCACCACCATTGGCCTTTGCCTCCCCGTTTTCAGATTCAGGCACGAACCCTACATCAGTGTCGACCGCTTCTTGCTCACCGCTGGCAGCAGCAGTGGCGGGAACTCCTTCTTCGAAACTGCCCTGTACGTCGCTCTCCATTATCTCCAGCTGGGACCCTCTGATCTCCATTGTCGTTTCTTCAACGTATTCCTCCTGCTTTGCCTGGGGTTCATCTTCTTCATTCACAGTAGGAGTTCGTTTAGTTGCCTGGGATCCACGGCGGGTCCGTCGTAATACTTCAGCTTCAGGACTACGCGTGCCTCGCTCGATCATCTCCACATGCCGCCCCGAGTTCGTTAAAGCGTAGATGTCCTCTGACGGGCCACGGGTGCGCCGGGTCATCCGCCGATTACCTTGGGTATTGTCCAAATGTGGTTGTTTCTTGAGAGCGTTGCCGACTTTCAATTTTACCAATGTGCTCTTACGCTTCATAGATGGAGATCTCGGTTTCGAGTCGTTGTCATCTTCGTCGTCGTCCTCGATGGCGTCTTCAATGCTACTGGAGTCGTCTTCATTGTATACCGGCCGATTCGTAGCGGCTCTGCGAGCGACTAAGCCTCTAGCATTCCTCTGAGCGTTTAGGTCTACTTCCTCATCGGATTCCGGATAAGATAGTTCATCCCCGTCGCTCAGGAGGTCGTCATCCGATACGATGTCATCATCGGAATCACGACGAGCCCTTTTCTTTGCTGGTCGGGACTTCTTTTTTGGTTTCGATCTTGAAGCAGAGCGTCGGGATGAGCGTATGGGATGGTCACTGTAGTCATCGTCGTCCGAGTCGGACTTGTTGGCCAGCTCTTCGAGGGAACGTTTGTGACGGGCCATCGTGACGCAACGGGCTGGGCTAAGAGACGGATTCCTGATTTCGTTAGATTTATCGGCATGTTGGTTTCCACGGAGAGTGAAGCAACGGTGACAGATATAAATTGCGTCCGACGCAAACAGACCTCTACCACTACCAAGAGCAAACACAAAAGAAGGCGGGGCTTACCAGTCACAAGGAGAATAACGCACAGGGTTACTTCTTAGCAGCGATAGAATTCTTTTAAAGTTAGAGAGAGAGACCCAAACAGACACCTCCCACTCCAATCAGGCAATGCCAGCGTCTTCATGAAAGAAAATCAGTGAGCCTCGGAATCCCACCCTACAACGTCAAGCATCAATGCCGAGAAGGACCCCGATTGGCCGATGATCGCTAGGGGAGCGATCTGGTATACCCGGGGGGGCGTAGGGGAGCAACGGCGAAGCGCAAAGCGCAGGGCCCCGGGGGGACAAAGCAACGGGGGAAAACAGACGCACACACGATCGGGAGCAGAGAACGCGTCGCATGCAGTGGGTTAGGGGTAGAATTGGAAAACGGGATGCAAATTCGATGAACCGACAAATGACAGAACCCTAAGACTCGAGAAGCACACAGCGAGGGTGCTGGTGGACAAGAATGACAATGATAATGCGGCCGTGGGACTGGAAGATCGAAGGGCGGAAAGACTACTAAGACCAAGACGAGCCTCGCGCTTTTTGTCCCTCTTCAGCCTTCAGCCACCAATGCATGCGCCACCGCTAGTCCGCGGGAACCCGATGGTGCACGTGCCCTGAACCGCGATTTGTCTCCACGACTGCTCTCCTTTTTGGCATTTTTTGGCGGGCCCGACAACAGCTCCGTCTTTCGTGTTTAACGATCCCATCATAATTGTCTGCCCTCCCCCCAGACACCGCGTAGAAACCCCCCGAAAGATATCTAGTGGAAGACTTTCCACCCTGATCAACGCATGCAGAGTCTTTTTGGACCCGGTTTTCACCGGATCGCGCGGGTATCCGGGCCCCTCGAGCAGGAGGTCTCCGATGGATGAAGAGAAAGAAGGAGAGGAAGTCAGGCACATCGGCCCTTCCCCAGGTTCTCGAAGCTTATCGCCATTTGGCTCGTCCCCGCTGGTGGGAAATCTGGATTCGATAGTTAGTTAGCTGTCATGTGATGCTGAGTCATCTGTTTGCATTTCATGACTATGGAGTATTCAATTCTTTATTCTTTCTTTGATACTTAATTGTGTTAGTATTACTATTCTTATTTTCTTTTTCTATTAGTGGCTATTAGTCACTATAATTATCATTCATTGTAAATTAAAAATGTATAGGTAACCGCCAGAACATACATAGTGAAATAGAACCACTAACCCCTTCTGGCAACCGGCTTAAAGCGGCACTGATGGCATCAAATCGTGCGGCAAGACTCCGTTCCACTTCATAATACTCCCGCTTGTACTGCGTCCTCTGTAGATTCAACCTCTTTTTTAAAATTTTGTCAGCTATATGACATATCAGCCTGGATATTAATTCCATTCAGAATGATATCTCGGGCTATTTCATCCCGTCTCCCAACATCCCATCCTCATCATCTTCTGCGCACCAGGCCCTTCACCAGCTCCGGTCCCCGATGGAATTCCTCAAATGAGACTAGCTCTTTCAAACAAGGAGTAAGTTAAACTCTATAGATAATGGATTGGATTGGGTTGGAATTTATATATTTGGATTCTTCCCTTCCTTATCCTTTCCTTGACTTGACACACTGACCAACTTTAACAGCTGGCCCGGTACAGGATCTTTGCGGGCCCCTTTTCCAAGGTCTTCCTCGGTGCTATTTTCACATATCAGGTTCTCTACTGGACGTGGCTGAAGCTTGAAATGGACGAATCTAAATATGAAAAGAATCGTAGGTTACCCTGCTCATCTCCCGGAGGCTTCACCTGACGAGTCGCAGAAGAGGTTGGGGCACTGGAACAGAAGGCCCGGGAATTAACTGCTACTTCTACTTCTCAGAAATAAGGGATATATATAGCCCTATCTTCTTTCTTCTTCGTCTTCTTTTGTCTTGAAAGTCCCCGCTAAATGTATTGTATACCCTTGACAAATTTCTTTCACATATATACTAGGGTATCGGCCGTTCTTATAGAGTATCACGCTAGAGTTTAATTGACCATCTCATGATTCATCTAAATATCCATGAACACATTCCTCAATACATTCGCAGATCTAGTCCTAAGGTTCCTTGAAGTTAACGCGTCAAACAGGCCACAGCAAAGCCTGCATCCACCATTCTGAACCGTAAACTGAAGTCCTGTATATACATGGCACGTGTAAAGTCGACAGGTTCAAAGTGGATCTATAAATAATCAATGCAATTCATAGAGCGTCAACTTCGCCTCTCCATGTTATTTAACGACACCTAAGGCTGTCCGCTGCATGGCGAGATCCTGGTTTTGGATCTCTTCTCTATATTCAAACTCTGGTCCCCCACGTCATAGTAGAGTTCTAGGGCTGGCTGGGGGGTGGAAATCTTCCGCTTCCGCAAATTCGTCGGCCCTGTTGAAGGATAGAGCGTGATAGATGACGACCTGTCTGGAAGACAGTCCTCGAACTGTTGAAATGGGAACCTCGGAATATGTTGTTGTTTCACTACAGCCACTTCGTCTTGCAAGCCATCGCTGTCTGAATGGTAGATACTGCTCTCAGAGTCGTCGTCACTGTTGTCTTCTACCGCCGGCTCGCTGTCGCCTTCATTTGTATCCGTCATGGCTCTTGCCTTCTCTTCTTCTCGCTCTCGGTCCTTGGTCAAATGTCCAGATGGGAGTAACCAATCACCAATCCTTTCGCCCTTCTTGAAGTGTTCCATATCGATGTGGTTAAAACGTTCATTCCAAGCTGCAAGGCCCTGGCTCTTGAGTGGGACGATATTCCGGCAGAAACCGCACCAGAATTGCGATTGCCCATTCCGTCCGATGCGGTTTTTGCAGATTGCCGCTCGCACTTCTTCCTCGCCTGCGTGATGGTACCTCTTCAAGTGCTGGACGTATACCTCCTGCCGATAGAATAAGCGAGCGCACTGTAAGCCGCTTTGCGTGGCATCCTGCAGTGTACAACGCCAACTCTGTAAATGAAAATGTTGGGAGTTCTCGTGGCGCTTCCAGTCGGCTTTGCTACCGAATGTCTTGTTGCATTTGTGAAACGTGCACCCGTACGGCCGTTCGTGACGCTTTTTATGTTTTCTTTGATGGCGAGGTCAGAAACATCCTCCACTAATGAGGGAACAGAGAGCCTTACTTCATTTCACAGCGCAAGCGCGTTTGTTTCGTGCAGAACTCGCACTGAATCCATCCTTTCTTGTCTGGTTCACCATCGAGAGTCGTGTGGGGGCTAGCCTGAGTGTTGTCCGAGGTGCCCGACAGTTGATCCAATGCCGCAGACAGGATTTTCTGTAATACTTCTCGTTTTCGGTCGGACAACTCAGCACTCGGGGCAATCATTTCATCTACATCCTCGGCTTGCTGGCTTCTCCTTCGTTGGTTACTGTTCATTATTTTAGTCATGGCGTTAATCATATTGACAGCCGCCTCCGCTATCATATCCTCCATTTTTTCATTAGGATTTCCACGCTGGGTCGACATCGATGCCGCTTCTTCCGGCTTGGGATCCATTTGGGTGGTCTTCCCGGTGGAGAAGTCGGTGAGCGACTCTGTAGAGGTGGATCGCCGCGAAGTGCGATTATAGTCGAGACCATGGTTGGTACGGAAGCCTTGGTCACCTTGGGGGGTCGAGGGACCGAAAGGAGGGGCGGGCACGACCGAGCCGGTGTCGTCCAGTGTAATTTCAGCTGCGGCAATGCCTGGGTTGAGTCCTTCACGTGCTTTCAGAGCAGATACCATTTCTGAGAAACGCTCGACGACGGACGGTGACATTTCCTGAGGCTTTACGCAAGTGTCATACCAATCTTGCGATCTAAACTATGTGGTCAATGTACAGTGCCTTGCCAGACTACCAGGGGGAGGAATAAGACAGAACTAACTTCTTCAGTAACTCTTCAGTATCTTCATCATTATGCATCCTCGTAAGGTGTTGACGAAAATTGTCCAACCGGGGCCATTTCTTGTCCTTGCGTGGACAGTCGTGTCCGAAACACATATAGAGTATTTTGGGGCCCCGTTCGGGCTCTTGCTTGTGGACACATTTCTTGTGCCGAGCCAGATCGTTGATCGTACCAAAGCCTTCTTTTCGAGTGCAGTGTGGCTCGTCGCACTTAAACAATTTTCGATGCCTTGCTTCGTGCTTTCTGCGGCGAGTAATCAGCCGCTTGTAGCCCCTTCAGGCACAGGAGAGGAGCGGGAAGTGTACCTTTTATCTGAGGGGCATTTGCCCGTCCACGGACAACCCGGATAATCACACTTGATAACATCGTGACAGATAAACGACGGCGACCCAGTCCCATCCCTGATGTCGATAGATGTTTCGTTGTACTGGGGAACGTTGAGGTCCCAGGACGCGATCTTATCCTCCGGTTCGGATTCATGAGGCCCTAAGAATGGGCTGCAGGTGGGCTCTAAAGCGTAGGATGATGTGGTCACTGAGCGTGTGGTGCAGCTGTGAGTTCCGTAGCCTGAGTCGGATGGATGGATTCCGTTGTAGTGGCTCTCGTTCTCAGAAAGAGTACTGTGCTGCCCGGTGGAATATCTGCGGTCATATACACTAGCCTGCTGCGATTCACTCATACGACGGGTGGGGAAGGCCGGTGGGTTGGCTGGAACTCCTGTTACCTGCAGCGGATTCCAAGCATCTTGATTGTTGGTGAACCGCGCATGAGGATACTGGGGATAATCGAAGTGATGAGAAGGCGACGTGGGCTGATTGTGATATGGGGGCCACTGGTTTAAGATAGATGCGTGGTTGTGAGGCAGGACCCCCGGCTCTGAATCGAACTGGATACCGAGGAAGGAAGCCGGGTCTCCCAGGGCGAGATCGGACGACATTGTCATCCCGTCCGACTGCACGTCAAGATGCGATGGCAAGGATGTCACCCGGGTGCCCATGATTCCCTGTAGCACATCTGCCGAGCTATCCCAGGTAAGGTGGTGGGAGGTTGAATCCTAGATGGAAGAAGCCAGATCCATTAGCGCTATGGATGCCCTTCCCCAAGATAGGATATCACCGAGATTCTGAACGACGTACACTCATAGCGGGAACCGCAGGAAGCAATGGCGCGAAGGTTCGCTGAGTGCTGGGATTGCCATGCAATTTATCAGAAGACAATGAACAGCCGGCGTAGCGTGTTGACAGTTGCGGAGGTTAGATGTAGATATATACTTGGACGGAGAAACGGAGATGCAAGCGGCTGAATCTCGCAGGGATTAGATGTTACGACAGCCAGCCCTTAATCCATTCACCTGTTTGCTTGTGTTTCTTTTTTCCTTGTTTTGTGTTTTTTTTTTTTTTTTTTTTTTTTTCCCTTTTTCCAAGCCTTCTTCCCAGGGTCCAAATTTGGTCTTTCGGTCCGTCGGGGAAGGACAGAGGAAAGCAAGATACGAGAAACAAGATTAGATCAAGCCACACTGTGTCGCAACCCCCGCCAAGATAAGAATATCAATAATAATATAAGAAGGTAAAAAAAAAAAAAAAGGTAAAAAAAAACAAACGATGATGAGGAAAAGCAACGAACAACAATATTATATTTAGATCATGATCGTCCACTCCTTGGGCGATGACCGACAAAAGGGGGATGGGCGGGAGAGTCAGGAAGTAGTAGTAGAAAGACCAGATCTAAAAGGACGCAATTTCGAAGGACCAAAGGGGAAGACGCAGCGATAACTAGGTAGGAAAGAGAGAGGATGATAAATAATGATCGACTGATGCTCACCCTCCTTCGTCGGATCCTCAACCCCACGCGATAACGTGTGCAAGGAATGATGGGTGGATGGGTCGGAAGTCAGACTGCACTACCGAGATACTTGTAGATCAGTGGATAGTTGACAGGAGAGCAGAAGTAAGACCCCACTGGGTTGATATGTCCCACGTCAGATCGGTCCTCACAAGCAAGTGAGCTAGCTAGCTAGCTACTAGCTTCCCGCTATATTGCAAGCTGGTAGTTCTCCCTAATTCTTTCTCCGTATGTACTTGGTCGAGATTCCCTTGGCAGTCAGTCACCAGAGACCACTCGACACCGGCTGTCATTTGATCATCCGTATCCCTAGCAGCAGCCACGGAGCTGTGTGTGTGAGAGTTGCATATATCGTGAGCTATTGTCATTTGTTGCTGGGCTGGCACCCGCAGATCAGCTACGTGGTTAGCTGCAGACGACGATTGACTGCGCTGTGAGGAGAGAGGGTGCTCTCTTGGCGACCCCTTTCGGTTTATTTATTTATTTTTTCCCTGCAAGAAACCGGGGAAGAAGGAATGAATCAAATCGTATCTGTATTTTCCCGTCCAGGAAGACAATCCAGAGGCGGGAGACTGCGTCGAGGATTCGTCATGAAGAGAAGGACGCGAGACGAGGACGTAAGGTGGTGCTTAGCCACCCATGCAGACTGGGAAAATCACAGAAAAAAACAAATAAACCTGCAATAATCCATCCGTCACTTACGTACAAAGCGTGGCAGTGCCTGTAAGGAATGACGGAGAGGATCGAAGGAATGGCTAAATGATAGACTGAACGATTGAAGGGCCAAATGGCGATCCGGGGCGTCGATCGTCTGAGAGAAAACGAACCTCAAATTCAGCCAAGGAATCCTATCCTACAGATTCATCCCTTTCTTTCCCCGGGCAGAAATAAGTAGGATCGATCCTGGCAATGTGATGTCTCATGTTTTGCTTTTCTTTCTTTTCCTTTCCTTTTTTTTTTTTTTTTTTTTTTTTCCCTTCTTCCCCTTCTCTCTTTCTCCCCCCTGACAGGTACTTTGTCTGCTGCTGGCTTCCCTGACTCCAATCACATCTACATGGGCCTTGTCCTCATCCCAACGTGATGATGAAGGTATGAAAATAGGAGTATGGAGTACGGAGACTGAGGGAAAGATGGTCGGGGCCGGAACATTCGGCATGGATTCTATCATTGGTCGGATCTCCAGAGAGATGGCAGGAAATAGAGACACAGGTACGGAGTACTTCCTCATGCATACAAAGAGAAAAGAAAAGAGGAGAGGAAATCGTACAGAACCTTACACAACAAAACGACCAAACCAGAATGCCAATGATTTCAGGAATGCATGCAATGCTTCGGACCACGTAGGGGAACGGTTCAATGGGTATATAGATGCGATACTCCGTAGATGGGTTGAACCGGAACAGAATTGAAGGAAAGAAGGGGAATCCGAAACATGACCGCCATCAGGTGGCTGATACGGGAATGAGTTACAAGAAAAACAAAATCCAACCCCCCTCCTTCCTTCCCCTCCCCAAAAAAGAAAAGGAAAAGAGAAAGTGTTCATCATAATCCTAGCTAGGGTATCATGTACAAGCAAGTTCCAAAAAATCAAAGAAAAAAAAAAAAAAGTTCACTTCCAGGCCGTTCAGAGCTGCGTTCGATAGGTCCCAGAAGGTTCAAATGGCATGCCCTGCGCCACTGGTCCTGGGCCGGCATAGCGGTCCTCCGCTGCGGAGGACATGCATAACGGGCCCGCTGGGTAGGTCGAATTGATCTCCATGGGCGTCAGTGACGGTGCTTGGTAGGATTCGGAAAACACGCCCCAGTTAGGATTTGAGACTCTTGGTCGCGGTCCAGCATTGAACGGAGGAGGATAGGTAACTGAGTTCTGATGCACAGGCACCAACCGCGACTGGTCCAAATGTTCCCCTGGCGGCAGTCCCACCGTCGCTCCGTACGGGGTCACATCATACGCGTCCATCGGCTCGGGCTCAGCGGAGAGCAAGCCGTTAGTCAAGTGGGGAACGTAGGTGGGGTGGAAAGGGACCGTTAGCTCCCCCGATGCGGTCCCAGGAGGATACTGTGCCTGCGTAAAGTTCATCGACGCTTCTCCACTTATGTTGGGCGCAAAGTCGGTGGAAGGGACGTCTGTCTTGGCCGCCGGGCCGAGACCCGGATTGGATGAGAGGTCTCGTTCGTTCACAAGCCCCAGGACCGGCATGGCGATCTGCTCCATGTGTTTGGCCAGGTGCACCGTTAGCTTTTTCCAGCTGCTGCAGATGTTGCCACAGAATCGACATGGCTCCTCCTTGGGTCCCTTGGCGGTATCATGGCGGCATCGTTCCACCAGGTCCCAGAGCTGCTCGATCTCGCGCTCGCGATTGTACTCTTCCTGGGCGTCGGGTCCCCCGGAGGGTTTCCCGCTGCCCTTGGTCTTGGATTTCTTGACCTTCGGCTCCGGCATCTTATGCTCCCTGACGAGATGCTGTACAAAGTTGTCCTTTCGGTAACAAGTGTGGTTGCAATCGGGGACGGTACAGGTCCACCACTCCAGCTTCCGGTGCCGCTCACTCTCATGTCGAACCCAGTCGGCCTTTCGCTTGAAGGACTTGGGATCTGTACAATGGGGGAACGTGCAGGTAAACGGCTGCACATCTTCATGGACATGTTTCGTCCAATCCGACGGCTTCTGGAACTTCTTCACGTGAAAGCATATGGGGCATTCAAACTCGGCCGGGAGGCGCTTGACCGGGGGCAAGGGGACCCCGGGGGGGAACTGGGCCGCGGTAACAGCCCCTTCACCAAGCGACTGGGGATCATCGTCGGCCTCGCCGCGGCCCGGGATATGGAACTGAGTGTGCACCGCGTCCGGGTCCTGGGGACTTGTCCGGGGCGCTAAGATGGTGGCTTCGCCACCCTGGGCGAAGCAGAATTTACCGGACGAGCACTTGTTGTGCTGAACAGCACGTGTATGACTGAGTTTACTTTCCACCAATTTTTTGTACCGGCGAAGCTGCTCATTGGCAAAACGCTCGATCAATGCGGGCGGAAGTCGGGGGTTCAACTGGGTAATCTGGGTTCTAAATCCATCCAGCGTGGGGACTGGGAGACGCGAATGGACGGGGAATTCCATCACCAAGGCTTTCTCATCGTCGTCATCGTCATCATCCTCTACGGTGTTGGGCGCCGGACCGGGTTGGGGCTGCTGCGGAGGAGGATCACCGCTGCTGGGACGGGGCGAGTATGCTATATTGGCCACTGGCGGACCGCCGTGGCTAGTCATCAAGTCAACCAGCCCGGGGGCCGACGCCCTTGGTATCTCGCTTCGGCTCCTGCCACGGGCTTTGAGGGACGACCAAGGATTAACGGTGGTATTGGGGGATGCCGCCCGGATGCTGTCCTTTCCCCCAATGGCAGCCATCTGGCCCGCTATCGCGATGACAGCACCTCCCGTACTCAGACTAGGGGATCGCGAGCGTCCCAGGCTTAGTTTTCGATGGGGAAAACTGTCTTTTCTCTGCGGGCTTCTGACCTCGTCGCCTTTGCCGGCATTGTCGGTGCTGGGATGGGTGAGTGAGAGATCCGACAGATGCCGTTTGAGACTGCTGGAGGGTTTCCGGTGCAGGAACTTCCGAAGGCTACTCCCTCTCTGATGCTTCTTGCCCTGATCGATCGACAGGTGTTCAAACGAACCGCCCGCGCCAATGATACTGTTGACCTCCACCTCGCTCAAGGGCCGCGTCCCCCAGGTAGCCGAGCGCGATGCCGTGTCGATGTCCCTTGCCCGCCGTTCGAATTCCACAATAGCTGCAGTTGAACTCTGAGGCTGCGTTCGTGCGGTACGGGGGGAGGGATCGCGCGCAGGGTCCTTCCAGGGAGGGGTTCTCAGGAATTGATGCGGGGATGGCTCCTCGTCCTCGCCTTGCGACAGGGGCCGATCCATGGTGGGTGAACTCACCAGGTCCCCGTTGGTCCACCGCGTCTCGCCCACGGGCACGGCCGGAGAATCAGAGCTGCTGCCATCGATAACAGATTCATATTCGCTGTCTTCGTCGTCGCTGATTTCGTGGACGAGAATGCCGGGTCCGGGGATACTCGCCGATTTGGTGTTGAAATACTCTTGCTGCAACGATGGGTCACCGGCACTCTTTGCTCTCCGCCTGGTGCCAGTTGGGCCCCTGCGGCCTCGGTGCGCGGGAGCTTCATCTCCCGCTTCAATACTGGCCACGCTGACCGAAGCTGACCAGGACCGAATGTCTTCATTCTTATCGTCCAACTGGCGCTTCCATTCCATCTGACTGGGGCTGGGGAGGTAGATATCATCCCGGGATGTCGGGTCGACGCCCGCCTGGCCGGTGGCTGCATTGGGAATCCACGAGCCATCGTGCGTCCGAGAGACCGATGGACTAAAGCCATAGCCCGGATCGCCTGGACGGTCTTCATCCTCTGAATCACTGGGTACGTCACACGGGGAGAGATGGGTGGACGATTGACTGGGTCTCCGTCGTGCGCAGAAGGTGTCCCGGACGGGTGAATCGCCTCGGGAATAACTCTCCACTTTGACAATGGGACTAATCGCCCTAGCGGAATCGGGAGCCTCGCAGACACTGAGGCCCTCCACTGCAGAGCTAGTATTCAGCCAAAGGATCTGGGGGGTACCTGATCCCGGACCAACGCCATTGGATTTCTTGACGCTGGAAATGTCTGAAGAAGGGCTCGGGATGTTGGTAAGATTGGGGGTCAGCAGCTGCGAAGGATTCATGGTCATCCGCGGGGACACCATCTCGCTGGTATCTGACGCCACCGTGTGCATGTCTGGCTGCCAGCCAGAGTCGGGAGGCATATCTATCCCGAACCCGCTAGACAGATTGGGATTCGGGGAGGTATGGGGACTCAGATCGCTGGAGAAGTCATCCACGGGGCTCAGGAAGTCGGAGTACGAAGCCGGATGGTGGGCATCATGATTCGAGTCACTGTTCGGATGAAAATCCATGGGCGAGGCAGAAGTCTTTGGTCCATGGTCATCATCGTTCGAGGGAGTAAATCGAATGACGGAGGATTTGAAGGAGACTTCGTCGGGGTCCAAGGTGGTGGAAAGGTATGATTCGGATAGATTGGCATCTTGCAGCATCATATTGGCAGTGGAATCATCGCGAATGAATTGAGGTGATAGCGTCGACATGGTTGCGGTTCAGGCAGCCGAGGCTCCGAAGCGCCGACGCGTAAGAAGACCTGGAGTGGGATTTGAATTTATTTTCTTCTTATATGTGTATATATATATATATATATATTATCTCTGTCCGTTCTCTCTTTTTTGTTTTAATTTCTTTTTGACCAGACTCCAGAGAAGGGAGTAGGATGTCTCGAATCGTCCAGCTTATTCAGACCAACGTGGGAATCACGCATGTCTCGACCAGACAATTGCAGCCTCGAGTCCCAGGCAGAGTAAGTCTGACAAGAGAAATGAATAGGAAGGCAGCAAATGCGATAGATATCGAGTCACCGAGAAATCAGAATCGAATCGGCCATTTGACTTTGATGGTATTTGTTTGTTTCTTTCTTTCGGAGAGATAGAGGGGGGGGAAGAGGGATCAATTCTCCGACATGACGTAGACGTCAATGAGCCGTGGCTGCAGAGAAGAAGAAAAAGAAGAAGAAAAGAAAAAGAGAACTGAGAGGATGGTACGGGGTAGATGAGTCCGTAATTATCAATAGTTATCAATAAATCACCCGAAGTGGGGGAGATGAAGGAGACCCTGACGGTGCCCTGATAGGGCGAGGGATCGTACCGTGGAAAGACGAGAAGAAAGAGGGGCAGAACAAGAGTTGAGAGGGAGAAAGAAGGGGAAGAGAGGGGAAGGAGAGGAAATACGAGGGAAAAATAAAGTAGGATAGGAAAACGCCTTGCGGCTGAACAGAGAGAGAGAAACTGGGCTAGCCACACGAGAGATGCCAGAAACATCATCAGAGGCTCCCAGAATGCCTTCATTTTCTTTCCTTTTGGACACCCCCTTTCCTATCCTTTCCTATCCTTCCTTCGTTTTGACCAGAGAACCAGTGAGCGCCTTCGAGGTTCTGTTGGGCACTTCACATTGGACCGTTCGCCATTTTAGTCTCCGGTCCAGGATTTATTTTTGTCTCCTCTCGTCCTTGTGGAATCTGCAGCATTCCCTCATCAATCATCATCATCATTATCATCAATCGTCATCGGGTATTCAACGGCCAGGAACATAACTACTTCACTACTTCCTAGGTACTACCTACGAGGCGGTGCCTCACTGACGATCTCAGTGGCTGTTCCTTAGAGGATGCTATATTTAGTCCCCGCAGATGTCGCTACATCAATAATCAGACAGACAACCACCCGATCGTTCGCCATCGTCAATCCCTGAAACATACTAACTAACTAGATACTAATACTATACTGCTTACTCAATCTCCACTGCCACTTTCACCGCAGAAGCTTCCTGTCAGCCCTGTGCGAGGCTGTGCGGTTCTCTCCCTCCTGGGAGGAGTGATCGCCAAGTTCTTTCTTCAGCCATGGATCGCAGATGTCAGAACAAGCTTTGAGCCCCTCTCTCTCTATCCCTTTGTCGTATGTCATGCTCTGAAGGTGAAGGTTTTGTATATGTCTAAATACAAAAACGCCTTAGTTCTGGGCTTGTAGCTCGGCGTGGTCTAAAAAAACCTCGGCGTGGGCTAAAATTCTGCCCCGAGACTCACCGCTCTTTTTAGACCACGCTGAGCTTATGCCAAGAATAAACTCATCATGGCCTAAATGATTAGTCAGTATTCTTAGGCCACGATGAGATTTTCAAAAGATTTTTAGACCACGCTGAGCATATGCACTAGGGCTTAATTACTATAATTGGTAAGGTGTAGCCCTAAGAATATTTTATCCCCTTGGCTGGCAGCGCTAGTCGTCGTTAGCGGTAATTTTGTTATGTGTAGTTTTATTGGTCAGTTAGCTTTCACCGCTTTCTTCCTACTTGGGAATAGCCTTATTTATCTAAATTCCCACGCACCTCCTATTCATACCAATGCATTTTTGTGTATAATGGATTTATGGGGTCTGCCTCTAGATGAGGCAGAAGAGCCTTTATTATATAGCTCCTCTGTGGCTCCATCTAATGCCTCTGTATCTCCTCCTCCTATTTCTAAGAAGGAAGAAGAAAATGCTGCAAAGCTTAATCTAGCAGAGATTCTTCATGAAATACCTCAATACCAAGATGTCAAGTTCAAGCCTCTTAAAATGGCTGAGCCTTTCCCTCCTCTAGTACAATTACCACCTGGGGTTGATATTGAAAGCTCATACAGTCTATTCTCCTTGTTTATCTCCCAAGAATTAATTGCATTATTGTCATCCAATACCAACAAATATGCAAAGGCTAAGAACGCTGGCGAATCTGGGAGAGAATGGCATAACACTACAGTTTCAGAGATTCAGATCTTTCTTGCAATCCTAATTTATATGGGAGTCCATATATCTCCTAGTGATGAGGATTACTGGCAGACTAGCGAGGAGCCATTCCATATGCCTCGAAGATTTATGGGGTTAAAACGATTTCAGCAAATCAAGCGATACTTCCACGTTGCAGATCCTGATCCTGAGGCTGCTGTACAAGAGGCTATAAGGCTTAATCTTAAGCCAAATCAGATGTGGTGGTATAAGCTAGAGCCTTTTGCAGCTAGGCTTCGCACAGCCTGTTTACAGCACTGGAAGCCTTCAAATGCAGTCTCTATAGATGAGACAATGATTCGCGGCTTTGGGCGTTCTTGTCATACCTTTAAGATGCCAAATAAGCCAATTAAGCAAGGATATAAGCTCTTTGCCATTGCAGATCAAGGCTATATTCTATACTGGATATGGGCAAGCCGTCACAAGTCCCTTGTGGAGGTTAAAAAGCATGATATTGAGAATTTAACTCTTACTGGATCTATGGTTGTTCAACTTGCACAAGAAGGTCTGCCATCTCAACATAATAACTACACAATCTATATGGACAACTACTTTTCAACTATTCCTTTATTCAATTATCTTCGGCAGCTTGGGATTGGTGCTTGTGGAACTACCCGACCAAATGCATCTAAAAGCTATTTCCAAAGGCCCTTTGTATGCTAAAGGATTCAAAAAGCCTCAACCATGGAATACTTTATATGCAGCTCCTGCAGGTGTTGACTCTGATACTGATTCTGTGTTGTGTATTGCATGGCAAGATAATAATATTGTTACTGCATTATCAACTGTACATACTGTACACAAGCCAACTGATTGGATTCCTCGCTTGCGCAAACGCCCTGCTAAGACCTCAACCAGTGCAAAAGTTGCCCGTCAGCCATTTGGTGATCAGCCTACCAAGGAACTTCCAATACCCCGGATTATTGATGATTACAACTATCATATGGGAGGGGTGGATCGTGCAAATCAACTACGTGCAAGCTATGAAACTCATCAAAGATGTTTACGCTCATGGTGGCCTATATTCTTTTGGATACTTGACATAGCTATTATTAATGCTTATTGCATTGCAAAGATGGCCCGCAGACAGCAAGGTATGAAGGAGATCACTCATCTTGAATTTCGAAAAGGTCTGTACAGGGAGCTATTTAAGCAAGGATCAGAGGAATTACTTCAACGAAAGCGAAAACATAGCTCAGTTCAACCATTAGATGAAGGTGATCATCAGGTTGAGAGGATTCACCCTCGCAAATGGTGCCATTTATGTGTTGTACGGGTTCAAAGAGCAAAGGCTCGAGGTCATACTATTCCAAAGCAATTCCACACAGTATATTGCTGCAAGACCTGCAGAATTCCCTTATGCAGGCCTGACATAAGGTCATGTTGGGCTGATTTTCATACACCACGACCCCTTTAGGTGAGAAGGATGTAAATTGTTCATAGATAGCTTAAATATTTATATTTCATTCAATTCTACGGTATGTGGTGTTAGATGAAGCGGGCGTGTCATTTGCGGCAGAAAAAGGACGCTAACGACGACTAGCGCTGCCAGCCAAGGGGATACTACACAATACAGGGTATCCACTCTGCATATACTCTGTATAGGTTGACCAAACCACAACAATGGCTGGTACCGAAGTTCGGGAAAGAGTGGTAGAATGGATCAACAATATCCCAATCCAGGTATGTGTATATATATTTATTATATACTGGGTATATACAAACCCTATACTAATATACCCAATTATCAGAACGAGGTGCAGGAATCTCATAGAGATGATTCTAGTAGTATAATTAGTACTAGGTCTACTCCGTTAGATCCAGGAGATAATATACAGGAACAAGAATCTTTTACACCAATAGTAATGGGCCTACAGCGGGTTAGTGTATATCTAATATATGCATAATATATACTAAGTCTATGTTAGGAAGCAGCTACTTTAGATGGTGTTGTCGTTGCGCGAAATCTAGTTATAAGATTAAGGTTAAAGAGATTCAAGAACATCTTTTAATACCTAAATATCCAGCAACAGCAGCAGAAGGTATTCTTTATTTTATTTATAACTACAATCCATTTCCATCCTCAAGGAATCCAAATGATTTCTCTGAGAAAGAAATAAATAATATTTTTACACGGCTTATGTTTAGACTTCATCAGAGCCCACAAATGGGCCTGAATCTCGGGCCCACGGCCCAACCCACTGTGGGCTGATGGCCCGGATTTCAGGCCCAAGCCCAACCATCAGGCCCACGATGGGCCCCCCAATGGGCCCCCGCAAAAGCCCATTTTTGCATAAAATTTTGGTCTTGGCATTCATAAAGCTGCTAAATAATCAAAATAAAATACTGTTTTTTACACCTGTTCCAGTTCATCAACTGAGCTTCGTTGTAACCTCGCCTAAAATAGTAAGAAATTCTAGGAAATCTTCTTGGAATTAAAGAAAGTAAGGCTTGTTTTAAGTTAATTACTCATAAAAATCCCATATTCTGATTGTTATGGTGGTGTTTTGATGGCTTATGGATAAATTCACTGCAAACTTGTTTAGATATATATTTTATATATACGAGAGTGTGCGCATCTTTTTTTAATAAGAGACAGAAGTAAAAAATTAACCACTTCTGCCTGCTCTGATTATGATTCATTCTTTACATGAAATAAAAGCTTATCTTCTCTACTTTGGAATTCTAATCCTAAACGATAGTATAAAGAAGTGAATTTAAAG